GAGGGACTTCGGTCCGCGGTTCTCCGCGATTCTCCGCGCATGAAAGACTAAGTTGCGCAGTTGAATTCTCCTACTGGGACAAACACGGCAGCACAATTTCATTCTGAATTCAGAATTCCATACTCGCAATATACTTGGATTTTCGATAAGCCTGGAACGAGTGTCCCGATAATCTATAAGCGGTCGTCGCCCCATCAACAACACGATCATCACAAAAGCTTCGCGTCGCATCTTGTCTTTTGCAACCCCATTCCACTCTCACAATGCGCTTCCTTTGTCTCCACGGACATGGCACAAATTCCCAAATACTCGAGACCCAGCTGGAGCCATTGAGAGCCCATCTGCCCACTGATTGGGAATTCGACTTCTTGGACGGAGAAATGGAAGCAGAGCCAGCTACCGGTAGGGCCCTTGCCTAAGATAAAGGAACTCAATGATACGTTGCTGATTGGTGCATTCCGAACATAGGCATTGACCAAATATTTCCAGGGCCATATCTCTGCTACCACGGGGAACCGGTGCCCGGCGATGTGTGGAATGCATACAATCTCATCATGGACGTAGTTCGAGAGGAGGGCCCATTTGACGGCGTCATAGCATTCTCACAAGGCGCCGCGGTGGCTGCGACAATGATTGCCCACGAGGCCAAGATCAATCCAGAGGCGGACGTCTTCAGGCTCGCCGTGTTCCTCTCCGCCACCATGCCTTTTGACATGGAGGCCGGCACGCTAAGACTGGCGTATGACGGGCATGTCGACACTCTAGAGGCAAAATATCAGCGCCCACCTAATACAGAACATTCCAAGATGGATGAAAATGTCAATTGGCTTGAAGACTGTCGAACGGCTGGCGTCATTCAGGAATTCCAGGCCAGGAGAGCGCATCTCCTCAGTTCGGGCCCACAGAGCATAGACGTCTTGCTCCGCTACCATCCGTCAATCCACGATGTAACGATTGGCATCCCAACAGTCCATGTGATTGGTGAGAAGGACAATTACGCGGATCACGGCCGTAATCTGGCGGGGATATGCGACCCCAAGGTGTCGCGGGTCGTGACGCATGAAGGGGGTCATCAGTTACCCAGAGACATGCGCATTCTTGCCAAGACTGCCGAGGCAATCCAGTGGGCGGTCGACCGGACGCTATTTCTAAACTAGAGTAGAAAATGGACATTCATTATTACGAAGTCTGGTCTCAGCCCTGTGTACATCTAGCCCTTCACCTTGTAATGTTGTAGATCCGACCTAGGTATCTTCCAAATAGTAATAAGTGGTAGAGCTGTCAGGTTGATTGATTATTGGCGCATTTCCTGCGGAGTTTGATCCGTGACTTGTTGGCCACTAGCCGTAGGTTGTGTTCGCAGGACTAATTCGGATGGCTCGCTGCCATCAGGCAGTGCACACCACATACCATGGCTCAATACCGATTGAAAAATCTCGCAAGCTAGGGTTGCCGTTAGGGCTTACATGCGGGGGCGGAATAGCGCGGGCCGAAATGAGGAGCACCAGAGTAAGCATTAAGCCATTGAACTATATTCTGGGAGGACATTGATAGCTAGATTAATATTATGGTAAACTATATTGGATTGCACCACTGTCCTTGTGGAACAATATCCTTCCAGGAAGGCTTTCTTTCCCACGTTGCCAACTCTGCTGCTACGTGCTGTTACATGCTGCTTTACAGTTATTGCAATTCAAATTCCCCCACGTCACAATTAGAGGTAATCGCCATGACCGCTCCTTTGGTATTGGGGCTTTTCATGCTGCTGGCTAGTTCGATGGCCGTCACAGCCCTGTACAGACTTACCTTGCACCCTCTGGCCCACATTCCTGGGCCGAAGATAGCGGCCGTGACACAGCTCTACCAGACATTCTACTGCTATTACGGAAACAAAAGCCGCTTCTACCAGAAGATCGACCGTCTGCACGCCAAATATGGCCCGGTGGTCCGCATTACGCCAAATGAAGTGTCTTTGAACGACCCAGAAAACTACAACAAGATATACCACGTTGGGACGAAGTATTGGAAAGCGCCCGACTATTATCGCGTCTTCGGTGCACCTGCTGCCTTCTTCACCACGGTGGAAAACCGACTTCATTCTCTCCGTCGTGCCCCGTTGAACACATTCTTCTCTCGCAAGAGTGTCTTGAACTTGGAGCCTGTAGTGCAAGAGAAGGCTCGTATCCTTATCACGAGACTGCAAGAGGGCCTGAACGGCGGCGACAATGGCCGTGGTGTCGTGGAGCTCTCTGATATTTTCAGTGCCCTCAGCATTGATGTGGCCAGCGATTATTCCTTCCACAGCTGCTACGGGCTCTTGGGCGCAGAAGGCTACGGGCACGAGTTTTCGTCCATGGTGCGAGGCGTCCTGAAATCGTTCTGGTTCTTCATGCAGTTCGAGACAGTTGAGAATTTGGCGTTGCAGCTTCCGCCTTGGCTCTCGTCAGCATTCAGTCCGGCACTGAAAAGATATAATGCCATGGTTGAGGTCTCCCATCCACTTCGAGCTCCTTGATAAAAACTTTTGTTTCCCATGCTGACATGCTTTAGGGAACACGACGTAATGTTAAAGCCATCAAGGCTCAGGTTGATGGCGGACGTGATAAGCCTCTCCGAAGGTCCATCTTCCACGAGCTCCTCGAGTCAGATCAGCCGCCCAGTGTCGATGATATGACAGATATTGCGTTAACCATCATCGTGGCGGCCGCCGCCGCGACTGGCAATGCACTGTCCATTATGGCTTTCTATGTCATCAATGATGCGAATATTTACCAAAGATTGCGTTCGGAACTTATAGAGGCGTTCCCAGAGGACAAGCCGGACATGAGCTGGTCTGCCTTGGAGAAGCTCCCATACCTGGTAGATAATTGCGGTGGCACCCATGGTCGCAGCTTGTCCATTCTCAGAAAGATCCTGACACGATTTCGCAGGCTGCCGTTGCCAAAGAGAGCCTGCGTCTCTCCTACGGAGTCATTGGAAGACTGCCTCGCATTGTTCCAGAACCTGGCGCCGAGTTCAATGGCTACTTCATTCCCCCCGGTGTAAGTCCAGATTGCCACTGCGACCTTCGCGAGATCATGTTGACACGTCTATCAGTCCACAGTGGGCATGTCCAGCTGGACAATGCATCGCAGCCCATCGATCTTCCCCGAGCCCGACAAATTCGATCCGGGACGCTGGCTTGACTCAGCCGAGTCAAGCCGGCTCCAGCGTTACTTGGTGTCGTTTGGCAAAGACAGTCGCCAGTGCATTGGGATGCCGTAAGTAAAATTGCGTTTTATACGGAGTTGTAAATTGACGTGCTGTTCCAGACTGGCATATTGTGAGTTGTATGTTACCGCAGCGGCCTTTTTCCGCGCATTCGGAGACCTGGAGATTGTCGATACGCAGGTCAGTGATCTGGTATTCGACGACTACTTCTCAGGCTACCATCCAGAAAACGCGACACCGCTACGAATCACACGGCGAAAATAGTGGGCAATTGAAGCAGATGTGGCGAGACTTGATGGAACTGGACCAGCGCCATGGACCGGACATGGTCCCCTTCCCTAACTTTTACCTAAAGTTTCTAAATCAGAAAATCAAATCGTGTTTTTTACGTAATCTATAATATTGTTCAGTGACTGATGGTGGATAGATAGTTATGGTGCTAATACCAGGCATGTACCAGTAATAGTAAATTACTGCTGCGCCAACCCCACTATACTCTTTCGGCGGCCCCCATTCTGTGACTTCTGCTCCTCTTTAATACTTTAATATTATAGTATGGCCCGGGTGGCCATCCCATACAGGTCCTTAGCTCTGCATCCGCAGTCTGGGTTGGGTTTTGGGGCCAGACCTCCGACCCAGCAATGGGTTCTGGGTCGGACTGGGTAACCTAGTATTGGGTCTGGGGCCCTAATCCGGGTTACAAACAGTGCAAACATCCTCAATCTTCTAAATATATAACTTATGCAGATTTCAACTGTTATTTTGAGTATTTACAATATATTAAAGCCCTAATTCATAATAAATCTGAATGATATTCAATTACTAATGGTACTCAAATGCATCATCTTCCCGAACCTTACGTTTCCGTCCTAATAGTGGTCGTGTCTGTGTAAAGGTTTCTGGTAATAGTAGTTCGGGCTTATTATTAACTAGTATTTATAGAGGTAGTATCAAGGTCTATTACCTCGCTAATTATTTCCTCTTACTCCGGCTGCTCTTCTTACTCCGGCTGCTCTTCTTGCTCCTCTATATCACTAAACTGCGACATCGCCCGTCCATGGGCACTAGGAAGTGTCCACGGCCCGTGGGCCTTTTTATACTACAAGTTATGCTAAAATTGGGTCCAAATGGGTTATTTCTGGGTTTTCTGGGGCCCCAGTAGCTGGGTCCGGGTCTGGGTCGTGCGGAAGTCTACTTAGCCACCACCCACCCTACCTATCAATATTGATGCCAATGAAGGCAAGCGGAATAAGACTCAGCATTAGCATTGGACCTATCGGTATTGGTATTCGTATTTTCCTTGTAGGCTGGGATGCTTAGCGAACCCCGAATACGGGACCGAATGTGAGTCCCGAGTAGGAAAGAGGGTCGGTTTGAAAAAAAGATGGTGAACGCGGGCAGCCTCGGGCCTTAGCGGCACGGGGTGGGCCGAGCCGTCGTTTTGGATCAAATGAGCTTAGCCTCTCAGCCTCTCCTATCAGACCACTGAGAGCGGTCCCACGGGTTTCCAGTTTCCATGGGTGGGTCCTAAGCTCGGATTACTTGCAGGCGCACCATGTGGGGCGATGGACACGGACCTGTGGCCCGTTTCGTCCTTCTGGCCAGATAATATGATAAGCCGGCAAGGCGGAGTCCGGGCCTCCGAATGAGCTCGGTCTGCATTGGACCAGCATCCAGCATGGTAGCAGCGAAGATGAAGGACAGAGAGATATGCATATATTAGGTGTAGAACAGCCAAGCGGCACCGGCCTACCACCTAGGCACACCCTACAACCAGATCAGACAGGAAGATGACCTTGGACCGCACCATTGCCCTCGTCACTGGTGCCAACAAAGGCATCGGGCGAGAAGTCGCACTTCAGCTAGCGAAGGATCACGGTTACATGGTGCTCCTGGGCTGTCGCAATGCGACCATCGCTGCTGACATGGCGTCCGATCTACAGGCAAATGGGTATTCCGCCGAGCCGCTTCCACTGGATCTCGACTCGGATGGGTCTATTTCCTCCGCGGTCGAACGGATCGACCAAACATACGGTCGCCTGGACGTGCTCGTCAACAACGCTGGCGTGCTGCTCGACGCTTGGGCGCCTGGCATGACTAAGTTATCAACACGCGAGGTCTACACCAAAACGTACACGACAAACGTCGTAGGCACCGCGTGCCTGACGGAGGCGCTGCTGCCCCTCCTGCGCAAGGCTGCCCCAACACCTCCACGTGTCGTCTTCGTCTCCAGCCATCTTGGATCCTTAACCGAAGGCCTCAACCGCCAGGGCATGTTCTTCCACGCCGACCTCCAGGCCTACATGTCCAGCAAGGCGGCCGTCAACCGGATGGCCCTCGTTTACTCTCGCATGCTCGAGGACGTGGGAGGGCTCGTCAACCTGGTTGCTCCGGGCTTCGTCCAGACGGACCTCACCAACAACCATCCTGCAGGAACAACAGCTCGGGAAGGGGCCGAGCGGATTGTAGAGCTAGCGGTGGGTAAAGCCGGGCCGACTGCCACATTTACAGATAAGAATGGCCCTGTGCCCTGGTAGGCAACACGTTGCGGTTGTCTGTACGTGAGATAGAATCATGTCATGGTTTTGGGGGCCATTTCCGCCGGTGGGGGGCCTGTTGATTTTGGGGGCCATTTCTGCCGGTGGGGGCCCCGTGTTGGTTTTGGAGGCCATTTCTGTTTTGGGGGCTGCTTCCACCATATTAGATCTTGACAAAGCCTCACCTTAATTAAATGATCAACGTCTCTTCTTCCGTTTCCATTGCTTCTTATGAATTGCAACCCCGAGCATGTCAGACTCTATCTTCCTATATGCGAATGCGGTGCGGGACGACGCGGTTGGCACCGTCGAAGGCTCTGGGCAAGTGCCTTCCTCAGGCAGCTCGACACCCAAACGACTGGCTTGCGAGTAAGTGACTGATCTCCTGCAATGACACACCGATCAAATAAGATCTTGCTGCTGACTCGACACACAGCGCCTGTCGTGATCGCAAGATCCGTTGCGACAAGCAGAGACCAGTGTGTGGACGATGCACGAAAGTAGGCATCAGCTGTCGATACTCGTCACGTGCGAGGCCCACGCCCTCCAAGACGGACTTGTCAAGGTTTCTCGTTACGTTAAACAATCGCCTGAGTCAGTTCACTTGCTGTGCAGACTATAAACCAGCCGTGAGGGCCGGGGGAACGCCATGGCTGACACTATTTTATTTAACAGACCAGGCGGAGGCGCAACTGGCGGTAGACCCTTTTTCGCAGAACCCTCAGTCGCTTCCTATGCTTTGGGACGAAACGAACATCGGCGAGCCATCGACAAATGCACCATCTAAGAGAAGCTCTCCAGACCAGGCGGCACTACCACATGCAGGGATTCGAGACTTAGATAGCGATCGAGGCCTGTCAAGCGATAGCGTCACCGATTTAAACACCTCGAACAATTGGTACGCGTGCAGTAGTTTTCTTTTTTTTTTTTTTTTTTTTTTCATCGTTTTTGTTTTCTTCTTTTGCCTCTTTTGGAAGACACCTTGCTAAGTCCTGCCTGAATGGGCGCGACCAAACAGTTCTGATCTCTCCGACTTCGACTTTGCTACATTCGCAGCCACACTGTCCACCGACCAGGCCATGATACAAGCCCTAGGTGAAGTGGCCGAGAATCACGACGTCGATCTCATGTGCTCAGATATGCCCCCCACGCCTTCTAGCGACAGCGTGGCTAGCATGTTAGACCCATATACACAATCACTGTTCGTAAATGTCTATTACATGGCCTAGGGCACGGAGCTAAAAAGGAATGGTCACCAGGCACGACAGGTTCTTCAACGTCTTCCACCCAAGTCTTCCTATAGTTGATCGAGCCCGTTTTGAGAGAGAAATAGCCCAAGTACCACCGTCGATTGAGGTACAGGCCCTGTCGTACGCTATAATGACGCTAGGCGCCTCCTCATCGCTAGAAACGCACGGACAAGCAGAGAGAACGTATCAGGAAGCGCGAAGCCTACTTGATATTTGCGAGAGGCAAGAGAGCGGCGAATCCCTTACCAGCATTAACACCCTGCAGGCCTGCACCCTTTTGACCCTCTACGAGCTAAAGCGACCAAATCTGGCCCGCGCTTGGATGACCCTCGGACGCGCCATTGGCCTAAGCAAAATCATGAGCCTAGAGCACCCAGAGGGTCCATCAAAACAGACCACGGACTGGAATTTGCCAACCCAGTTTCGTCCTCCGGCCTCCAACTCGAGGGAGGCCGAAGAAAGGCGACGGACATTCTGGATACTTTATATAATTGACGGCTTCTCTAGCCTTCGCGTTAATGCAAGCCCAGCCTTTGACAAGCAGGCAAGTCAAGCTCTGTCACTCGCTTATAGCGGGCTGTCGCAGATGATGCTAACTCGGAGTGTCCAGGTCCTGTTGCCCTTGCCTAGTCCCAGCGATCACGCAAACTCGAATGTGGCTCCCATGCCGACGCTACAGCAAGTGTTTAATAGCGAAGTCTCTCCAGACACGCCAATATCGCCCTTTGTTGGTAACGCTATCATGATATTTCTGTACAGGCAGTATCTCGACCATACACGACCGAGTCTGCAGGACCAAACATATGCGTTCTGGGAGGCTCACTACCGAATCGACAAGGCCATCAAATATTGCCGCACGAGCCTGCTCGCCCGCCACCTGGGCGGCGATAGCTCCCTGGAGCCTCTATCGCTGGTGTTTCGTATGAACATGGACGCTGTTGAAATGTGCCTGCACAAAACGGCTCTACAGAAGGGTCGAGATGACGAATTGCCGGCCGCCTTGATGGCAGACTCGACATCAAAGTGTATGGCGGCTGCACAGGATGTTGCTGATGCATTGCTAGTTACTCGGCAGCTTTGGGGACAGAGGCTTGACGCCTTTCGACAGCTAGATCAGTTTATCGTCTGGCCAATCACCACAGCCATCCAGAACTGCCTTGATCGGATGAAGCAGGGCGAGCGAGAGGCGCATGCCGGCTACTACGCTCGGGTACTGCGCGTTTTAATAAGTGCCGTTAGCGACCTTTTGCAACCTGGGACTATCTCCACCGCCCTCTTGGAAGAGGCCAGGAAAGCCGGCGTAAACGGTGGCTAGGTAGGATATGAGAAGCCACTGTTGCGAAATTCCAGGGCTCCTTCCAGTGTGTTTCGTGGCTATGTGTATACATATATGGGGGGTCAAACGTCTGTGTACACTCTAGTTTTAGTCCGCCTCCTTCCTTCCTTCTACTCTACCAATTAAATAGATTTTTTTTAGACAAGCAACATGCTTCGTATTCTGCTAGTATTTAGTGTACGAGCCCTTTGTTGAAGAATGACGCTCGGGTTGCCCTTTTTGTAAGGCATCAAAATCTGTCGACATCTCTTGTATCCAAAACCGTCTGGACCAGTCTGGTCTGGGCGTAAAAACGAAACCACCAAGCCTCCTTTGTATTGCCCCCCTGAGTTTTGTTTGTGTTCTTATCTTGGATCAAACGGAGATACGCTGCTCAGCCCTTTACCACAAAAGCTCCCACCAAAGGTACACTATTTCCGAAGCCCCAGGGAAGAGCACGCGGTTACATGCCCAGACTACCAGTCTCGGATATTTCGAGGAAAATTCAGGTTCGTCATCTTTATTAAATCACTAAGCCATTGAACAAATGTCTCTCATCACTGGTACCCAGAACCAGGAATAATCCGCGAGAGTCGGAGCTCAGCAATCATGGCGCCGGTCTTCTCGTCTTTCACGAAGCGCTGACTGGAAGCAAACATCATGCCTTCGAGAGGCTTATAGGGCTCGTGCCCAGTCTCAAACCGCATATGATTAACTGCAAAGAGGCGAGAATTAGAGAATAATGCTTAATGGTCTGATGCACAGAGCATCAACGTACCTCCGAAGCCAAAAGGGTTGGTTTTAGCGTTCGGGTCTCCCAGAAGCAACGGCAAAGTGTGCTCGTTGAGGTCAGTAATGCCGTCAGCAATGACTCTCAGAGCCTGACCTTCGGCATCAGCAGCGACGGCGGAGATAGAAAGGCGCCCGAACTTCTTGTCGGCATCGACACGGAACCAATCGTGTCCTGCTTTGATAGTGAAGTCAACCTTAGGCTCGAAACCCTCGACAGAGCGGATGTAACCGCCGGAGAATGGCTGCGGAATTGAATCAACCCATTAGCATAGAAAAGATAGATCATGGGTACTCGTCTTAATATCAAGCAAGTAGCGATTTCTCGAGGAGGCCAAGTCAGGGGCCAGGCAAAGAAGCGTCAGGAAGAAAAAGTGCCATACCACGCAAGCGAGAGTCGAACCAGTGTGGATGTCGCCACAAGGGAATTGACCGACCAGTTCGCACTATAAAAGACCGCTCGTTAGTCCATATAATCGACGGGATTATGGTTGGTGCAGCAATTATCGTACGCTGATGGTCATAGCGGGCTCAAGACGAGCGAAGCCCTCGAGCGGCGCCGATGTGTTAGAGTTTTCGGGTTGAGAAGTCATTTTTGCGGCTCGTTCGGAGGGGCGATAACACAAGCAACAGCGAGTGGACTATTCTGACTGGTAAGACTCTTCTCATGGCTACAGATGAAGCCGTTTTATGTCATGGCGTATTCGCATAGAAAGCCAAATGACGCGCATGCGGCGGGTCGTCTCCGAACTTCGGGGCGCAAGCTCGGCAAGTGCGGGCCGAGAGCGCGGCCCGCACTATTCCATGTTTTCATTTCCACTAGCGCGTACGAGCGATGAGATGATCGTCTATTTTGAGATTATGGAGGCCTTGATCCGTCTCATATTCATGCTTTATGTGCGGGTGCCGATCTGTCCCATGAAGGTACACCCTAACTTGCCGGAGCCAAATACGATCGCGTGGTAGAGAAAGATACTGCATGATAAAGGCTTCTCTTATTCTAATATTAGGTAAATCTTCCGTTAAAACCGCGTAGATGCTGGGAAATCAACCCCAAACCAGTTTCTGTCTAGTTATATGGTCTTGTTTGATATATCGTTCCATCGGAGGGCATTCCTGGAGAGTGTCCTAGCGTTTGAAACTTGAGATTTTGCACATTGTAATTTTGAGAGCTGTGAGTTCCTTCTATCCGATATTGAAAATTATCTATCTAATGTTTTTACACTGAGCCTGTCTTCCTCAGCTGTCGAACGGCCCCGAGAAGAAGACTCTGAGCGTATAAGACGTGAGCTTCGTAGACGAGCCACGGCATTCTTTTGAAATCTCTTGCTGTTTGGCCACCAGGATGCAGGTCAGAGCACTCCACCGAGAGATACGTGACTCTCGCCGTCTCCTCCGAGGTCTTCTCAACGACGAACTCCTGCCAACCACCGTCCATCACTCGCCATGGCCAGCCGTAAGATGCCGCATTGTTAAATGTATTGACCAGGCCGTGGGGGAACTTCCAATAGATGACTGTGCCAGCTGACTCGGGCTGAGATGAGTCTTGGGATGCAAGAAGTGCTTCGTTGGAGGGAAGAAAGGAGCTCGGGACGGGTGCGTCCGCAGGCAAAACAGAAGGCCGGATTGAGCTTGTCGATCTCGAGCTCCAGCTGTCAAACATAAAGGCAGAGAGACCAGTCGAGTCTCCAAACAAGTGACTTCCGGGTATGTAAGACCTTGACGGCACGTTTCTGTCTATGAGCCATCCATCAGGGCCGCGCGACCGTGCGTCGAGGAAGGCGGCGACCAAGTTTCGCGCCATGCCATCTGCGGTGCGCGATTCGTCGTTGTTTGTGGCCAATCCGCCTTTACTGGTCTCAGTTATGTAGGATGCCAGTAGCGCCACCGGCACATCCACCTGAACTGCAACGTAGGATGGCAGCCAACGACTTTTCCTGTCCCCAGAGCTGGCTTCCGACCACGAGGATAACAGGCCCGACTTATCCGCCCCCCATGGTTTTGGCACGTCTGCGTCCGAGGAGCTGTCACATGCCCTGTCCACAAGTTGTCGACATGCACTCAATCGCGATACTTTGCTGATGGGGATCCTTGGGCAAGAACGATCGAGATATTGTTTACAGATGTATGCGGTAACTATGCCGGCGCTGCCTAACGCCAGCGCGCCCAGAGAGAGCGTGCTTGCCATTCTCGTCCGATAGGGAGGTGCGCGGTTCAAGGACATGCGATGAAATCTCTCCATCTAGTGATGGACGAAGCAGAAGAATAGATAGATTCGGGAAGCTATGGACAGCGACAGAGCGGGAAGAGAAGGAAAAAAAAAAGAAGAGGAAGAGAGAGAGGGAAGCGATCTAAGCAAACATCAAAACGTTTCTTTGTCCAGTGGATACTCCGAAAGTCGAACCGTTCAAATTCAGGGATCGTGTCCGGAGTTGTGGCCTCAGGCATTCCAAGCGGCATTTCGGTCCCGAAACGCCGCTCTCCAACCACGTGCTGAGAATGGCGGACAGGAGGCCCCACGCGTCGCGGCTGCGTCCATCCTTCTATCTATACGTCCAGGTCTTCAGACATCCAGCCATCCGTAGGGTCTTGGGCACAGGTCATTTGTGCGAGCGGAGCGCCATGTCCCGGTGGCACATTCTTAAAGACGTTAAAAACACCCCTGCTAGTCCCATGATGGACGTGTTGAGACATCACCTGCAATCCTCGGTGCGAGCGCAAGAGGTATAAATTGACTATGACGCAGGGTGACAGGCCATTGCGAATCATTGTCGCCGGTGCCGGTATTGCTGGTCTGACTGCAACGCACTATCTCCAAAGGTTGGGCATCGACCATGTCGTCTTGGAGAAATACGCAGACGTCGCACCGCCAACGGGCGGAGCCATCTCCATGTGGCCGCATGGCATGCGAATCCTATCTCAGATTGGCTGCCTGGATGCCATCAAGCGTGCCTCTTTGCCATACACCCGCATCTTCAACCGTGCACCAGATGGCAGCTTGATGCAGGACAGCTCACTGTTGCACATTGTTGAGGAAAAGTGAGTCAGCCCTAAGTTACTGTTTACGCCATGGCACTTTCTTCCTTCGCTAGCCTAACCACGGCTTGGCTTCTTCATGGATTCGGAGCTGATATTTCCAAAGCCATGGAATTGGTACATATCCAATGGAGAGACGGGAGTTTTTGCAAATTCTATACGACGCGCTCCCAGACAAGTCATTCGTCGTGACTGAAGCCGAAATCACCGATGTTATTGAGTTCCCAGACAGGGTTGAAGTGCACCTCGCCGACGGCACGGTCCAGACAGGTGACATGGTTCTTGGCTGTGACGGCGTGCACAGCTTGATCAGGAGCATCATGTGGGATCACGCGGGCAAGAAATCGCCTGGCCTCATCAAAGACGAAGAAAAGACCTGTACGTGCTGGCTCCAAGGCTGCCGCTGTTCACACCATGTGCTAATTGATGGCCTGACCGGCATGTTCAGCCATTGAGACCAGGTATAAGACGCTTCTCGTCAACGCACCAGCTTTCCCTGAGCTCGGACAAAGCAACCTGGTCATATCCCATGGAAAGGGTATTTGCTTCATCACCGTGTCTCAGCCAGACGCTACATATGTTTTTGCTATTTTCACTCTCGAGCAGCCCTTTACTGTGCCCGTGCGCCAGAGCTACACTACCAAGGACGCCGAAGAGTTAGCACAGCTCATCAGCGACAAACCCGTGACCAACAACGTAGTGTTTTCCGACATTTGGGAACGCCGCACTCGTGCATCCGTAATCTCGCTCGAAGAGGGTGTGATGGAGCACTGGCATCACGACCGTATCTGCCTGGTTGGTGACGCTGTGCACAAGGTGAGCTATATCCACTAAGATCCCTTGTCCAACAAAAACCCTCCCCTGAGGCTGACTGGTCCTTTCTCGATGCATAGATCCAGCCAAATCTGGCCCTAGGCGGGAATGCAGCTATGGAGGGCGCAGCATCTGTCATCAACAATATCCAAGGCGTTCTGCAGACGTGCCGCGGCCCAAGGCCTAGCGGCACTTCTCTTAGCACGGCCTTCTCGGCGTACCAGAAGCAGCAGTACCCACGCATGAAGGAGCTTGTAAACCTCTGCGCCATGGTGGCAAAAGTACACACATATGCTACGCCGTGGCACAGGGCCCTCTCGGATTGGCTTCTTCCTTTGCTCGGCGACAAGATCCTTCCAGGTCTGCTCAGCACCTTCATCGCCGGTGCACCAAAGATGGATTTCTTTCCCGCTGCAGACCTCCCAGATGGGAAAGTTGCTTGGGTTCATCACGAAACACATAAGACGAACGGCGACCAGCTGCAGAAGAATGCCTTGTAAAGCCTCCTTCTGGCGCTTATGACAGAGTCCTGACACCACGAACGCCGTGACGTAACCCGCCAAGAAAGACTTTGCATCAGTTTGTGTTTGACCGTCTTCAGATAATGTTTCGCTCCAAATTTCATTGTTGGTAATGAGTGTTCTTGTGTTCGTAGATAGGCAGCTTATGGAAGCGTAAAAAATAGTTCCGGTGATCTCGTTATGCTAAAGATTTGGTGTCTCACTGCACAGCCATTATATATAGTACAGAGAAACCTTTCCCCTTATTCTATATTGGGATGTAATGATTGGCACCTTCGCTCATGACCGTTGGAAGAGTAATTATAGAAACTTGTACTGCATGCTTAGCAAAAACCTACCTTTGGGGGAGGTAGTAATGTTGCTTCCCAAAGTCGAACTCAATAGACAGTTCTGCGAGAGATCATGCAAGAAACACTGAGTTTGGCCTAATAAAAGAGAAGGTATATTAATGCAGAAAGAATACACCTACTAGGACGTCGGAATGAATGGATTATTAGAGACTAAAGACAGAATAGCCCCTAAGCGGAACAGTATTTCATGCTCTTTCTAAGAACGCCTAAGTGCAACACCAAAAACAGTGTAGAGCTATATTTCAGAACAATACCTGAAGTTATCAGGCTAAAGGTAGCAGGCCACTACACTGTTTGAACAAGGCCGATTTCTCAACAGCTTAGCTTAGTTCGTTCCAGTGGCCCTCGCAGCGACGTCAATGGCCTCCGTACTAGACGATATACCACAACACTCTGCCCGTAAGCCCTTTTCGAGTATGCTTTCGATGAATTAGGCGTGAGAACGTACCCGTATTTCTGTGACAACTCACAGTAGTACCTATTCGTTACAATTCTTGTCTCAGTCGAACCTGGCTTTCTTTGGAATCCCAGCAGCGGTGGTGTTCATCTTGAGTGCGCTTTTGGCAGCCAAAGCTTGACGAAATTCCTCAATCAAACCGTTGTATTCTCGTGGGTAAGTAGCCTCAAAAAGGCCAGCAAACCAGCCTTTTTTGCGATTCGCGTTGATCCCGAGATCGCCGAGCAGCAGGCCGATATACTAGAGTAAGTCAATCAGCTACTCGTCTGATAGGTGTAAGCAAAGCCAGAGTCTCTTACCGGCAGAAAGTCATAAATAGCATAAGCGTTTTTCTTTCCTTGGGAGATGTAACGCTTGCGCGTCCAGACATTCCATTCAGCCACCTCTGTCTCCATATCTTCTTGGGATGGGAGATCGAGTAGCCCGAGCAGGAAAGCAACGCTCCAAAGCGCTTGTGTTTCGGCAACAAACGGCGTATAGATGGAGTGAATAAACCCGGGAAAGCAAATCGACCTGTCTCCTGACGCCGCAAGCTTAGGGACAATCAGTCGCCGGTAGTGTCGGCTTGGGCCATGTAGGAGCCTTCGTCCACCGGCTTCCTTGGCGAGGGCGTGACTCTCCCACAGAGTCGCCGGAGGGTTGCACAACTGTGGGAGAAGCTCGTCTACTTTTTCAACAGCTTCTGCTTCCAGTTTGGTCCAGTGTGACTCAACCCTTCGGTCCGTGGTGGGAACCAGGCCACACCTCTGTTGCGTTTGCTCACTAAAGACATGGTATGACTTGTCGAATCCGGTACACAAAATAATGTAGTCAGTCTCAAAAGATGTACCGTTCTTCAGGTGAACCATGCTAGTGCCCCGGAAAGAGGCAAAATTAGTGCGATGGACGGTGACATCTCCAGCATGGAACGTTTTCCAAAAAGATGGGACGCTGGCGGCACCGACGCCAGCTTGGGCCCAGAATATGCTGTCATGCTGTCAGCTCAATAGTTCATGACCGTTACTATATGTATCGATATGATGAAACAGAGAATAGGACTCACCCGTTCCCGGATGGTTTCGGCCTGAGCTTGGTCGCATTCTCGGACTTGGAATACCCTGCGTGAACGTCGGCTACCCAATTGATGGCTATCCAGAAGATCCAGGCCAAGAATCGGCCCAACGCGGTTCTCTGGAAGAACTGATGACCATACCCATCAGTGCTCATAATGCTTGCTCCCATCAATCGAGTGATGCCCATCGTTGTCACATCCATTGTGTTGATCAGGCCGAAGATTGTGGGCGGCATAATAGCCAATGGACCGGAACCGTCCTCTCTGATGATCCAATTCACCTTCTTTCCGGCCTTCAGTAATAAGAAAACGGTGTCGTAGGCAGACTTGGCTCCTCCCAAAACAGTCGCGGTTTGTATCTTATCCAGCGCATTGAGATGTGATCCAACGTCGGCAGAATGGATCACGGGAGAGCTAAAGGTCTCGTCCGTCGGCCACTTGGGTACAACAGGGTGCGAGGTGGCACCCGAGGCATATATCAGTTTCTTACACTCGACTGGAGGCTTTCCAGAGATCTCTAGGTGCCATGTTTTGTCATCAAGCTGAGAAACATTCGTTACCGTCGTCTGGAGGCGTGTTCTCCGAACGAGGTCAAAGTCCTGTGCAAAATCGCACAAGTATTGATGAATTGTCTGCCCAGATATGTAGCCATCTTCTGTGATACCTTCACGTTTCATCGGGTAGAACGAGTATTCGAACAACCCGTGATTGATCTGTGCGTAGAGAGATGGGTAGATCTTCTCAGCGCTCCACACCCCTCCAATCGTAGCCTGCTCGTCAATAATGATCAAGTTCGCTGAAGCGCTTAGGTCCAGGTATGTCTTGGCGGCTATGAGTCCATTCCACCCTACAGGTCTCTCCGGGTCAGTACGTATACATTCGGTGAGCTGGGATGTAAAAAGAAGCCTTGCAGGGAGCGCGTGCGAACATACCGGCGCCGACAACCACCACGTCGACCTTTTCAGCTGTGGCTATTGACCCCATGATGGACTGTGTTATTGATGATGGTCAAGTAAGGACTGATGGAGCTCTCTCACTGTCCAGAGTGAGGTGTACTTGTTTTGTAGCGCGCGAGTGTTAATTTGCAAGGGAGCAGAAAGGTAGTCCTTCTCTGCGGCTGAAGCCCCCAATATTGATACAATGTATAAGACAGTATAAATGCATGCTTGAACATGCCGTCCTCACCGTGAACATGCCGCTGTTAAAGTGCAAATCGGTATATTCGGGCCGCAGCGGGCCGCATGTCCGGGGATCGGGGATCGGCGGCCAAGCCGGCACCGCCGTGCTGAGATTCAAAGAATGCGGCGAACGATGTGACGGCTGGAAACACGTTGAATGGCTAATCCCCATACTGCTCACATTTATTATTATTCCGCTCGATCTTAATAATGCGGTGCTCCCTATCATCTAATGGGACGCTGCCAACCCTTCCAGACGCCGTTTTACGCACTTTGTTACTACCCCTTCGGTCTTTCTTCTTTCTTTTTTCTTTTTCTTCTTATCTCAGCCATGGCTGTATACCAACGTTACATTTTTCGGTCATTGGCCATTGCTGGCTTCACGGCACAATGGGGTTTGATGATGCTTAATGGCAACTTTCTCAAATGGATTTCGACCAGGTTGGATGGAGAGTTTCCATCTGGCTCTCCGCTCAAACCAAGCTTTTTGGGATTTTGGCCTCTTGATTTTTCCTTGGGGCTTCTCGTAACCTTCTTCGGGTCGCTCACCATTCCATCAGAACTGCCTAACTTGGGACCCATGCTGCTGCTACTGGATCTGGTGTTTGCTCTCGTGGTAGTGAATATGATGACACTTGTCGAAGATCGGCGGAATAGAAAGATAGGCTCGCTGCGTTAGTATGTCAAAGCTCAATTGAATCGTCCCTCTTTGACTCCGGTGCCAGTGCTCTTGCTGACATTCATCATCGCAGCCCTGCTCTTTGGCAATCGCTCAACAACTCTCTCGGCGCGGCATCAATCCTGCCAATATATATGGAGCGATATCTAAAGAGACAGCCAAAAGCTCTATTTCCCCTTCCGGATGCGCAGGCAGATGCACTTCCTTTCTCCGCCGTTTGGAGCATTGCCATTTCGCTTCCGGTCTTTATATGTCCGATGGCCGGGGCTACAGCGATTCGCACTCAGGACGCTATCGTGCTCTGGTTTCTTCTGCCACTCACACTGGGCGTATTTCAAGACCTGGTAAGCCATGCAATGCCATCTATTCGCGTCGGCAGGCAAGCGACGAACCCTGTCAAAGTCGCCTACGCTATTGTAGGCACCGTGAGTGCCGTCATTCACGTCGGTGTGTGCTTCTGGGCCGTTTTCAATCCCGACCTTAGCTTGACCAGCATCTACTGGCCAAATCACGCATCTGTACAGCAAGAGAGGTTCCGCTTTACAGCAGCCGCTGTACTCTTCACGCAGTACGATTTCCCCATTATTTACTTTAGCCTGATTGCTACCGGTTATTACATTTTCAACTCCCGAGAGGCCCCATCCGGTATCAAATCAAATAGTACGTCATTATTTGCCACTCTTATTGTCATCAGTGCTGCTTTCGGACCTGGGGCTGGGCTGGCATGGCTACTATGCCACAAGGAGACACTTCAGGAGGCTGAACGTACTGTATCAAGTTAGAAAGATTGAAGACGCCGGTTAATGTGTACACAATTAGCCGTTGTGCAACACGTCAAGGGAAAACAGGAGCAATGCGGACAGCAGAAGGGAAGGGTGTCTCAGAATTGAATCTCCTTTTTCTTCCATCGCCGTATCCATTTATGTTCATTAGTCGATGTATGAAATGGCCAGCCAAGCTGGGGACATTTCAAGGTGATGGAGAGTATATAATGAAAGAAATAGTGATACTGAGCGTCCCCAACATTATGTCAAGCTGTTAATAAGTAGTGTCATAGATTATAGTCAAAGCCGTGACAAGTACAACGGGTGCCAAACGTCTGGCCACATTTGAGAACCAACATCCATGGCGGCGATGTTTAAACGTACTGTTATCTCACATTATCTATTATAATTTATTCAGCTTCAAACTGGATTAATGAATGCTTGATCAAATTTCATTTAATACCGTTTTGGTTTAAGATAACAGATTAGATTAAGCTGTAGCTAGTCGAACCGAGGAGCTCTAAATTAGAGATATGTTTTGCCACAAGTGCCTGCAATAAAATATGGCCGATCGTGTCTGACCGAATCTCAAAATTCTACAATTCTGCGTAGAAAATCCTGTAGAAAATCCTTCGTAAGTAGGTAATCTCGCGCAAAGAACTAAAGTAAGCAGGAATCTATAAAAATCAACTGTGTTATGGTACAAATGTAGAAGATGAGAGCAGTTCAAAAACCACTAGTTACTATGGGAAATTGGGGATTGTGGCCAGACTTCTGGAATAATACTTATAGAGAATCAGTAAATTAGCAAACTATTCAAAGGTGGTAAACACAGTGTCGAAAAAAGGGTCGCTTTGATAATCTAGCTCCCCGCAGATGGTGTTGCGGCATAGCCGCTTGTCCGAATCCTCAACCCACGCGTCGCTGCCAACCCCATTCTTCACGTAGAGAAGAGAGTCTGGGTCGTATTTGTGTTTTATCTGGAATAGTCTCTCGTAGTTGGAGCCGTACATGACCTCTTTCCAATTGGGCTGCATGTAGTTTACTTCGTTCATGTACGTGCCACCTCCGGGCGTGGCCGCGTCCAACGTTGCCTGGACGTAGTTTACGGCAAGATCTTGACGTGCTGCCATATCCGCTGGAGAGGCGTGAGGATCCCAGCTACCCGATGGAACACAGAACGAGAGTGTGTCCCTCCACGTGGGCAACACTGCATTCAGGGGGTGCACCTTGTCACCGACACTCAAGCTTTGGCACGCAGTGACGTATCCAGGGGCTGTACTAATATTTCGCAGCGCCGCCATGACTCTGGCATTGCTATGTGGGTTGCTAAGCAAGTCACGCGTCACCATACGACTGTTGGTAAAGGTGGCATAGTGGAATAAGCCTTCCGGGAGAGGGCCCAGAGACCACGAATAGTGATCATAGAACCCTTTGGAATAATGCGGAGTATACTGGTAATCAATGCCGCGGCTCTTGAGGTCGTCCAAAAAGGGTTTCAGGTATGCGTTGGACTGCTCCAGGTCCGTGTCCGGCATGGTGATAACCCAGGCGATGAACGTGTCAGCCGTCATTCCATAAGTGAAGGAGTTGCCGGCATCCGAGAAATCCGGCAGCAGGGCATGGAAAGCGCCGACGGCCTCCCAAAAGGCATCAGATCCCACCTTAGAGTCGTCGAAGACAAGGCTTCCGCCCGATATAGTGGTGTCTGGATGCACCCTGGCTATCATGGACAGCACGACAGCGTAGTTGCCAGGACCGCCGCCAGTGAGTGCCCAGTAGAGATCAGAATGTTGTTCGGGGGTTGCGACCAGATGCTGGCCCTTGGCGGTGATGACTTCCCATTCCAAGACATTGTCGGAGGCCATGCCGTGGCTACTGGACAATAGAGAATGCCCACCACCTTGCGAGTATCCACCGGCGATGCCCACTGTGGGGCAAGCGCCGCCCACGATACGATGACCCACCGCGTCCGCAGCCGCATATGCCTCGAATCCCTGGACGCCCGCCCCGAGCTTCATTGCGGGCCCACTGTAGTGGGAAGACTCGTACTTGGGGATGAATTCGGTCGACTTGAGGTTGTGAGTCCACAGGGAGAGACCGCCCTTGCCGGTGGACCTCCCTAGGTAGTCGTGGCCGGTGTTTTTGATGACAATTCTCACGTTATGCTTCGTGGCAAATTCGAGAGTAGCTTTTATGTCGTCGGCGCCCGCAACATCAACCACATAGCTGACGTAGTTGCCCAGATCGCACGGCTGAGATCGAGGAGTGAACGGGTCGCACGTGTAGTTCTTGAAGTACATGCTCAATATCTCGGCCGGGTTGGCCATGCTGTAAGCATGTCAGCGGGTTCAAGACGAGATATGACAGTGGTATAGGGGACTGCTCTTACTGCGACAAAGATGGCCTCTCCCAGGCGGTCTGGAGCTCAGCACAAGCGTCCGCATCATAGTTGTTGAATGGCTCATCGTGACAGACACTGCCTGGGGGGAGCGAAGCGATCAAGCCACCGCCCAGCGTCTTGTTCAGGCTCTCCCAGTCTTGCGGCCTGGGCCAATCCGGATCTCCAGGGAGGACCTTGCATGAGTGACTTTCATCTTGAGTGCGCGCATAGCCTGCGGATACTGTGACAGCCAGGGCGACCGACAGCCAGAGTTTCAGACGCAGCTTTGAGGGACTCATGGCGTCCGTTCAGGGCAAGTTTCTTCTGGTCCCATGTTGATTTGTGTGACAAGGATCTCCTGTATATCAGTGTATTATCGCGGGGAGTCACGGCGACCCCCCGGCGTACAAGGCCTGGACATGCCGTGCTAGATTAGCCGGTCGGCATAGATACGGCGGAAGGGCGGAATATAGCGGTCCGCCGCCCCGAAGACAATGCAACGTGCATCCGGAGAACTCCTGTCCAGGCCCTGCATTGAGCGGGTCGGTGCAGATCCGACAGCAATACGAAGCTCATTCCAAAACATTGTCGAGGTTGTCAGTGCTGCTGGGCCCTTAAATGCCGTTGAATGGCTCATTCTATTTGGTTGGACTAACTGGGATGTGATACCTGGACACCGTGACACATGGGCTCTGTCAGGTAAATGTACGATTGTGCAAAATACGGTACCGCATGCAGTGCTCTGGAAGAGGGACAATTATTTTTGGTATGTGAGAGGAGAGGGTGTATTGTACAGTTGCTACTTTATAACATCATCTCGCCACGCTCTGGTCGACTCCGGTCGCTCTGGCCGCGAGTTCATTGTTGTCATCCGCAGAAACACTATCCTTTTCATCGTCATCCACCAGTCCAAATTCAGTGACTAGTTCCTTTCGGAGAGGCACTTCTTTGATCAAGCAGGCAAGGGGCACTGCGATGACAGTAAAAGCAATCAGGACCTGCCAGGACTGCTTGACACCCGCAGTGTAGATGTCGATGAGCTCCTCCTTCGTCGTAAGGTCGCTGTTAAACGACTTCATGAAGGAGGCTGTCGCGTGCTCGTACGCTCCACCGCGCTTCAGTAGTTCACGAACTTCCGGGTTGCTGATTTTATGAAGCAAAGAATCAACACGCGAGTTGAAGATGGCCGCGGGAATGGCCGCGCCCCAAATAGAGCCAAAGCTGCGGACGAATGCCCAGCATGCTGTAGCGATGGCAACGTCTGACTCTGGCAACGGCGCCTGTACCGCGGGAAGCGTCGCCGTCAAGGCCAATCCGCCTCCAATGCCGCAGATTAGCTGGAAGATAACCCATTCTGCTGTAGATGAATTGGCATCTAGGAGCGTCAGGCAGCCCGCGCCGATAGATAGCAGAGCGTAGCCTGCTACCATTGTCGGCTTATACCGGCCAAACTTGGCTATAATCAGGCCTCCAACAATTCCAGCCGGCATCAAGGGAATGACAATGGCGAGCAGGTCAACTCCGGATCTAAGAGGACTGGCCTCAAGAAGAACCTGGAAGTAGACGGGCAGGAAGAAGCTCAGCCAGCTCATCTCGATGCCATGGAGGAACGTGACGATGTACGATAGCATCGAAGTGCTGTTGCTGTAGAGGCGCACCGGCATGGTCGGCTCTGGGGCATAGATCTTCTGATGGAAGAAGAAGGCGACCAAGCCAGCGGTGCCGATGAGCAGCGGGACGAGCACATGCCACGAATCCCAAGGGTGTGATGTCCCACCCCATGTCAGGGCGATGAGGACAGCGACGACGGCCCCCGTCAAAAGCAGGTTCCCTGCGAAGTCAACCTTTTTCAGGCGGGCGGCCAGCGTGCCTTCACGTTTGTAGTGGACTCGTAGGAAGAGAAAGACCAAGGCCAAGGCCGTGCCGCCAATGGGCAGGTTGATGTAGAAGATCCATCGCCAGGAGATGTCGGTGACGATGACGCCTCCGATGATGGGCCCGATGAATGTCCCCAAGGCAAAGGTTCCCATGACAATTGACATATAGAGCTGTCGATCACGCAGCGGAACCAGATCGGCCACGATGATGTCGACCATAACAAACAGGCCCCCTCCCCCTAGCCCCTGGATCATGCGGGCAGCAATCAGCATGGGCGTGTTTTTGGCACCACCACAGAGCCCGCTACCGAGGGTGAAGAGGGCAATAGATAGCAACATGGGCATGCGACGGCCAAAAATGTCCGATGCTTGGCCAAAGAGTGGCTGCACCGCTGCCGTTGTAAGAAAGTATCCATTGATGGCCCAGACGTACAAGGCTCCGGATCTGAGGTCTGCGGCGATCGTGGGCAGGGCCGTAGCTACGATTGAAGTGTCGAGACCCGCGAGCAAGATGGAGAAGCAGAGCCCTGGGAACACGGCCCAGAAACGCCAGCCATGAGTTTCGCGGTTTTGGGGTGGAGATGACGAAGCCATGGCCGTCTCGGTGAATACGCAACTGCTGGTCCGATCTTACGTTAGCAGCCACGACACGAATATATCTCCAATTTCACGTCCCACTTTGATAAGGGGTGGCTTACTTGAGTAGGAGAATGGGTTTCTAGGAAAGCACAGGAGAAAGGGAAGTGGAGGATGGGCAGGATACATGATTGAGGAGCAAACAAAGAAACTCGGCTTGCGGGATTCCGCTCTCCGGGTCATGCAGCTCCGGTCAATAAGCAAAGAACATTCAACTCAAAAGTCCTATGTTTATCCCTGCGCATTGTACGATGCTTTCCTGTTGACTAAAGCCTAGTTTCGTTTTTCGCCCCTCTTTTCTTCTGCAACAGACCTTCCTTCCAGAACAACGCTACAGACACCGTCGACCCAGCTCCGAGCAATATACAGCCAGCCAAAAGTAGTGTGGACACAACCGCCCAGTACCGGCCATTTTTGGGAGAGCATTGAGCCTTGCGCAGCTGGAAAAATGCCCAGCCAACCGATGCCAGCGACATAAGAATCCAGTCGTACTTCAGAAACAACCAGGGCCCGTATGTTAGTGGGAGGACGACATCATGTGAATATTGGCCCGGCCAGGGGAAATAGATTCGCGCCACCGCCATCATGTCGCCTTTCGACAGGACCAGCGACCCGAGGGCGTAGACGTGCGTGACACCGGCGACGATGGCGCTGAGAGCAAAGGCAACCCGCAACCACCATGACGTTGTGTCTGTTTGTTCTAGAGCTGCCTTGGACGTCCACGGCGACTGGGCTTTTACCAGTAGCAGCTGGATAAGCGACACCAAGACAGGATCCGTAGACCACAAGGCCAGCACTATTTGGTGTGTACCATCGGACCTCGAATACCACCTCGTCATCATACCAACCACGGCGGGCAGCACGGCCCCAAGGAAAAAGCTGAATGGGATGGCTCTAGCAGAGGCTGTCGCACTTTTGCCTGCTGGAAGATAGGGGTGGTCGCGAATCTTCATCCGAACGAGGAAATATGCCGGAAAAGCGACAGCGCCGCCAAAGGCTTGCCACAGGAGGCCCCAAATGATCGGACTGCGTGTGTTTATGTAGAGTTAACACTTGCCAAGTACCATGTACAAATCGAGCAGCAAAACACTCCGCTTACTTGGTAGAAATTTGCTGCGAACTTAGCCGTAGCTGATCTGCATACAGCCAGACAAATGCAGGTTGCAGGATGGAATACGCGTCCATCACAAATAGTTGATAGTCAGGATGCGATCCGTCGGTGGCCGCAAAGAAGAAGGCTACCAGTACGGAGATTGGAAAGTCGAGTAAGAATATACCCGTGTATGTGGTGTGCAGGGCTTTTCCATCGTCGAGCACTCCGGTCCACGCGGCGGTAACGAGAGCCACAATGGTGCCGTTCCAGGCCATTACTCCCCATAGAAGTACAATGGCGGCCGCCAAAAGGGCCTGATAGTAGCGGGGCTCGCTGATGAAGAACATGTTTCAGAGCTGAATGTAGCGTGTTGGAAGCTTTTCGAGCTCCGAAATGGCGCATGCTTGTAGGAAAAGCGAGAGACCTTCTACGGGCTACTAAGAACAACTGCCGCGTAGTTTTCCAGAGACATCGATGTAGTCGGAGCGGTGCTTTTCGGCGTCCCGTGGAGTTCGTCAGACGGAGTTGCGCGGACCGCCAGTGCGCAGTCCCATAGCGGCCAGGGTTCAAATCCCCCATTTTAGGGAAATTGATGCCTGAATGCCTGTCTTTATACCGGCAGAAAAATGGGAATACCTGGATTACAATTACAGAGGCCTTACTAAGTAAAGTAGTCCTGAGGTCATATTTGTAAGGCGAAATAATTGAGGCTTTTCAAACCACACAAAATGATATATCTCCATTTTTCTAGGTGGTTTACTGCTCCTATGTAAAAGTGAAGCTTTTCAAACTATACAAATTGCCGTATCTCTATTGTGGTACGTGGTTTACTGCTTTATGTAAATGATCTCCTTCTACTCTGTCCCCTACGCACTCTTCTCTTCTTCACTAACCTCTGCAATATCACCTACGTCAACCTTCGACTTGTATTGTTTGAAAAGCTTCAATTTTACATGGGAGTAGTAAACCAACTGGAAAAATGGAGATGCGGCATTTTGTATGGTTTGAAAAGCCTCAGTTTAACATGCTCATATTACAATACCTTGTATCGGGCGGTCTGGGGGGCGGTATAAAGTCAGGCATTCAGGCATCAAAATGCCCTCCAAATGGGGTTTTGAACCCTGGCCGCTATGGGACTGCGCACTGCGCACCGCGTGTTTAGTTCGGCGCCGTAGAAGCATATTGCATACCGGAAGCATCATACCCGATTCTCGGCTGATAATTCCCCGATGATTATTCCCCAGCCGATAGCTAGCGATAGTCGCAATCGGTCAAAGATGTAGCTTGTAGATGATGATAAAGATGTATATATTGGCGTGCTCACACGTCGGTCTGGTTGTATTCTCAAGTGTTCAGGTCAATTTCTAACATCAGTCCCCTCTTAAAATGCATGCGGTCGACGAGACTCCGGCCATTGAGCCAATTGCCATTGTCGGAACGGGTGAGTGGTGTATGTCTTTGTGAAGAGTGTTGTGACTAACATTCGACAGCATGCCGACTTCCTGGTGGCATTGATTCCTCCAAGTCGATGTGGGAGTTGCTCCGAGCAAAGGGAACGGTGCGCACCGCCAAAGTGCCAGCCAACCGTTTCAACATCGATTCTTATTTGCATGAGAACTTAGACCGTCCCGGCAGCTTCAATGTACCGGGAGGATACTTCCTAGATGGCAACTTGGAGGACTTTGATCCCAGTTTCTTCAACATCTCCCCCGTCGAGGCTATGTGGCTCGACCCGCAGCAGCGGAAGATGCTCGAGGTAACTTACGAGTGCTTTGAGTCTGCAGGCATTGCCCTCGAATCCGTGGCAGGGACAAACACCGGCGTCTTCGTGGGCAGCTTTACCGCGGACTACCAGCAAATGTCATTCAAGGAGGCCGACTTCCGGCATAGCTACGCTGCCACAGGAGTCGACCCCGGCATCATCAGCACTCGCCTTGGTAACGTGTTTGACTTACGTGGCCCTAATTCGACTATCAATACGGCCTGCTCTTCTTCCATCTACGCCGTTCATCAGGCTTGCAACGCCCTACGTGCCCGTGACTGCGACGCCGCCGTTGCCGGAGGAGTTAACCTCATTCTGACAGTTGACCAGCACATTAACACAGCCAAGCTCGGCGTCCTTTCCCCAACATCTACCTGTCACACTTTTGATATCTCGGCAGACGGTTACGGCAGGGGTGAAGGCGCCGGAGCGCTTTACCTCCGACGTCTGTCCGATGCGCTCCGTGATGGCGATCCTGTGCGCGCCATCATCCGAGGATCCGCTGTCAACTCCAACGGCAAGGTACCTGGATATGGCATCACATACCCCAGCATCAGGGGCCAGGAGCTTGTGGTTCGCGCCGCCTACGCCCAAGCGCGTCTTGACCCGCTTCAGACGGCCTACGTCGAGTGCCACGGCACCGGTACGCCTGTGGGCGATCCGATCGAAACGCAGGCCATTGCCACGGCCATGAACGACACTCGTCCTGCGGACAAACCGCTGATTGTTGGAGCGTACGTTCACTTCAGATCCCCACACGCTAAAAGAGGACCCGGCTAACAAGGGAAACAAAACAGTGTCAAGCCCAGTATCGGACACAGCGAGGCGGCAAGCGGCATTTTCGCCGTCATCAAGGCGGCCATGATGACCGAGTCAGGCATCATCCCGGGCATTTACGGTCTGGAAACCGTAAACCCAGCCATTCGTGAGAAGGACTGGAACATTGTGATCTCCAAGGACACTGTGCCATGGCCCGAGAACGGCTCGCAGATCCGCCGCGCTGGCGTTTCGTCGTTTGGATATGGCGGAACCAATGGACATGTCATTGTCGAGGAGCCCCGAGGGGCGAATCCTTTCTCTCTTGGCCGCCGCAAGCAAGAGGCCAGTTACGGCTTTTCAGGTAATGCCACCAAGAGACCTTACCTGGTGGGCTTCTCTGCTCATGATCGCCGCACGCTCGAGCGCAACATCGAGGCGCACGCGCGCGTCGCTTCGGATTACCATTTGCCAGATCTCGCGTACACTCTCATGGCTCGCAGATCTCGATTCCCTGTACGGGGCTTCACCGTCGCGACAGAAGGCAGCGTTGAAGAAGCGCTGCAGACCTCGGCCATGACCATCGGGACTGCGCCGGCGACGCCTCCGCAGCTTGGTTTTGTCTTCACTGGGCAAGGCGCGCAATGGCCCGCCCTCGGTGCTGCCGCAATGGATGCTTTCCCGTCATTCCTTGCGACCATCCGAGCGCTTGACAAGGTCCTGCAAAGTCTCGAATTTGCTTCTCCCAGTTGGAGCCTGGAGGACGCCCTCAGACAGCCCGCAGGGGAGACCAACAGGATCAACGACGCTGAAATCTCTCAGCCCGTCTGCACGGCCATACAAATTGCCGTTGTTGACCTCTTCCACGAGTGGGACATTACGCCAAAGGTCACCGTAGGCCACTCGTCTGGTGAGATTGCCGCCGCTTACGCTGCCGGCGTCATCTCAGCCCCCGAGGCCATGCTGGCTGCTTATCTGCGCGGATACGCGGTCTCGAAACACGCTTCTGTTGGCGCCATGTTAGCCGTAGGACTCGGCTCAGAGGATGCGCAGCTTTGGATCCCAGAGGACGGCTCTATCACGGTCGCCTGCCAAAACTCACCCTCAAGCACGACGCTCAGCGGATCATGCGAGGCCATCTCCGCACTCGCCAAGGAGCTTCAGGAGAAGCAGATATTCGCACGAGAGCTGCCCACCGGCCGAGCCTACCACTCGCAGCACATGCTTCCCGTTGGCCAAGCATACGACGAAATGCTGATTCGAGCAACATCCGCTCTGAGCGACGACGTGAAATTCTCGTGGCGTCGTCCACGTGCAACTTGGATATCCTCCGTGACCGGCGCCGAATTCACTGACGATCAGATTGAGCCTACATACTGGAGCCGCAATCTTGTCAGCCGAGTTCGCTTCGACGAGGCCATTGCTGCTTTGGGGCAACATACAGCTCTGACCAATGTGAAGGCCATGGTAGAAATTGGACCCCATCCCGCCCTCTCATCTCCATTCAAGCAGATCTGCCAGGCAAACGATCTCAAAGGCTTCACCTACACGGCCTCGCTGGTGCGTAACAAGGACAGCGCCGAACAGCTCCTCCGAACAGCAGGCGCCCTCTTTGTGCAAAACTACCCCATCGACGTGCACGCGGTCAACGAGACAGGCGAAGTCAAGCAGTTCCCCAGGCTGCTGGTTGACCTGCCGCCTTACCAATGGAACTACGAGAAGACGTACTGGGCCGAGCCACGACTGAGCGATGAGCAGCGCCATCCCACGCATGGACGCCACGACCTCCTGGGGAGCAAGATGTTCGGCCTGTCGAGCAAGTCCATGGCATGGAAGAACTTTATCAGACACAGAGACATTCCTTGGCTCAAGGACCATAAAGTATGTTACGGCGCGGCGAAACATGTCCAGCTTGTAGTTTTATGTATCGCGCTAACCTCATTTCCAGTTGGGCAACGAAGATATCTTCCCTGCCGCAGCCCACCTGTCGATGGCTGCGGAGGCTCTGTGGCAGGTCTGCGATGTCCGAGGCGAGCATATTGAGAGTGTGACATTCCGAGACGTTGTTCTTACCGTTGCGCTCGCCATTCCTGACAACGAAGACGGGATCGAGACGCAGCTACGCTTTGACGAAGTCGATGACGCCTGGTTCAAGTTTTCGGTACAGTCATGGTCGGAAGGCCAGTGGAACGTTCATTGCGAAGGCCTGATTGCCGCCAACCACCGCTCGCAACCCGTATCAGGCGAGCGAGACCATCCCGTTGACACTGTCAACCTCAAGCAGCGCATTGCTGCCAAACACTGGTACGACGGGTTCAAGCGAGTTGGCTTCGAATACGGGCCCACCTTCCAGACGATGAGCAACATTCGCACCAACCAGAATATGCAGCAGGCCGCAAGTGATGTGAACGTGCTCACCAAGAGCACCGCCGCCATGGTGGGCGAATCCCGGTACTTGTTGCACCCGTCGACCATTGATGGCTGTCTGCATCTCGTCATCGTATCCATCAATTCTGGCAGGTACGCGGAGATGCAGCACGGCGTGGTCCCCATCAAGTTTGAGGAAATTACCGTATGGCCTCAGAAGAATGTCGAGGCCATCACTGGTCAGGCTGTTGGGTGGTGTGACGAGCAGGACGGTCGTTACTTCGACTGCGGCACCAAACTGGTCGGACCAGACGGACAAACGATTCTGGATGGCCGCAACCTGCGATGTGTCTCGTATGAGGCCGCTGTGCCCCAAGAAAATAGCGCAAAGCGAGATCGCGAGCCCTACGTGGAGACAGTCTGGAAGGCAGACGTGTCCACCTTGACCACAAAGCAGGCCACTAACATCTTCGAGTCGGCCAGCACAGAAGGAGACATGGCCACAAAGTTCTTGGAGCTGGCGGAGCACAAGAAGCATGTGTCGACCGTTCTCATCATCTCGAATGACGATTCTTCAATGGTTGAGGCGGTTTCGGCCATGGCCTCTCCTCTCACATCAGTCATTGCGACCATGTCGTTCGACGTAAAGAACAAGTTCGTGTCTGAACAACTTCCTCCCAATGTTAACGTAATCCCCAAGGAAAGCAATGAAGACTACGACTGGAACGGGGCGCTGGCTGGACCCCATGATGTGGTCATCGTCGGGAAGCAAAGGAATGGGTGGAATGGGCCCGATCTGAACACGCTGCAGCAGATCGCGTCTCACATGGACCGAAAGGCACGGGCTGTCTTCTGCATTCCGAAAACGTCAGTCGACTCTTTCGGGGCTTTGCTGCAGAACGCCGGCTTCTCAGGCATCGACTTCCTCTGCCAGTGTCCAGAGACATCCTTGATCGCCTCGACCTTGCTAGAGGACACGCCGAACGAGCACGTCTTTGACGCGTCCCGCGTCACTGTCCTTCGAAGCGATGATGAGCCTTTGACATGGTCACCCTCGGGACTTGGTGGCGACGATATCGTGGAGACTTACAACATCTCCCAGGTTGGCGAAGCCGACCTAGCCCGCGCTGGAAAGATTATTGTCGACGACACTGCCGGTACCCTCTGGTCGAATCTGAATGACAACACATTCGGCGTGCTCAAGACCGCCCTCACCGGCGAAAAACCTGTCGTCTGGCTCACCTCCGGCGTCAATCAAGGTGTGTCCTTGGATGCAGCAATGTGTATGGGCTTACTGCGCGTGGTGCGATCCGAATTTGCCTCTGCGAAGGTTTTGTGGCTAGACGTCGATCGCGACCAGGATTTGGCGACTATGACCGAAGCACTCAATGCCAAGTTGGGTCATGTCATGACCAAGAACTCTGTTTCTGACACTGAATTCTGGCTCCGTGATGGAGTCTTCCATGTCCCGCGCGTGGTGCCTCACAAGCAGCTTAACCAACAATTTTCCGCCAACTCCGGCCAGGCACAGGAGAGTATCCTTCCTCAAGACAAGACGCTCAAAGGCAAAGTGCTCAACGGCCAAATCATCTTCCGCGAGGAGAAGGACGCTCCTCTAGAGCAAGGCGAAGTGCGGCTTCGTGTCGAATACGCCAACACGACTAACCCCACGCTCGTGTCCGGGACCATCACCAACGCCCACGCCGGACTGGATCAATCTGTGGTAGGACGCAATGCCGTTGTATTCACCACTAATTTGTTCCAAACAGCGATCACCACTCGACTGGGTCTTTGCGTATTCCTTGGAGATGGTCAGGTCCAGTCCGCCATGGTGGCCTCATTGCCCAGTCTTGTGAGCGGTCTCAACGCTGTCAAGGGGCTGGCGAATGCGCGAAAGGGCGAGCACATCCTCGCACTCCCCTCGGCATCTGCTTCATCCCTGGCTGCCCTTTCCGTTCTCGCCGCCTCGTCGCAGTTGCATTTGACCGTCGTCGCCGCGACATTGGCGCAAAAAGAGAATTTGGTCCTGCATCACAACATCGCATCCGACAGCATTGAAGTCGCCGAGAGTGCAGCATCTGTCTACGGAAACCTCAAGCAAAAGGTGCAAGAGGCCGATGTGATTATTTCAAACGATTTCACGCCTCTTGCCCAGGAGGTCTGGCGTTCAATCCCAGCCGGTGCCAGGTTCGTGCTTGACGGCGGAGTGCTCGACAACGCCCCCGACGCTATTCCATTCTGTAGGGGCGCGTCGTTCTTCTCCACTGGGCTCTCCAGATTGCAGAAGCGGGAGCCGCAAACTGTTGCGAAGCTCCTTGGAGACGCGACCGCGTTTCTGGAAGAGAACGGACGCTTCCAGAGCAAGCCAGCACTGGTGGACATTTCGGACGCTGCCCATGTGAAGACTTCGGGTCTCAGAGCCTCTGTCATCAAGTACGCTTATGGCTTCAGCAGAGTCAAGGTACGGAGCTTGTCCCGAGTCCTTGGAATTGAGAGTTTGCTAACAGTACCTTGCAGATTCAACCAATGGAGAAGACCATCGCGTTCTCTCCCGACGCCGCTTACATTCTCGTGGGCTGCCTCGGTGGCCTCGGTCGCAGCCTCACAGCGTTCATGATGGAGCGTGGCGCAAGGGACTTTGTATTCCTCTCTCGCTCTGGAGCAGATAAGGCTGATGCGGCGGTGGTAAGTGCCTTTTATCTCTTTTTAGCATCTTCCGTTGAAGAAAGAAAAGCATGGTACTGACGCTTTAACACTATAGCTGGTGAAATCACTTCGTGAAGCTGGCGCTACCGCCGATGTCCATCGGGGCGACGCAGCCAATCAGGCTGATGTGAACAGAGTTGTCTCCGAGGTCACCAAGACGCGTCCGATCCGCGGCGTTGTGCATGCTGCCATGGTGCTGCAAGACGGCATGTTTGACAGCATGAGTCTGTCCCAGTTCCAAACAGTCGTCGAGCCAAAGGCCAAGGGCGCTCAGACTCTGCACACGGCGCTACAAGACCACGAACTGGACTTCTTCGTCATGACCAGCTCCATCTCAGCGACTTTGGGCAACCCAGGCCAGGCCAACTACTGCGCCGCCAACAGTTACCTCGATGCTCTAGCGTGGCATCGCACTCTGCGCGGCCTGCCTGCCGTCTCACTCATCCTTCCCATGGTCCTCGGTGTGGGAGTGGTCGCGGAGAACAGCAGTATTGAAGCGGCGCTCGCCAAAAAAGCCATGTACGGAGTAGATGAGCGTGAAATGCTGCGCGGCTTCGAGACGGCAATGCTGCAGCCCGTTCCTGCCATTGGAAAGACCCCATCTCTCGGTAACAGTCAGATCATTCTCGGCCTGGAACCAACATTCCTGGCTGCTGCCATTCGCGAATCAGGTTCCACGGACGCGGCCTATTGGTATCCAGACGCACGGTTCGGGTCTCTGCGGACCACCGTCGATGACATGAGCAAGCAAGGTTCCAGCGGAGACAACAACATGGCGGCAGCGATGCTGGCGGCTGACGCTGCAGCAGTCCTGCTGGGCTGCGACTTCATCATCAAGAAACTGTCCGCCATGCTTTTGATCCCGATCGAAGAGTTTGAGCTGGAGGGCCGATCTGTGGGATCATATGGTCTGGACAGTATGGTCGGTACTGACTTGCGCAACTGGTTGTTCAATCAGTTTGGATTGCAGATGTCGTTCCAGACGTTGCTGGGAGCAAAGATGTCAGTCACGGCCTTGGCTACCGCCATCCTCCAGCAGTTGATGCTGGAGGATACTACACGCCCCGTCTCTGAAGTCCCGACCGGGTCAAATCAGGAGACGGCGAGCTAGGGCTCTTGGTTCTATTGCTTGGTGCCCGGATTTATAGGGGCTGTTCTAGGCGGGAGAGTCTTTGCTCTACCTAACGCCCTGGGAAAGCATTGTAAATGTCAAGTCCATTTCTACCAAGTGATCCACTGTTTGCGTTGTTTGTTGTAATTAGTCAGCTTCTCACATATATAAATTGCCAGCAAATAGGGAAATATGACAGAAATCGGTCTGTATGAAATGTATGGTATGAACTCAGTATATCAAACTCTCTGTATTTCTGTATACGCGCTCCTTACAATTTATATGGAGCATGATTATCTAATCAAAATAAAAGAGGATTCATAAATCCTCTGGTATGCTTGGCGTAGCATAATATTACCTGTGTATTGTACAGTGGCATTTCATGAGTATTTGCACCCCAGTACTCCGAAAGGCTCCAGGCCACCTTCCATTCTGCCTGTTAAAACTTCATTCAACCCCTTAAGTAATAAGCAGTAACTAGAAAGCTCACATACACGCTCATTGATTTATAGTAGAAACTCCAGCTTGCGGGCTATGATATAAGAGAGTACAGGGAAAGCACTAGGTGGAAGTACTGGGGTGTAAATACTCATGAAACATGACTGTACCGTGTACGCAGACTCGGTATTTGACAGGCTTCGTTAAGCTTATGTAATAATCAGGTCGTGCTCAGTAAGCAAGTCAGAGCGCCCAGGTCACGCTCAGTGAGTGGGATTAGGCTGCCCAATGAGCAAATCAGAGTGCTCAGGTCACGCTCAGTGAGTGGGATCAGGCTGCTCAGGTGACGCTCAGTGAGCACGTTTAACGATTACGTAATACTCAGGGGCGTGCTCGGTTCTCAGTGAGCAAACGGCGGCAAGGGGTGAGCACTAAAACGGAAAGGGAAATCCATAACTATTGATCGGCCTAAAATCCGGTGTATATGTAGAGATGGCTCTAGAATCACAAGTCAAAATAAAGACACCAACGCTCTCCATACAACTATCGCCTATATCTATTTCTCTAGATGTTCAAACGATCAATCAAGACATATCTATGCACGTAGTATCGCAATGACGTAGTATACGGCAATGACGGAACAATTCCTTCGAGCTCCATTAATTTTTAGACAAAATCCCCCGGCAGCCCTGCAAAAAATATAATGGGGAGATCTAAGTTGCATATTGAAACAAAAGCACAGCTCTACTAGACAATCACAAAACATGTCTTATCAAGGTCATTGTAATTGCGAGAGTATTCGTATCACTCTTCCCCAGCAACCTCCGAGTTCAGCCATTTGCCATTGGTATGAAATCTGCTTGAACCTTGAAATCTCTTATTTCGAAGGTAGCATACTAAAATTATTCTGACAATATAGCGATTGTTGCAAGCGAGCAGGTGGTGGTCGTGAGTACATTCGCTAGGGCTGAGAAACAGTGTACATTTATTTTACTTACAGCCATCTTAGCATTCTCTATCAACTACTTCGTCAACGAGGATGAAATGACCGTCGAGGATCCAGATGCGACATTGAAGATCTACGAGGACAAGAAGGCTGTTAGTGGCAATACTGTGAAGGTAAATGCATAGCTCCTTTGTCAATTTTTGAATACTAATGGCTGAACTCCAAAACAGCGTCATTTCTGTTCTAGCTGTGGCAGGTATGTAAATAATACAAATCCAGTGATAACAATAGCTGACACCCATCGCAGTCCAATCTTAACCAAGTCCCCTAAAGCCCCTGGGAAAGCCTTTCTGAAGGCTGCCTTGTTTGACAGCGTTTCTCCTCCCGTAACAGAGATATTTATCAAAAAGCAATGCCAGTGGGTAACTATTGAGCATAGCAGAGAAAAGAAAGAATGATCTCAATTGATATTTTGAGAAAATGTATATATAAAGAAAGAATAGATTTTAATATGTATGCATTGTCTTGTGCAATGCACTCGAGAGCCTATTACTAGTCGACAATCATTTGAACACATGCATAAACTTGCTGTAGCTCGCAGTTCTATTGTCTTTCAATGCTGATATAGCACGTCGAGCTGCTAAGGAGCTAAGGAGCTAAGCCGTACAGTCAAAATGCGGGGCGTCGATCCATGGAGAATCCTGCTTTGACCCTTCACCCCCAAGATAGTGAATTTGATCGTAGCCATGCGCTCTTCACCGGGCTGAATCATTCCTGAAAATATGACAGAAGTCCATACTCAAAATTCTGGTCTTAGACGACCATCGGGTGTCATTTTGCGGAACATCCGACCGCAAAACAACCACGACTTGAATATCCACGAAGCGCACGAGCTCCAGGAGATCCAAACGCACGAGGACAACGAGCTGGACTACTCATCGCCATTTGTTTCATCTGGCGATGGATATCGCGTTGTAACGCGCCGTACTACATCACGCACTCTCGCATCGCGTGCCGAGGCGCGGCAGCGCCGCCAAGCTCGGAAGGGGATCTGGGGGAAGCTCACTCAGCTTTGGACGCATAATGTTACTCTGACGGTGCCACAAAAGAGTAGTCGGGATTACTTCGGTGCGCCTCCTACGACTTGTCGATTTGCATAATACTGACCCTGCCCGCAGCTTTGGAGAGGACATTCCTCGCGTATATCCGCACCTCCGTCGCTGTCACCCACCAAGGCGTTCTAATTGCGCAGCTGTTTCGTCTACAGGCGGCAGAGGCGTTCGCGGATCGACTTGGATTTCGTAAGGTCGGTACACCCCTCTCGGTCGCGTGTTACTGTGTGGGTATTCTCGTGGCTTTGGTCGGGGCGTATCGATTTTGGAGGCAGCAGAATGCCATCGCTAGGGGCAAGGTCTATGCTGGAGGCTGGGAATTGAATTCTGTGGGGATATTACTGGGTTGTGTGAGTGGTGCAAATGCTTTTTTGGTTTTGTAACTGACAATGGCCAGATTACTCTAACGGTGTTGATTGTGTCGACTGCTATTATGATTGAGGTTGACATGGACCCGTCTGTATTTATTCGACGAATATTGGGCAGGTGAGTGGTGGCGGATCATAGAGATATAAGTGTGTACTAGTCCTATCTTGACAGCTCTACCTATTATTAGTCTTATAGCTAGGTTGAGTAAATCTAATTCTAATGATTACAGCTATATTGTTTTTGCATACGGAGTAGAAGAGCTATAATTCACTGGGAGTTGAAGACTAGCTGCACAGCCCCTTTAGCACTACAAAGAAACTCTGCTTGATTTTGTTTCTATACATCAAACCCAATCAGATCATTCAATATGCCTTGATCCACTTGCGCCCGATAGTAAAAGTAGAGCGCCCTACTGGGCTGGGGCTAAGTCTATCTTGGCATGTCCCTCGTATTCAACGTGGAACAAATATACTAAGAGCCCCGCCCCTAGAAGACAGCCATATCTCTTATGCATGCAAACCCACCAGACTCATGTTGGAAGTTCTTGAAAAACACTATTGATCATCCGACTCCATACAAATATTTGGCCCAAATATGTCAACCCTCGACGAAGCACTATCCAAACAACACAGCCTATCAGTCTGGCACGTCTACCACAAGGGAGACGAGCACATCTCAATCACACCATTCCTAAATCCGAAAAAGGAGACTGGATTCAACAAGAGACCTGCAGGATACTCCAACACCCGAGACCGAGATAATGAAACCGACAGTTATTTCGTGCACCATCCGACTCTTCTATTACACGATGCACCACGTACTCTCCGTCGCAGAAACAAGAACGGAGCGCCCATCTGCCTAATAAAATGCGGTGCCTTTTGGCGGAATTGGACGATCCAGTTCAGCGATAATCTGAAAGATGTTATTGATCCTAGAGGCGTGGTAAGATGGGAGTGTCGCAGTAACCCAAACAATACAACTCTCAACGATGATCATGCTTTGAAAGGGTATAAAGTCCGTACGTGGAGGGTGTGGGGGGAAAGTGGGAAAGATTATCACCGTCAGGTAAATGCGAGACGAAAGGTGGAAAAAGGAGAGTTTGCCAACGGGAAGAAAAAGGCGACGGCCCTACCTGGTGCTCCCGTTGAGATGGGGAACATAGGGAATGTCACTGAAGCGAGGAAGCAAGGCTTGAAGTATTCACAAACAGAACATCCCAGCCCAGCGCCACATACGCCTATACTACAGCCAGCTGTTGCTGAAGAAGCAGTCCGTCTCAACTGGAGCTCTCCACTTTCGTTAAATCCTCGACGTTATAGGTTCGAATACGCCAATATCAAGTTCTCCTGGGAAGGGACGAGAGACATCCACCCGGATAACAAATTGGCGAGATGGCTCATGCCTTTCAGTCACTTGAAGTTGATTGCCAGGCTCCCTGGGATTGAGAGCGAAGATGTTTTCGTTGGTCAATACACACCAAGCTTCGCGTGCCGGAAATTTGGCCAGTTGTGGATTTTCAACTCTACGGTATCTAAGCTCCTTGATGGAGAGCATTCCTTCACTTTGACTCAGCAAGCTGCAGCTAGTGAATTGCGAGATGTTAGGGAGACTCGACTGTATGAATTGATCATGACGACGGCTGTGTGTATGATAATTGGAGAGAGAAAGAAGCGGCATACTCTCTTGTTATTGCTTACAATAGCCGCGGAGGGGGGAAGTGCGTTTTAGATTGAACTGCAGTACTTCATAATCGATTAATTTGCATCTATCCAACATTGAAATCTATGTGAAAGTTACGGATATCCATTCTTGGTGCTTCGGTTCTCATAGGCTGCACCATACACAATCCGATTTGTGAGCATAGCACAATCTTTTCAAAGTAAACAATCTTTTCAAAGTAAACAATCTCTTCAAAGTAAACAATCTTTTCAAAGTAAACCAATTGCATGATTAGATTAGTTCATGACACTCATAGGCTATTAATAGTTAAACTGATACGTGTATATACATGTATGCGATCCTTCCCCTGTTATAATACACGAGAAGACCATCAATACGAGAAGAGTGATGGTGAGCGCAGTGTGTTTGTTTGAACAAAAGATCTCATCAGTAAGAGACACGAAGTTCCTCTTCAAGGACATGCCATTTTCTGACAACCTCTGCGCGTTCGTCGGGAGTCGATGCCTGCATGTCTTCAATGCCTTGTTCTATCCGAGACGCCATAATACCAAGCTCCTGGCTCCTGCTTAATGATTTTTGAAGTTTTCTGCGAAGTCCAACTAGAGGATACCCAAAGAGTCCCCAGAGACCTAGATAGAGTCAGAATGGGACAAGCACAATGAAAGAGCTAGTGTGTGACACTTAGCGTTGACATACCTGCTGGTGGCTTAAGGAAAACACCGCCAATTCCTTTCCCGATTCCCTTAACCAATCCTTTCGCTCCTTGCTGTTTGGCACCATATCGAGGCTGGGTAACTAATCCCGTGATACCGTAGTAGAATCCATCTCGAAATTCCTACATAAAGGTCAGAAATCAGCTCGGGCCTTTTGATCACCGAGGACGGGTGGTATACCTTTCCAGCTGCCTCGAGTCCACTCTTAAAGCCGACAACTTTCGGCGTTTCTTTGATCATTTGGTCGTGGTACATCCTCGGTGCATTGTGGAATCCTTTCGACATGCTGAGGGTCAAATCTGTTGGGAGCCAGAGTATGTTTTTCAAAAACTTCTTCGACATTCGACTGCCTTGAGTGCGTATTTCGTAGACTACACCGTTCCCCCTGGGTGACTCTAGATAGCTCAGCAGTTCCAATTGATTACGCGGCAAGCCATGTTTCGGGCCAACGGCGCTAGCTGGTAAATTATGATTCATTTTGTCATGTCTCACGTTGTCAGCTTCGTTGTCATTTGTGTCGAGGCTTATCCTATCATCAATGCCAATACCATCCTCATCATCATTATCATAATCGTCATCGTTATTGGACTGGCCAAGTCCTTGGCACTCGGCGGGCCCATGATACTCAGCAGGTTCATGATACTCGGCGGATTCATGATACTCGGCGGGTTCATGATACTCGGTGGATTCATGATACTGCTCCTCATCACTATCCGTGTCTGACTCTTGGCTTCTGCGGAATTTCCTCCATGAAAATCTTCTTGGCGGATCAGTCTGGGCACGAGTCTGACCTATTGCACGACTGGCGTTGACGAAATCGGTAACGATTTCATAAGGGACCTCGCCGAGGCCGGTCACAAAGTTCGCAATAGCTCCGAGTAGAACCTGGGCTCCTGCACTGACAGGGCCTACAGGATTGCGGTATGTGTCATACTCCGATGCTCGATTCCTGGAGAGTTTGTTAGTAGTCTGAAAATACCTTGCTGGGGGTCAACCTACAAAGCGACATTCTCTGGTTTGATAAGCCCCATTTCAACCAGTACTGCTGCAGCAAATGTACTGAGCCCAATGGAAGTTTGCTTAATGTGCCACACAGCAGGACGAGCGGGACATATTGCGCATCGTAAAGTCTTCAGGTTAAGATGCCGATGAAAGCTGCGTACCCCATCTCGCACACCGGACTCTTTCTGCATCTTACACGCAATTTCCTGCGCCTTCTCTTGGGTTGAAGGTTTCAGTGCGGTCTGAATTGCGTCGGTTAATTTCTCAGCTGTGAGTTGCTTGTGAGGCACAGGCTGCGGCCCGGCCCCAGCAGCCGCAACGATTCCTCCCCAGAACTGTTGATCTCCAAAGAAGGGAACGATAATGGTCGGACGTCCAAGAGCAAGTCCTGCGGCAGTGGTACCCGCACCACCGTGGTGAATCACGCATGATACATGGAGGAATAACCAGTCATGTGGTACGCTGCCGATGATGAGGATATTATCTGGTACATCGACTTCGTCGACTCCGAGGTTTCCCCAGCCCTTTGAAATGATTGCACGCTGGCCGGCATTGTTAATCGCTTCGAACACGATTTTAGTTAATTTGATTTGGTTTTCTACCACAATAGAGCCGAATCCAGCATAGAGTGGGGTGGGTCCTGCATTGAGGAAATCGATAATCTCTTTTGGAGGCTGGTAGTCTGACTTTTTAGGTAGCACGCTGAAACCGCAAATATCGATGTGGTCATCCCAGTCGCGTGGCTTTGGCAACAAGGCCGGCGACCTGAAGTAAGCCATAGTTAGTTGTTCAAATCCGTCAACCTCGAGTCAACTTTGAGTCAGCATACCACAGATATGAGAACGGAACACCGAGACGCTGGGGCAAACTCGGCGCCGTGATCCCATCTAACGGATCGAGTGCGAGGCATCTCTTCCGCCACGAATTGACAAGGTCTCCCAATCCCTCCCAAATCATTATATCCACAACAGTATACGATATCAGGTTTGCAACTGTTGGCTTGCACTCCTGCTGGTGGAGAACGGCCAAAGGATGCGGAAACGCCTGGGTAGCCGACCAGGGCATTCTAGAAATTTTTTGATTAGGGTGTCTCTGAATATTGATGTCTGAGAATGTACTCACGTGAACATCATATGAAGTGGAATTCCCAGCCGCTGTGCGCAATGAATATGGCCCAAGCTGGGTGGATTAGCGATTATTGCATCAGCAACAAATGGCCTCCGACGATAGTCCATCTTCTCACTCCAGAGATCCTCTTTGATTTGATGCAGATCTGTACCGTCGCCTGTTTCAACACATGACTTCCAACAGCCGTATATAATTTCCTTCATTTCGCGCCGGCGTTTCTGGATGGCTCCACTGCGAATCGTGCTGAACGCAGGAAGTAGAGAGGGATTCTGGACCATGAATGCCATCAGCTCCTCGGGGTCACCGCCTATGTTGAAGAACTCCAAGCCGCCCTCGAGTACAAATTCCCGGAAAACAAGATGGGTTGCTAGCCGTACGCGGTGCCCATGGGCCTTCAACTCTTTGCCTAGCGCAACGAACGGTTGGATGTCACCCCGAGATCCGATCACTTGAACGACGATATTCAGCTTCAGTGGAAACTCTTTGCCATCATCTTTCGGCATTGCTTCTGGGGTCGGTTGTGACTCTAGAGCCTCTAGGTCGGGTGGTTTTGTTGACGTTTGGATGCGATTCAATAGCCCTGCGAGCTGCGGCATTTGCTCGTTGATCTTTATATCAAGCCGGCCATCACCTACAAAATATCCACCGTTAGCCGTAGTTTTATAACGCTTTACTTTATCACGAACTCAAGACTTTAACCCCGCCGTTTCGTTCTCCGCTGTGCTTCCGCTCGCGGTGGGGGGAGAGTGACATGGCGACCCCCTCCGGCCAGTCCTCTGATCGAATTGACCCATGGCGGCTGGACCTGCGCCTCATAAGTTGTGGTCCCGAATCCCTCCTCTCGCGACGCGAGGAGAATGCCATAGGGTCCGCCTCCGGCCAGTCCTCTGATCGAATTGACCCATGGCGGCTGGACCTGCGCCTCATAAGTTGTGGTCCCGAATTCCTCCTCTCGCGACGCGAGGAGAATGCCATAGGGTCCGTCGCCGGCCAGTCCTCTGATCTGATTGACGCATGGCGGCTGGACCTGCGCCCCATAGGCTGTGGTGCCGAGTCCAAGTCCATTCTTGGCGGGAGGTCGACCTGATGTGGCTGCGACGTAAGTCAAGATTGAGAAGCAAGATTAGCGTGTGTTACACCAAATTATAGTAACAATGGGCGTGTTCATATATTAGGATTGACCATATGTTGGCGGGATTAGAGATCATTAAAAAAGAAGCTTTACTCGATGATGTCAGAAGGGTCCCACGGCAGTCTATTACCGCCAGTGCATCAATTCCGATTCTGCCAGGATAATTTTATACATCCATCTGAATACACTAATGTCGTACTGGGACCCAATTAAGAGCTAGCGGTGAGTCAAGCGGTCAGGATTCATGTGAACCATATAGTGGCGGTAATCGACTGCCGCTGTCCCCGGATCTTCGTGGGTCTCGGGATCAGCACCGATTTACCTCGGGAGGCTCTTTGGGATTTGTCATTGGTTCAATATGCCTTAGTGGATATAACCTACCGAGGTAGAAAACTATTGCAATCCTATTCAAATCCATTTGTAGAAGATATTATGTATTATCTATCTCCTGCATTTTATCGCACAATTCAAGTGCCTCGTCTACAGTAATGCGACTAGATGGTAGAAATCGCATCAATCCTTGCACCACCTGTAATAGAGGTTGAAGTTCTGGATCATGCACATCTTCTGCAAACTTGCGTTCAAACTTTGAGGTTTCGTAATCTTTGAGCGTAATTAGCATAAGTTTTGTAGTGGATACAATTGCTTACCTTCTTTTAACTCAAGATCATGGCTACTTTTAGTTTGCATTGCTTTCCATTGGGATTCCCATTCGACTGGTAATCTCTCCACAAAACCAATCATTTGAAAGATAAGATATTCGTCTCCGTCAAAATACGAAAATGGATAGGTCGTGAACAAGAATGCGTAAATCTAGAGTCCACTCCATAAGTATATAAACTCCAAATTGAGTGAGAGAAAATGGGCATAATGACGTACCATGCAACCTGCACGCCATGAATCGAGACGATAATCAAAGCGGTCCGTGAAAATAATCTCAGGTACCCGCAAATTACTCGGCTGAGCTAGCTTTTCAGGCTTCTCGCCTGGGAGAAAGCTCTCTCCCATATCCAGAAGCCGAATATCTTCCTCGTCCTCGTCTGTCCACTCGACCCATTCTGCTGCCTTGACCAGCTGAGTCGGCAATCCGTTGTCTAAAGGTGTGCCGTCAATACGAGCTAGCGGGTCAATTTGCGGGGGCCCAATAACAGCCAGAAGCTTATCGGGTGAGTTCAACAGGTTGTTACAAGTGAATGCAATGTTCCTGCCGCTGACATCTATGTGCTAAGGGGTTAGGACATGCGCCAGACTGCAAAAGCCACACAGGAAAGAATGCACTTACCGCCATGACACATTCCGGTACTATGAATAAACCTAATAGCTTTTAGGAGCTGCGTAGACATTCGAAGTATGTATTCTGGCTCCAGCTTATCATTGTCCTCGAAATAATCTCCGAGGACCATATCAACTGTAGGGCCAAGTAATTCAAATACAAGACATTGGTGGACTCCGTTAGGGCCATTGTGAGTAAAGTTATCAAGTAGTTGAACAACATATTTTGAAGAGAGGTTTCCACCAGAATGCTTTTGGAGAAGCCTTAGGTTTTGCAGCTCGCGCGATTGTGATGAATCTGCCGTCATGATCTTCAACGAGACCCATTGGTTTTGGCTGGCATCATATTAGCCGTGGCTGGCAAAATTAGGTGGTTTATGAGCTGACTCCTTGTCCTTTGCAAGCCACACAGTCGAAAACCCCCCATATCCTAATTTGTGATAGATTTCATAGCGACCATTCTTAAAGGCATCTCCGAGGGTGACCGGGTGATATCCCCCGATTTTGTATTTTGACAATTTCTCCTGAGTATAGAGAGAATTATTCTGGCAGAATAAGGATAAATCCATGGTGGAATATTTGACGAATGAGGGAGGTTTGGAGGGGGAGAGGAGGTCCCGGGAGGTGCCGACCTCGGCCGAGCTTCGATGACTTAGCGAGAAAGCCCCCGGGTTCCCTTACAATGTTGGCAACCTGGGCAATTGGCTTTAGTGTACCTTCCGGGATATAGCGGCACATTGTACTTGAGGTATTTCGCAGGTGAATCCTCTCGAATAGCTGACTTTATCCCTGAGTTTTCCAATCAAGGCGGAATGAATCTTGAACGCAGGTTCTTTCAACTGAAAATAAGATCGTCCGAGTATTACGGTCATTGAATCCTAAATTTGAGCCAGGTCCGAGGTCACTGAATAGATAATAAACAGAAGGAGCGTGGATTGAATAGGACTGAACCATATTTTTGATCTAGCTTGCGGTCATAGAATGACGATTCATTCGTAATTACATTCATTCGGCCACCTTGATACAAACTTTGCCAATGTGTGATCCCGACATAACATATTCATAGGCTTTCACGACATCCTCCTGAGTGAAAGAGAACTCCTTCTCAACAGGCAAACGCAGTCCTTTGCGACCGACAAAACGGACGAGATCTTGAAGGAGCTGAGTGGAACCAACAGTTATACCACGAATAGTGGCAGCCTTTGCAAGCGCCATACCCGCAACGTCAGGCATCTCGGATTGATTCGCTTGTGAGAGGAAGCCGATCACGGACACGTTTCCACCCATTTTGATCGAGTTGATGCTCTCTGCGATGGTTCCAGAGCCACCGTTCTCAAGAACAAAGTCCACACCTTCTCCTTCAGTGAGCCTCATGACCTCCTCGGACCATTTTGGGTGCTTCTTATAGTTAATACCATAATCAGCCCCGAACTTAGACTTGACGAATTCAAGCTTCTCGTCACTAGATGAGGTGACGATCGTAGTAGCGCCCGCAGCCTTGGCCAGAATCAATCCAGTGATGGCAACACCTCCAGTCCCTGTATATCAGGTTAGTAAAGAAACGTATGTCGATGGATTATAATCCTCATACCTTGACAGAGCACAATTTGACCTGGTTTCAGAGGAACGGCACCGTAAAGGGCGTTCCAAGCAGTGACACCTGTACAGACCAAAGTCGACCATTCGGAGAAGCTTTGGGGGGAATCCTTCGGGACTTTGACTGTAGCGGATGCCGGAAGAGAAACATATTCACGTAGAACACCATCAACGGGGCCTCCCTGGCCATTCAGCCAATCCGACTGCTGACCGAAGAGGTTGGTTGGATCAAATGTCCCCACAACATGATCTCCCACAGCAAATTTGCTGACGCCTTCACCGACCTTGGCCACAACGCCGGCAGCATCCGAGCATGGGACAACGTTGTTCTTCACGGGAAAGGGGTACAACGATGTAGCCACCCCAATATCCCGGTAGTTCAAGGAGACGCTGTGTACTTTGATCAGAACTTCATGTTTTGAAGGCTCGGGAATGGCCTCCTTAAAAGCTTTCAGGTTTTGGACTGAAGTTCGCTCCCCTTCGATACGAATCACAGTCTGCGACATGTTGAAGAAACGCTTGCGTTGTAGAGTGGGATACAGTGAATCGAATTGAGAGTTGGTTGAGTAGAGAGTTGAGAGCTGGGATAGTTCAAATATTGCGCCTGATGCCGGTTTTTATAACTTTACTGGATATTGTTGCGCGCAGATGTGTAATCATACACTTCAAGAGTGACGTTAGTGGAATTATTAGAGCGGGTCTTTTCTCCATGACGGTGGGTATCGAACTCTACTCTCCAACAAATCTCCAATGAATCTCCAATGAATCTCCAACGAATCTCCACAATATTTGACCACTAGAAATGTCCGAGGGGTATCTCCCTCATTTCTTGGAATTTTCCGGTTCTATTTCTAAGCATTATGGGGGTTTTATTCTCTGCCAGCTATGTATGGATGGACAGACGCCCTCGGGGTCCACCTCGCATTCCAGGGTCTTGGTGATTAGTCAGGGAATATTTTTCGTGCTGCATGTTCATCACAGAACATACACCTAGCACACAAGATCCACTAATTTTCACTCCCTTGTGATCACGAGCTTCAATAAAAACCCTGACAGCATGGATCCAGACCACTCTTCTCACTCGCTAGACAAAACAGCATTGAACTGCAAGTTTTGCCACCGTGGATTTCGCCGCTTAGAACATTTACAGCGTCACACGCGAATACGTTCGTAAATCAATATCCAGAAAATAGACTCAATATTGACACGGATATAGACACAAATGAAAAGCCATTCAGTTGCCCATGTGGTGCTCTTTTTTCGAGAAAAGATCTTCTCAGGCGCCATGAACGTGCCTCGCACGATGATTTGAAGCATCCTGTGCAGCCGCCAGTTTCTAACAATAGCCTGACAAGCCACCTGCAAGATCATAGCATATTCAATTATCCTAGCCCGGAAAGTCGACAAACAGGAGAATATGTTTCATCACTCGGCTCCCAACGCCCGGTCTCCCAAGAGACATGCTCACGGCGATCATCAATAAGGTGTGCTATCAATGCTTGACTGCATCAGTTCTGTGGCAAATGGGTGTTAACGGCTTTATGACAGGCAACTGAGAGCATTATATAATGAAACGATAGAACGCGAGCCCTTAAATTATGACAGCGGTATATTACATGATATCTCCCGAATCCTGTTATTGTCATGCTGACCTTTTGCTGCAAGGCCATTGTGGACAGACACATCTGGGGAGCGACACGTGTGTCGAGCCTCGCACCTATGATGACCACACAGCTACAAATGTGATTTCGAACATGTTATCCGCGAGTTTTCCAATCCCCGCATTGTCTTTAGGTAAATGTGCTGCTTCGGAATCTTTTTCACCCTAGTATTAACCATCATATAGGTGGACAAGTTATCTCCCACGTTTCACTCCCAGTAGTCACTGAATCCCAGAGATTTAACCTTCGCGATTCATTGAAGAGTATGGATATAATGCCTGGTTTCGATCTTCCATCGTCCGATTCTCTCACCCGTTTTTTGGCGGGGTATTTTACTGGCTTTTATCCTCGGATGCCGTTCACACACGCACCATCCTTCAAAATTGAAGAATGTCACCCGGGACTCTTCCTTGCTATGGCTGCTATCGGTGCAGTTTATCGATATGAAATGAAAACAGCATATAATCTGTTCTATGTTGCAAAAATGATTTTCCTAGACCGGCACCGTCACACAGAAAGCAATGAGTTCCAAAGGTCGATGGATTCTGCCAGTGTTAAGACTGGAAGGAGTAACGCCCAAGAGATTCGCGGTCTACTCTGTCTCCTTACAATGGCATCCTGGCAAAAGGACGCGGAGCTGGAAAATGAATCCTTCATGTTACAAAGCCTACTTGTCCACTCCGTGAGGCTGAGTAGCTTAGATGACACTCTCACCCAGGCGGGTGATCTTGACTGGGAGACCTGGGCTCAGCAAGAATCCGACAGACGGACAAAGCTACTTGCGTTTTGTTTTCTTAACATCCAAAGCATCGCCTACAATCTACCTCCCAGCTTGCTGAGCAAAGAAATTCGGCTACGGCTTCCTTGCTCATGTCCGGAATGGACCGCTACAGATGCAGCAACCTGGCAAATATTACATCAGAACACCTCCAATGAACAAGAGTACTTTCACATTGCTCTAGAAAATCTTTCATTGCCGGCGTCGGGAACGCGTGTCAATACTTCCCTTACATCGCCTGTTGCCAACTATGTTCTACTACATGGTTTGATCCAGTCCATTATCTGGACCCAAAATATTCTCCCTTTTACAGGACTTGTTTCATCTTCGAGTAATCAGGCTTTTTTCGAGTAAGTCAATCATCCCTGTGGTGGCCTACAAATTCTATTCTCAGAGTGAAGAATTGGTTTTGATCTCATTTTCTTTTGCTAGAGCTGCGCTTCGCAAATGGACAGAAACATGGCAGATTACGCCCGAATCCAACCTGGAGCCATTGGACCCCAATGGACCATTGCCTTTTACGTCAAGCGCATTACTGAGTCTAGCTTATATTCGCAATTGTCTCGATACAGGACGCTCGCAAGTTCTATCAAGCTGGGATCCCGCTAAAGTTGCCTCTGTTCTACATGATTCACCACCTCTCAAGCATGACTGGCATGTGTTTCTGGCAGCAATTCATGCAACGCGGGTCTTAGGCACTCTTGTCAAGCTCGGTATACGATATGTCCAGCATAGCCAAGCATTTGTCTGGAGTATCGAAGATGCTTTATGCGGTCTTGAATGTGCAGTCTTCCTGAGCCAGTGGCTACGCCAAGTCGGTGACATGACCCAGGATAATTCCATGTCCGGTATGTGCATCTTTGGGTCTTTCTTTCTTCTTGTCATTGAAATCGAACTCTTACGAATATTGGATACTTGCCGTCCAGCCTTCTTTAGCAATACCACGATTCACAAAGCTAACCTACATACCAGAAAATCAAAGAGTCCTTGTGAAATGGGTTCGTGAAATTGTACAAGAAGCACTTGTCTCCATCAGCTGCGATCACCCACACTCTACGGCGCTCTCAACACCAGAAGAATTGGCTACCGAAGTCATAAAGCTATGGACACTCATCATGCAGGGCAGTTCTCCCTGGTCGTTTATGGGTGCCGTTGCCAATGTCTTGGTTATATATGGAGACGGTTGTGCCTAGCATCTCGTTGGAACATACAACGCGAAGTGCAAGAGAAGAGAGTTGTTCTTGGGAGAGAAACGATCTCTTACATTTATCTAGACTAGTTAACTAATTTGTTAATGATCTGAGGCTACTGTCTGGTATCCACCACGTGCTCATCTTAACATGCTCCTCTCAGCCACAGGCTAGAGAACCCAGCAGAAACTATGTATAGCGCTAATAATGCAGGATTTGAAACCCATAGCCAGCCGCGCAGATCACTACCGACTTAGACGATTATCATATTCGTGGGTTGCTCGATACTTAAAGTGTCAGCCGGCTATGGAAAATAGTGTCCGAGCCGGGAAATGGTGTCCGACTCGGTGACATCCCGGGGCCCCGCGAACAACCTCGAAATATCATGGATCAGCGGGTCTTCCCCGCATCCTCACCCGGTCGATGGCGTCAAGTCTCAAGACTAAATATCAACTTCACGGTATAATGTAAGAGAGGAAACCGGTTGGGGTAATTACTGTTGCTCTGATTGGTGCGTGGGTTGGATGAGAGAAAGTTCCCATATCCACTATTTTGTTTATATTTAAAAAGATATCCTCACTATTGTTCTCTAAATTGGATACTAAGATCCTCCCTTGGGACACATATCTTGTTATTGTCCCCTTTTCATATCGACCCTACCTTTTAGCTACCATATTTCAAGGAAGAAGACCATGGCGGACAAGAAAGCATCCCCAGAGACCGAACATATTGAATCCGAAATAAAGTCGGAACCGTCTACTCTCATACCTCCCCCTGGATCTGAAAGACAACCATATGGCGAACCTGGTATAAAGCCCTTCCCTCCTCCTACAACTGTTCCTCTCTACGCTCATCGTATACTAACACACCATCACATGAAACAGGCCTCAGTGGTATCCTCACGAATAAATATGTAGCAGCATGTGCCGCATTCGCAACGATGGGCGGAGCAATGTTCGGCTATGACCAAGGCGTCGTCTCCATAACCCTCACAATGGACCAATTCCTCGAACGATTCCCGGAGGTTGGCCCCAATGCACCCGGTGCAGGATTCCAGAAAGGAATCCTTACTGCCATGATCGAGCTTGGGGCTTTCCTCGGAGCAATGAACCAGGGATGGATTGCCGACAAAATCTCTCGAAAATGGTCTATCATGGTTGCGGTGGTTATCTTCCTCTTTGGTTCTGCCTTGCAGACTGGCGCAATGAGTTTTGAAATGCTGATAGGTGCCCGGTTTGTCGGAGGTGTTGGTGTCGGTATGCTGGCTATGGTGGCACCGCTTTATATTTCTGAGATTGCGCCACCGGAGATCCGTGGTACTTTGCTTGTTTTGCAAGAACTCGCCATTGTTACCGCCATCGTGGTTGCGTTCTATATTACCTATGGTACACGATATATTCCTGGTGAATGGGCGTGGCGCCTTCCTTTTCTCCTTCAAGTGTGCCTTCCCAATTGATCACCATGTGTTATGTCCTAACCACATGGATAGATGATTCCCGCCATATTCCTCGGGGTCGGTATTCCCTTCCTACCATATTCACCTCGTTGGCTCGCTGGTCGGGGCCGAGATGAAGAAGCACTCCAGGTTCTCTGCAAATTGCGCGGTGTCGATGCTACTGACGAGCGCGTGATCCGAGAGTGGGTTGAGATTCGCTCCGAGGTAGCCTATTGCAACGAAGTGAGCATTGTGAGACACCCAAAGTGCCAGGACGGAAGCTACACCAGCCGTGCTATGCTGCATGTCTGGAGCTATTTGGACTGTTTCCGCAAGGGGTGTTGGAAGCGTACGCATGTCGGTATTGGACTGATGTTCTTCCAACGTAAGTATTTATCTATCGTGGGAACAGCCACTCTTTCCCTTGCTTTTCTTCCTTACACTGGCTAACTCATATCCTCTTCACAGAATTCGGCGGCGTCAACGCTCTCATCTATTACTCACCCAGTTTATTCGAAGGAATGGGTCTAGACTACGAAATGCAACTCCACATGTCCGGCGTCATCAACATCTGCCAGATGCTAGCCTGTTTCTGGTCACTATGGGGAATGGATAAGTTCGGTAGGCGACCTTTGCTCTTTGGCGGTGCTGGTTGCATGGTCCTTGCGCATTTCATCATCGCCGTCCTAATGAGCCAATATCAATCCAACTGGCCTGCACATTCAACAGAGGGCTGGGTTTGCGTCGCTTTCTTATGCTTCTTCATGCTGACCTACGGGGCTACTTGGGGTCCTATCCCTTGGGCTATGCCGGCTGAGATCTTCCCTTCTTCGCTACGTGCTAAGGGTATGGCGTACTCCACAATGTCGAACTGGCTTAACAACTTCATCATTGGGCTTATTACTCCGCCGCTTGTGCAGAACACCGGGTATGGTACTTATGTGTTCTTCTGTGTGTTTTGCGCTCTGTCGTTTGTTTGGACGTGGTTGTTTGTTCCGGAGACTAATGGGAAAACTTTGGAGGAAATGGACTCTGTCTTTAAGGACAACAGTTCGAGTGTGGAGATAGAACAGCGCGCGAGGATTGAGGCTACCATCTGGGCCCATGCCGCGGGACGGTCTCATGGGCTCGAAGGCACTCAACAGATTACTTAGACGGGCTTTGCTTTCGAGTTTGATCTTCGATGCAGTGCGTGTTTGGCCTAGATCTACTTTCTTTTTAGTGTTTATATGAGTGTTTTATGAGCTGTTTACGCACAGGTTAGTCTCTGCCCATTGTAGATATTTCATTTTCTCTTCATGCATCTACAGAGCCCCGAGATTCATCTATCCATGCTAGACTCCGAAAAAGGCGCCAGATAGGCCAGCGACCGAAATACACGACGGGGCTTTTTCTTTTATTCGGTGGCGGACTCGGTCAAGTAGACTCGGTGCCGAATCCAACCTCTCCGGTTTTCCCATATGTACAACCAATAGGGAGTGATCACGTACTATACGTCGCGCTTTTTCCCCTTGCCTTCGGGATTAATGTGTGGTCCCATTAACCATAGTGTTGGGAAAAGATGCCTCGTTGTAGCCTGACAAACAAGGCATCTATGTATATTGTCTCAACAGGGAGCTTTACGCCAGTGAACCTAGCACGGCATTCCTATATCAAAAAATAATCACACCCAATGGTAGTCTCTCTGAGATTGCTTGGGATTATTTTTATCCTTCAGGTAATATTCGTGATTTTTGTCACTTACATATTTTGCCCACCCATGCAAGTAATGAATGATTGCTTCCTCTCTACCTACTGCCAATCAAGCACACCATGTAAAACCCTTGTTGTCACTTTCTCTCATTAACGCGGCATAACATAGGGCGTACATGGTAGGGCGCGTTGACACGCCCACTAATCGCCCCACTATAGCAGTCAAACTGTCCCCCATTTCTCTCCACAAACTCTCCAAAACTCCCCAACTCCATTGTGGCAACTTTCAATAACTCTAGAAGAATGGCCACGCAATCGAAGATTCTCCCGCAATGGAATTCCTCTAGGCTTTTCCTCACCGAAGCCGGGATCGAAACCACACTCGTCTACAAAAACAAGGTCAACCTCCCGTGTTTCTCCGCTCTCCCACTTCTCAGCACAGAACATGGCAAAGAAATCATCCTCTCCATCTATCAAGACTATGTAGATATCGCCCTCGCCCACTCAACCGGCATCGTCCTCGAAACCCGAACATGGCGTGGCTCTCCCGCATGGGCTTCCCAACTTGATCTCTCCATCCCAAAGATCCTCGATCTGAACCGCACAGCAGTCATGATCCTCCAGGATCTCAGAAACAATATCCAGACTCCATCCACTCCTATTGTTATCAGTGGAACCCTTGGAACCCTTCAAGACGCCTACATCGATTCCACAGAAACGGTTTCCTTCGCCCAGGCGCAAGAGAATTACCGCGCTCAAGTCCAAATTCTCGCTGAAGAAGGTGTAGACATGATTTCTATCATGACTGTAACGAATCTCAATGAGGCTACCGCGGCAGTGAGCGTGGCGCGTGAGTTTGACCTCCCTATTCATGTCTCATTTAGCATCGAGACGGACGGGCGACTGCGAGGGGGAAGAACACTTGATGATGTAATTCGTGAAGTCGATCGTCTGACGGAGAATTATACTACGTATTTCGGGGTAAATTGTGCGCATCCGCGCCATATTATGACGGCTCTACGGGATCTCCCTGAGGAAGTGAGATCGAGGATTGGGTCGATTCGAGGGAATGCAAGTCTTAAGTCTCACGATGAGCTTGATAACTCGTTGGTACTTGATCGAGGCGATCTTTCTTTGTGGGCTCAAGAGTTCAATGGGATTTTAAATTTGTTGCCGGAGTTGAAAGTGGTAGGGGGCTGCTGTGGTACGGATGAAGAGCATATTGATACTCTTGCGGGAAGAATTTACTCTAGTTGAAAAGCTAGTCCTGTCTCGGCAAATTCATATCATATTATTGCTATGTATAACTTCCCCAAATACTTACCTGGGCAGTCGCTACTAGGACGTCTTGTCGCCACAACTATTTCTTCAACTTGCCAAGAACGCCGTTAGATTGCAAGTAGCTGAATAAGTTCTATCGAAATTGTACATATCGATATCGCGAACACCTTTCATCCCCAATCCTCTGGACAATAATAATTAATATGGTGCCCTTGGTGGATCTATAGAGCGTACCAGCGCGCCCTAGTATCGTGCACGCCCTACCATACACGCCTTACATATCCGAATTTTAGATCACCGTCTTATAAATATGGATCCATGGATCAATCCATGGATGTATAGATGGCGAATTAATGGTACCACTTGGGACTACATGAAAAAGGCCAAACTATTACATCTTGCACCCGCAAACTTATCCAAGGATCCATGCTGATGACTCCAATCTTATTGTGACGGCGTTAAATAAGTATGGAATATGATCATTGTGACTCCTAGATGAAACCTCTATCTATAGCTTCATAAATACCTCTGTGCCAAATCATTGCCATCTTCGCATAGCCCTCATCATTGGGGTGTGTGCCATCTGTTAGATCACTAATATGAGGCCCATGGGCGCTATGCATATCGACGATGATGATCTTTCTTCCTTCAGCCGCTTTCGCTTTCGCTAATTCCGCGAATTGCTTGTTTATACATAGCACTCGTGATTCAATGTTTCCATCCAAGTTTGGAAGAAGAGTAGAAAGGACGACCGTTGAGCGAGAAGACGCCGCCCAGAGATATTCAAGCAAGTCACTCATTCGCTTGCCAGCAGTCTCGATTTCAAAGTCCTGAACGCAATCATTCGAACCAGCATTGACGGTGAAAAGGTTTGGCAGAAATCTAGGAACTGATCTTTTGGCTTTGTTGGCAATTTGGTCGATTCTGAATCCCCGCCAACCTTCATTGTCGTTGTTCACCATTGAACCGGCTTTGCGAGACCCGACCATGTCTACAATGTGGCCATCCGATAGAAGAATATCTCGTAGAATCTTTCTATAGCCATTGCCGTCAGTAGATTCGGAGCCGTATGTGACAGAGCCGCCTAGCGGCATGATTCGCAAGCTTGGCTTCGCTCTATACATGGAAGCCCCTAAGCTACGCATCAGTATAATAGAGACACGGTGCGTAAAGAGTAATATACCATGATGGCCTGCCATCTTGATCTTGTGTTGGCTCATCCATGGAGGAACCTTGATCTGGCGGGCGATAATTGGCTCGGCCCCATCGGTGCCGCGTGTGAGACAGTGGGTTATTTTGTGACATAATCTGCGATTATGAAAATATGCCATAGTCACCCGTGCTGTGTTTGGTAATTGAGAAAATGCGATGCGAAATACAGGGCAATCATGTTGGACATTGGAACAGGCTGCGCAACCAGGTAATTTGGCTGTGCCCTTGCCGCACTCATTCGGCGAAACCTTCAGGATGCCGAGCAAAATCACGTAATTAGTAATCACTGTCCATTTTGACCGAATATGCAACTGAATGGTCTGAAGTGTAGGCCGTACGGTAAAAGAGGCAGAAGGGCGCAGTTGCGTTACGGGTATCATATAGCCTCTCATGTTTACGTTTTAGGCTGCATTTTCTCTTCATGCATCTACGGATTTTACTCTCTCATTTCTTGGCGTTCTATACAAACTCGCCCTTTTCTTCTCTATCTATCTTCTGTCTGAATCGGCTGTACCATAACCTAAGCCCATATGCCCTGGGATTAGGCAACTATGTATGCGGCATTTTTCACAGTCTTGGATCTACGAAGAGAGAATTGCACAAGCATATTGAAAATAAAAATCTTATTCTAGCTTGATACAAAAGATCATAGATATCACAATAATAGAAAAGGACTGAGCAAATAGAACCATCAAGTCCAAGTAAGAGCCACGCTTAAAACCCAAAAAGAAAAAGAAAATCGTAAAACATCCCGAAAGATCAAGATCAAACCTCAGTCTTAGTTTCGACACTCTCAAGGTGCGTAGCACCCTCAGCTCTCTTCTCCCCGGCATCAATCTCGAGCTGTTCAAGGTAGTTCACAGAAGGAACCCAACCAACAGAGTTCCAAGCACGGGGAACCTTAGCATAAAGCTCGTCAACCTGTTCGAGCGAAAGACCCTTGGTCTCATAAATGCAAGTGTAAACAAACACAGCACAAATAAAGCAGAATCCACCCCAGATGAAGAAAACCTTAGACTGGAGATTGGCATTTCCAGGACCGCTGTTCACCATGTATGGCGTGGCGTAGGCAATAGCCCAGTTGAGCAGCCAGTTGGTGGCAGTGGTGATGGAGAGACACTTGGCGCGAGCCTTGAGGGGGAATAATTCACCCGTGACGACCCAGGCAACAGGACCCCAGGAACTGGCGAAGAAGAAGATGTAGATGCACACGAAGGCGATGAGGACTTTGTTCGAGACGTCGGAGTCGATGGCTGTGCCGACGATAGCGACAATGAGTTGCGAGACGCACATTCCGACAGCACCAAACATGAGCAAAGGACGACGACCCCATTTCTCGACCATGTATAGACCGGGGAATGTGGAAACGACGTTGATGATGTTTGTGATGAGAGTAATCACGAAGGAGTTCTGGATGCCAGAATTCTGGAAGAAGGTCGTGCCGTAGTAAAAGATGAAGTTGACACCGGCGAGCTGCTGCAGACCCTGGACCGCGCAACCGGTTGCGAGACGCTTGCCGAGGGATCCACGGACGATCTCGAGGTAGGTAGCCTTTCCGAGACTCATCTCGTGTTCGTGGTTTGCCTGGATTTCAGCGAGCTCAGCGACGACAGCGGGGTCATTCACATCCATGCGGCGGACACGAGCGAGGGCCTTGCTGGCTTCTTCGTAACGGTCTTGCTTGATCAAGAAGCGGGGGGTTTCAGGGAGGATGAGCATGCCGACGACAAGGATAATGGCCCAAGCGAATTGGACGGCGATGGGGATACGGTAGCAGCCGGTGTCTGTGCGGTCCTTGGTGGAGTTGTTGACGATGGCGGCGAGAAGGAGACCAAATGTGATGGCGAGCTGGTAGGCGCCGACGACTGTGCCGCGGATCCATTTGGGGGCAGTCTCAGATTGGTAGAGGGGGATTGTTGCGGAGAGGAGACCGACGCCCAGACCAGCGAAGAAGCGACCGGCGACGAAGAGGGGGATGGAGGTTGCGATTGTTTGGAGGATGACTCCAAAGACGAAGACGAAGCTCTCCATAATCATGCCCATTCGTCGACCGAATTTATCGGCGATAGGGGCGGCGCCGAGGGCACCGAAGAAAGTTCCTGCGGAGAGGAGAGAGACAATCATCGATGATTGGGAGGCTGTGACATCGGGGAGGCCATCTTTCTCGTTGATAAAGCCGGTTGAGAACATCTCACGCCACTTCTTCATGGCAAGGATACCGCTGATGGTACCTGTGTCATATCTAAATCGATGTTAGACGTGTCTTTGAGAATAGAAGTATCGAGTGTGAGGGACACATACCCAAAGAGAACACCACCGAAAGCCACGAATAATCCAATCATGATTGCCGGGGCAGCAGAGCCCACGGCATCATCCGGCCTCTTCAAAGCGAAGCCCATTGTGAGTGTTATCAGATAAAAGCAAGGATCCAAGTAGGTGTATGTGTTGTGTGAGTTAAAGATCACAGTAGAGAAGAGTTGAAGGAAGTAGTGTAGATGTAAAAGTAGAGTAAGTTGTACAAAAAAAGAAAGGAAAAGCTGGAGGTCAATCTGGTCTATTTGTACTTCCCCGGTCCCAGTAACCACATGGCCCCCGGAAAATTTGCACCCTGAAAGCAGCAAGTGCGGGGGGCAACTCAACCTTGGACAGCGAAAATCTGAATACCCGAGGACTCCAGGTCATCCAATCCCAGAATAGCATTGAACAACATTCCCCATCGCGGACTACTGGATGTTTTGGGCCTGGGGATAGGGTTTCAGCCGAAAGTGGGGAAACCAATGGGGTTTAGTGGATTCAGCCCCCGGAATCCAACCGAATCCTTCATTGGTCAACACAGGAAATTGGCTCGATGCTAAGCCTGTTTTTCCCAGGTTTTTTACCCTGAGCCTTACCTTGCATTTGCACTAGACGGGAACGATAGAATCTGCAAGACTACACGTTGAGGATAAAAATGTGCATCTTGCATTACATTGTGGTTAGGATGTTTGTAAATGTTAGGGGACAAAAATAGCCCTTACATGCCACATGACATGAAATGCCGAAAACGGGGGACTGGCCGAGTTGAGCCAATGCCGATCGGTATCGGCGTCCCGCATCGGGGAAAAGGCAACGGGCAATGGACTTTTTTTCACATGATTCTACTTTTTTCCTAGGGAATTTTGGATTGTTATTTGACATAATTTACACTGTATTACATACTTACAATATGTAGTACAGGTAGTACGGAGTATGCAATAGTATTTTACAACTGCATTTCAAATTAAATCGCCAAACTTTCCCCCTCACTCCAGTCCTTTCCCCAGGTACGGACTACCCCGAGATTTCATGAACCAATAACCAGAGATATTCATGATCCGGTCACTGTTCACCGGAGCCCAATTGAGAAGTGTGACAACATCAATTTCCCAGAATTGTCGGGGAAAAAAATAAAGTTAGCTAGTCCCGAGTGCGCTATTTTTCCCGGGTCGCGGATTGGACAGATGACCCGAAGCTCTCCCGATATTCATGAGCATTAGTCGCTTACGGCGAATCTTCGGGGATACCCGTGTCTGGCCAAGTCGGGCTGGTGGATGTCTTTTAGAGAAAAACATGCCGGTCATGTAGATTTGGCCGAGTGGCGTACAGCTCGGGAGCTAATGTGGCCTTAGCTCTAGCCCGTTCTACTCCTATTATTATACCGGGGTTACTGGGAACAGGCCACACGGTCACACGATACAGCAGAAATTAGAGCTACGCCACGATCCGGCAGGTTCCGGCGAAATTCTTGTCTATTATGCTTATGCTCGCTAAAGAAAAAAAAATAACTGGCCGGACTAGCTACCAGCGCCAGATCAGGATGAAATACACGGTCAGCACCACTTGCGCCACAAACTTGATGGAATGGTACAGATCCCGCAAGATGAGAGATACCGTTGAACGGGATCGGGTAGCCGAGGCGGGGCGCCATGCAGCCTTGTCCTTTGAGGTAACGGCTTCAAAGTGATCGTCTGTACCCCGATAAGCATCTTCCGGGGATTGAATGCCGGGGTAGCGGGGAGAGGCTGTCATGCCATTGCGGCTGGCTAAGCCACCCGCCGATGAGAGGGTAGAGCTGGACGCACCGGAGGTGTGGTGCTGGTATGGGAGAGAGCGGCGCTCGGTGAGAGGGAGAATGGCGTCGGATGGGGATGGTTCTGGGGTGTAGAAGACGCGGTAGATGGAATGGAGGAGGAGGATGGAGACGCTGACGCCTACGATAGTGAGGTAGTAGATGAAGATTCCCAGCTGGTCTGGGAGGATACACAGATGATTTTGGACAGTGGGTGGTGATCCGTCCCGGAGGGCTTTGCCTGTCTTGGGGTCGATTGGATTCCACAGACTGGTGAGTACAAAGCCTGGGTGGCGGACTCCCATCGCCCAGGAAATGCTCTTGACAGTGATTTCGTTGGGGGAGCCATTGAATTCCCGATGGGACACTTCACAATAGTCATGGTCGTCGCCGGAATACACCTGGACGACGTTGGGTCCTGCCTTGGAAACCAGTTCGGTCGAAATGGTTTGCGTGAGGACATTCTGGTATTGATAGCCTCCAGAAATTTTCAGAGAGTTAGGCTCGTCCTCTGCCAGTTCCTCGTCCAATGAAGATGGCGGGTAGCGTTCGCGGAGAGGACCACAGGGAGTAGCTGGCTTGCGGTAGAGAGGGACGTGCGTGAGAATAATAGTAGGGAATCCGACGCCTGCGGGCTGAGGCTTTTTGTGGTTGACGGGTTCGACAGCATCAACAACACGATAATCGAACATATTATGTGTCTCACTCTGGTTTTGGAGCATTTGCAGCTCGTCCATCTCCGCCTTCGCCTTATGGATAGCCATCTTATCCAGGAAGTCATCTGCGTCTTTCCAAATCGGGCGTTGGGGACTGTTTTGATCGCTAGCTGTTGGAGAACTGCCTGTCAATGGATCGGGCTGGTCCATCGCGCTCAGCGAAGGAGTATCCACCGAAACAAAAGTATGATTCCCAATAATATCGACACGGTTGGGGTTTCCAAAGAAGGACTCGAATCGATCACGGACGGGTTCTTGGATGCCGTTACCGAACCCAAGATCATGATTTCCGGGCAGACTAGCAATCATTCTGCGTCCTCGTCCATCGACAGGCGGATTCACTAATTTCACCCACGAGTCCACGAATATTTTACTAAATCGCGCAAACTCCTTCTTCCAAAAGGAGTCTTTATACTTCTTCCACCGCTGTTCGGGGCTGCTACTGGTAGCCGTGGCCCATTCTCTGCCGCCGTCGAAAAGGTCGCCAAGAAACAGCACTGAGTCCGGCTCAAGGTGATCTTGTATCAAGGAAAATGACCGTCGCATATATTGGTCGGTGTATTTAACCGTCAACGTCGATAGAGGCCATGGTCGACCAGGGTAAGTGTGGGGATCAACGAGTTGGGGGTCGGCGATAAAGGCAATGTGGTGTGGCGTGGCGCCTTGAGGCTAGAGACACTCAACTATCAGTAACTGAATTGCGACAGGTGTGCCACTGTCAACTTACCCATTCCTCCCAGCTGTCCCACAGGCATTTATTGATGCTGTCCTCAAAGACCGTCCGTTCACCCCATCGCATCGAGAACACCCATAGTAAAATAATAGCATTGGATATCGTGAAGATACGTTTGACAACGTTGATTGCAGTTGTCTTGATGGCCTCATTTTCCTGATTTCTCTCGATTCCCTGGCTGAGACTCCCGGGAAGCCATTGTTTTGCTGCTGGGGGAATGCAGTCCCACACGCGACTGAGGATATTTCGTGATTGCAACGACTGGTTTTGGTTGAAGAGGGGAAGGGAAGAGGCGCCCGTGTTGCGTGGGTAGGCGAATGTCATGTTTGGCTTAGCTTGACAGCAAGACTAAGTAGACAGGGTGGCTTGACCCCGGACAAGACGGGGCTGGTGTTCAATAAAAGGAATGACTGGTCATGCTCTGTGCATACGACTGAAAAGAATGAAAAGAATTAATAGTGAATCAAAAAAAGAAAAGGTTCATGACATGGTGTTCGATTTTAAGACAGGGGGGTTGCAGGACAGGCAATTGGTTTAAGCTTCGGGGTCGAGATGTGTCGATCGCCAGACATGGGGATGGTCACGTGCAGACCCTTAACAAGCATATGGGGTCTTAGGGGTTTTGATATATTTAGATTTCCAAGTTTGATTCGCAGGTTTTGAATTAGAGATAAGTAGAAGTACATAAAAATGCGGTTCAAAGAATACAGCGGATCAGCGGGTCTATGTCCGCATTGGCAAAGCATGCATTTCCCAAAGACTGATTGGCCAAGGGAGACTGCCACTTCTAAGAAAACCAGACAATTAATATGGGAATGAGTAGGGCATGTCTCTGTGGAATCTGCCCAAACATGTGAAGTAAAAGATAGGGTATCTGGATAGGAAAAACCGTAGGGGTGAAATGTTTGGGGTACCAAATGAGAAACGAAAGTGTGTGGAAAGTGACCACATGAGGGAATCAAGTTCACTTTTTGGGGCAACACTGGCCTCCTCGGGCGCAGTGCTCATCGCACTCCAGAAGGCAAGCTTGCGGGTCACCCTCCCGAACACTGGCTGCACCACTAGTAACGTGCTCATCAGTGTCCCGCGAGCATGATGGTTGTCCACTGTCTTCGGTATCACTTTCCGGTGCGAACTCGGGTTGGATAGTCGAAGAGTGGATACCGTAAGCATGGAGACAGCGTCTCACCTGTCTAGCCAGACGCATGTACCTCTCCGAGCCTTCGCCCTTGATCTCTGTGTCCACTTGGAGATGAATGGAAGCCACGATCTTCGTGTCGCTGAGTTGCCAGACGTGCAGGTGGTGTGAACCAATGACACCGGGAAGGCCTTCAATGTCCTCCTTGATATGATCAATGCTCATACCAGCGGGCACGGCCTGAAGGAGGATACGAGAGGCGGCTTTGCACAGCGGAATGGCGGATGCAAGAATGATCACCGTGATAACGAGGGAAATGCCCGGGTCGACGTAAAAGCGCCATTCGTAGTCTGTCAACCAGATAATAAGTGCGGAAACAATCACACCAATGTTTCCGAGAGCGTCTCCCATGACATGGAGGAAGACACCACGCATGTTGAGGTCATGACTGTGACCTTTATTATGGTCCTTGGGCTTGGGCTGAGCATGGTTGTGGGATTTGTGGACATCTTCATCGCGGTGTTTGTGGACCTTGGTCGGAGCTCCTTCCTCGTCTGTGTAGTTTGTGATGCGACCGCGGTGATTCAGAAGACCTGAACGCTCAGATGGGATCTCATCCTCGTCATGACCATTCTCTGAATCCGAGAATTGTTCATTCCGGTATTGGCTAGCCGCGATAATCCCTTGTCTCAGTCTCTCTGGAAGCACGGGAATATCATCGAGGCTCACAAATCCTGCCGAAGTGCTGTATCTTCTTGGGCCACGGGTCTGGGTGTCGCGCCGTTTTCGGGATGGGTCCGTGTTAGAGTGGATGAGGGAGTTTTGAGGCAAGCTTGCGGGTTTGCCAAAACCAGCGGTAGCGCCTGCTATGCTCTCATCGGCGACCGGTGTGTGACCGTGATCGTGATCATGATCTCCTCCCGCTTCGATGTCGTGATCATGGTCGTGGTCATCGTGACTGTGGCCGTGGTCGTGGCCGCCGCCGGGTCCGTGGGAATGGTCATGGAATAGCGCCAATCCAATAATATTGGAAGCTAGGCCGAAGCAGCCAACAATGCAAACAAATCGGGGGTTTTGCACTTCCTGGGGTTCAAACAATCGCTGAGTCGCCTCCAGGAAAATCGACATGCACAAGGCGACTAGGAACACGCCATTGACGAGAGCACCGAGTGTCTCCGCTCGTTGCCACTGCATAATGAAATCCACTTGTCAGATCGTCCTTTGGGGTTGGTATGGCCATCAACTTACGCCATAGGTGTAAGTGTTGGAGCTGGTCTCGCGGTTTGCGACCTTCACGGCCCATAATCCGACACACAAGGATAGGACATCATTCAACTATTCTGGTTAGTTTCAGCCGGAGGGCAAATTCGTAGATGGTGGCGTACCATGTGGAAGGAATCGGCGACAAGAGCAAGGGAGTGGACGGCATAACCTAGAAAGTCACAGTCAGAATACGGTCGCATGTGATCAAACTGTGAAGATACGGACCAGTGATTAATTCAAGTAGGAAAAATGCTGTATCGATGACTAGCAGGATCAAGATCCTGTTCGTCTTGGAGAGCCCCATGGTGGCTTGGGGTTTGTGGTGCGCTCAGTCAGAGCTCCACAGAATAAAAAGGGTACACTTCTGATCAGTAGAGAAGCTGTAATGAAAATGGTGAAGGGAATGACAGAGAGTTGGACAGAGGAGGGGTTGGAAGAAAAATAGAGAGCGATAATCAGTGGAGCTTCGAAGCCAGGGCGGAATCAACTCCGGTCTGGTCCGTGGTGGCGAGACTTCCAACTAGATACTTTGTACTAGGTACCTTTATGATTCAAGTACTCCGTCAAATTCGCATACTAAAACAAAGATTTCCTTCATTACCTTTTTCCTTCATTTCCGTTTTTTTTTTTTTTCTTTTGTATCTCCACAGCTTAATCCCAAAGACCACCGGGTCCCACCTCCCGTGTTCATGATCGGCCTAGTCCTAGGGGAAATCTCTCATTGGGCCGGAGCTTCATTCTTTTCATTGTTATGACCTCCGAACCAATCCAGAGTGAATCCCTTCGTATTGTCCAATCCCGATGTACCTTCTAACCACATGTGGGTCCTTTGAGCTCTGTGAAAGGACTTGGAATCGCCGCATGTGATATCTATAACATATACGGAGTGCGTGGTACACTGGAAATCATTATGAACCCGACTTGTTCCTGTGGGACAGGTCACTGCAGCTGCACTACGGGTGTTCTTAGTTTCAATTCCTCTATTCTCCTGATTATACCCACTTGTGCGCCCTAACTCCAGAGGTACTCAGTTCGCTAAGCTCTTAAAACCCTCGATACCCGGATATCGCACAACTTGAAAACCCTAACTCACGGTTTTCTTTACATATCAGTGCATTAGTGCTACTCTGTCGGCATTATTAAACCCTAGAATAGTGGGGGTTCGATCAAGTAGTGCCCATGTTAAAGGCAAGTATACACACGGTCACATAATCACACCAGAACAACATGGGTCTAGTTTATGCATTGCAGCGCAAACTATATTTGCTCTTCGGTGCTATATCTGTCAGCTTTCACATGAATATGTAGTATTACAAAATCAAACAAGCACTTGCCGACATGTGATTAAAGTTTGTCTTTCATGCATGTCTCTGTTGCTAAACTAGGCACACAAGCTATTTGACACTATTGGCAACCTATGTGGGCTACATATTCATCACATGGATGAGAGCACCAATCCCTGTTGTAGCAGCATTCTATCTAGAAGGACTAATCTACTTCTTCCTACTTCGTATACATCACACTTTCCATACGACGCTGGCTCGGCTACGTAACTTGACCAGGAAATTACTCTCAATATTCATTGCCCTTTTGAGCGTATTTGTACAGACCCATGGGTTTGTAAAGCAATATTAAATATGAAATTGAATTGGTTATACGTCGGGCTAGCTGGTTGTAGACATTTTATCTAAAGGCCGGATGATAATATATATAATGACCCTCATTGGTGTGGCATCGAAATATATGTGTAAATTGGCTATATTGACATCAACGAAAGCAAAATAGGCAATCTGTATTGCTACCACAGTAGTCCCATATGTTAAAAAGTAAATATAGACCAATTGCGACAATGATAGATGTCCCTAATGAGGCTGAAGATACATCGAAAGTGGGTCCCACTTCGCTTCCGCTTATAGCGCACATTTGGGCAAAATCACACAACAACAAGGCCGGCTGGCCCAATGGCAAGGCGCTTGACTACGAATCAAGAGATTGCAGGTTCGATCCCTGCGTCGGTCAATTTTTTTGCTTTCTGATCTTCTTTACACTAAAATAAAGTGGCTGTTGATAGTGTGTGTCGTTGTCTGTGTCAATGCATTCTTTTTGTCAGGTGGTTGGTTGGTATATGAACTGCCTTGAATTATACTCCTGATCGATTAGATCACCATGCAATTCAAAAGTGAGGGAAGACATATAATATAAATCATGTAGTTTGAGCGTGCAAAATAAGCTTCGTGAACAAGGCCACTAAGTGGGAATAAAGTTCTTAGTCCCTGACATGAACATGTGAAGATCTGTCCGTGGACCCTTAAATGGTGATTGGCGTTAATAGCCCCATGCATGGCTCGGATAGTGCTTGCGCTACTCTCCCTAGCACGAGGCTTTCAAAAGGCTCGAACTCAGTTCTAATTTTAACCTGGTAGGCTTTCCCCATTCTCTTTTGACTGTGGCTATAATCGAATGCCTACCGGAGGCTAATTTCCTAATTGCATGGAAGGAACCTTATAATACAACCAAGATAGCCAGGGATTATTCGGCTTCTAGTCTGGTAAGTCTGATACAGACGAAGTTTGAGTTGATCAATATCTATTTACGGGGTAAGCCATGTACATACCGATCTATAAGCTCACACGCGACACTAAGTCTACGATATAATTTCGTTCTTCAAACTGGATGCGACCCAAGACAATACAGCTTCGATCTATCTAATAATATACAAATATCTATCTAAACAAGAACAAGCTTCTTCCGAACCTCCAAGATTCTCTCAGTCGCAGCAGAAAATTCAGCCTCATCCAAAGACCCATCCTGCAATGCAGCAAGCAAAGCATCATAAATGACTTCGCCCTGCGTGACATTCCTCTGAGCCGCAAGCAAGAGATCAACACCAGCCTGGGCGGCCAACAATCCACGAGTAGCCTGATCGCCAAACGCCGTGAGCGATCCCGCCTCAATGGCATCGGTGATAGTGACACCCTTGAAACCAAGTCTATCCCGCAACTCATTTTGGATAATAGTCTTGCTCATTCCGCAGGGATAGGTCGGGTCCAAAGCAGGATAGATAGCCCACGAAGTCATGACCATGTCCACACCTGCCGCAATGGCATTTCTATACGGCTCCATATCCACCTTGCGCAGTTCCTCACGGGTCAAGTCAATAGTGACGGGCTGCAAATCGGTATTCTCGCCTGCATGTGCTGCACCAAGACCGGGGAAGTGCTTGGCGGATGCGACAATATTGGCAGACTGCTGCGCGGCGATAAATGCAGACCCGCATGTTGCAACGGCGCGAGAGGAGTTGCTGAAGGAGCGTTCAGCGCTATCGGCGAAGTCTCCGGCCTCGCGGTAAACGTCTAATACAGGTGCCAGATTGACATTGTTCTTGAATTGCTCGAGGGTGCTGGCAGCATCTTTGCCCATCTGTGTTGCTGCCGCTTCGAGATCGGCGGCTTGACCGATCTGCTTAGCGCTCTCCACTGGTCCGCCCTCCAATCGACGGACCTTTCCGCCTTCTTGGTCTGTCATAATGAACAATGGGGTGCCTGAATAGTACGGACTCTGCTTGTAGGTCTCCTGCAAGCTGTCGATTGTGGATACGAGGTTTTCATCGACATTTTCGCCGAAGAGGATGATACCGCCGACTTTGCCTTTCTTGATCAGGTCGACGAGATGGGCTGGTGGCTCAAGGCCGGCATAAGAGAAAATGACATGGTGGCCAATTTGCGCTTGAAGATCGCTCGGGGAAGCAGCCAAAGCTGAAGGCGTAAGAGCGAGGAAGAAAGGAAGAAGAAATTGTGTAGAGAACTTCATTTTGATTGTAGGCGGTTAAACTATTCAATTTGTGGCTATCATTGCCTATATAGCACCCCCTCGGAGTTTATGAACATTTTGAGAAGTGTCATTTTATCTTGAGATCGTTGCAGATTGTCCAAATTGTTCCTGCATCTGTGGGAATATTGTTGAGGCCGTGAGGGGTGTTACATTCATTACATTGATCGTCACTGAAGATTCCTAAAAAGGCGACTACCCGCACAAGGTTACTATCTGGCATCGGCGATATCCTCGGCAATTGTGGTATTTAGATTGCTTGTTTCATGTCACCTTCATCAAGTGAAAATGTTGAGAAAATGGCTTGTTGAGATTACCTATTCTACCTAGGTATATTTCTCTATAGAATGACTACCTAAACCGTATGTCGTAGGTAGCCATAGATAAAGTAGTCAGTCAACTCCCTCTCTCGGCCGACTTCGAAAAAACAAGGGGAAAAAAGTCATAAGCGGTGCGGTGGAAATGAGTAGAATTTAGTTATCTGGGATCTTAATGCCCTAGATAAGTGTGATTTATGGGTTCGAATAATTGTCCTGGTAACGTTACAAGGCTTGTATTTCTACCTACAAATCTTATTCGAGGTACTTTATCTGCCACCGGGGCCCCGGCGGTTTGCCAAGGACCTACACGGATACTACGTAATATAGCAGGGCGTTTTTAGGTACCATTGTCAAGTTTAGCTTCATTTAATCGATATAGGCATACATTATTTTTTATATTATATTCTGCATAGACTTTTTTCATTACTTAATCAATCGGGTGGTTAGCTAAAATAGCGATCAAGCGATCGGTAGGGAGATCTACTTGTTCCCAAAAGATCTTACGAGTACATATTTAATAAATATAGGCGTGGCTCCACATCTTGATTTATTTATTGTTGTAATTCGTCCGAAAAAGAAGACGAACTCCACGCAGCTTATACACTTATGATTTCAATTCATCGATATAGAGAAAGAAGACTCGAATGAACAATTGACAGGTCGAGAGGTGCCTAGAAGATGGCGATCAAACGTACAGAGAAAGTGCAACGACATCAAACGCCTAATCATTCACTCTTTGTCCATAAAATCAGTGAAGAGAGATATCAACCCCTTCTTGGTAGCAACCGGAAGCGCTCCACATTCTACCACAGCAGTAGAAGATACTAACTTGATATTAGCTTTGCTCACGTCGGCCCTATAATGGTACTTGCCTTGAAGGTATGGCTTACAGATTCTGGAATAACCAGAGAGATATAGGCACCAACAGAATCATTAACGAATGCCTGTGAGTGTCGAAAAAATAGATGGCGAACCAGTTCAAAATGGAGGAGAACCCGACGAAGGAAAACATCGTTTCCAGGAGAGAGGATACCGGCGGCAAGGCCACCTTCAGTGAATTATTTCCGTCTCTAGCGGCTTTGAGTATTTTCAGAGGTTGTAGATCATCTTCCACGAGCTTCGGTATCTTGTCACCGTCATATATGTCCTTCGGTACCATAATTTCGCAAAACTTCCTATCGATATCAAAGGACCACGCCAGCGGTTCAGAGAAGCTGTCCCAAAGAGCGGTCTGATAGATATCGCTGATGATATAGGGGGATGGCCTAGAATTAGCTCTAACCAAGGCTTGATCTAAGTTCTTGAGAGCCCGAGCCGCCAGCCTGCGGAAGCCAGGATTTAGGTCATGTAAGATCACGAACATGAATTTCAGAGCAGGAATTGGAAGCTTTCGTTGCTCTTTCAGCTCATTGATCATTGAAAACCAGATTTGGCCATTTTCAGTAGTGCCCAGTGAAAGAAAGAAAATATTACAGCTAATACAATTGTTACAGCTGTGCCGATTCAATATAGCTGAAGTACTTCATCGGGCAAGTCTTCTTGCAGACGAAGGCGTCTAGTATGGCTGGAAGACCTGGCTTTGACGAGAGAGGTGACACGTTTCACGACAATATGTGGCAATTCTTGCAACTTATATCCTTGGATGCATATCTGTAAAAGCTCCAGCGCGGCTAACTTGAACTGAAATTCTTCACTGTCATCAAATTTTTCGTTGTCACCCATCAGAATAGACATGCTGTTGAGAACATGCGAAGACAGCAGCATGGGCAAAGAGCACATCATATTCAAGAGTTCTCCCGCAGGATGTCTGACCCGCGTGGTCTCATCTTTCAAGGAGGACAATAGAGCGTCAATGATGTTGAATTCATGATATCTTCGGGCCCCGGCTATCATCACTAACCTCCTCTCCAAATGATCATTGGTACCAGAAAGCCGGTTGACCGAGTGGAGACCCGTGAAGGCCCAAGCGTATAAAGGGCTCTTCACGACTGGGTTTCGATTCCAAAACTGCGCATACCTATGTATGCGCATACATGACTTACCACATATAGAAATAGCAACGCTTCGCCTATTGGGTAGTTCGCACGGGAAGATGCGCAAGGCAAACAAGACTAGCTACACTCGCCTTACGAGGCTGAGTTGGCGCTGGGTAATTCTGGCGGGGCGCTTAGAACATACATAGCTGGACAGATGTCAGATACCAGGCGACAGTTATTGTGTATCCTCAAGCGATAATCCCCGAGATTCTGAGATTTTTTATCAGAAGCAGATAAGAGAGAAGAAAAAAAGACCAGTCAATGACTGTGGTGACCCTCAAGCAAATCCTTCGCAGCAATTTTCCTGCATTCCTCCATCACCCTCAATTGCTCAGCCACTTCGCCCAGTCTGCTAATAACTTCCTTATTCCCGCGCGTAAAAGTAAACATCACGTATGGGATTCCAACGTCGGCGCAGAACTCCTTGACATACTTCTGCGCCCGGCGCAGGTTATGTCTTGGCAGACGAGGGAACAAATGGTGCACGACTTGATGATTGAGACCGCCATGTATAAAGTCCAACCAAGGCGGGCAATCGACATCCATCGTTGTCCGCACCATCTTCTGAGCAAACGACTCGTGAAGACCACCATCGACGGTCGACATGGCAAAGTGGCTGAGCGTGAGTTGGACGTGCAACGGGGCGGTGACCATATGAGAGATGAACAGGAAAGCGATGCGGGACGACCACGTCGGGATTGAGAGGTATAGTGTTCGGTAGCCGTACCAATACCAGAAAAACACCTGGCCGGTCATTTCAAGGTAGCGATGCCACCACGCCGAGCCTTTACGAGGCGCTTGCTTCGGATCTAGTAGATACGTCCATGCTAGGCGGTATAGATTGAAGCGACCCATTAAAAGTATGGGATAGTAGAGGTAATGCTGGTGCTTGATAAACCATCGTGATGCAGTATCAAAAGACATATCGCGGTCGTAGTAGGTTGAGCGCAGGGAAGCAAAGAATCGAGAGGAGATGGCAAAAAATGGCATATGTTGGATGTCTGGATCGTGCTCGGGCGAGTTGGTTGTTATATGATGTACGTTGTGATTTCGCTTCCACCAACCGACTGAAAGACCACCAATGAAATCTGCAACAAAAATTCCGATGCAGCTGTCTGTGTGGAACCCATGTGTTATGCTTAGATGACCGGCGTCGTGAACGAGGAATGACAGGAGATGCCAGAGTAACCCGAGGAAAAGACTCGAAAGAGTGTAATATGAATAGTGAAGACATCCCAAGAACAGAACAAAAAGGGTGAAGTATCGGATAAATTCAACGGCGTAGGAGCTATATGGGCACTGATAGAGTCCCTCGGATTGCAATTTCTCATCGAGCAGGCGGTACTTGGAGATGACCTCGGCTTGGGATAGTTGATCAAGACGAGGATATTTTGAAAGGTCTGATGATATCGCGTGAGCTAGTGATGCCTCCGCAGCTTTGAATTGCTCCGGTTCCGGCTCTGATGATGAAACTTGAGTAATAGGCGTATCGTTGCCTATACGCCTCAAACGGACTTCGTCCCCTGTCTCCGTATCGAAGACGAGTGATGGCGGCGTGGATTGTCCAGATGAGCTGAAATCTTTAGCATCGTCATCCTTCGATACCAGCGGTCTGAATATTCCCCCCTGTATGGGAGGCAAGAAATTTTTCCATCTTCCATGTACTCTTCCTATCACATACTTCTGCATATATGCCCGTGCTTCCTCTGAATGCAATGCTGTGATTTCATCCGTCCCATCCCGACCGACCATATGTAATATTGATTTATCACCACCTGGATGATATGGTATCCACATGTCAGCCTTCAGTACCTGATCACCAAATATGATTATCTTTCGCCCATCTGCTATCAATCCCTCGATTTCTCTCCGAGACCACACTCGATTTGTGCGTGACATGGCTGGCGCCATATCCCAATGGTGGGTGTAGTAGAGCAGTTGGAGGTTGACTTCAAATCCCGGGCAGATGATGGATGCTCGGCATCAGATGAAACGCATATGCTGTTGTTTTCTTGAAGAGTATCAAGTTTGAAACAAATCAGGCAACCATGTATGTCAGTCACGTGCAGCTGATACAACATGGTCACCCCTGGGAAACGGCCCCCACGTGGATTTCAGCCGTTTAGCCCAATATGGAAGGGGCTAAGTATTACGGATATTCTATCAACCAAATCCCACATTCAAGCGTAGTGTGCCATAGCGTAATTCCCAAAAATATATATCGATCTGATAGTTCTTTAGCTACTCCATTCATTTCTAGGCAGTACGGACTTGAATCAATATTTCGTTCTTAATTGTATGAGAAACTATAGATCGAAAGCCTTTAGTTCAAGAGGACTGAGCAATATCGAGAATAGCCATACTGATGTTGACCAATACAGGCCGAATATTACGATGACCGACAGGCTTCTTAGATACCCCCGACACGACTATCCACAGAGTTGCTAATAATCTTGACTTACCATATTTGACATCGAAAGACTTCAAGTACAGTAGTTTTTACAAGCACAACCATCCCCCAACTCCGGGACTAGGTTATGCAGCTGCCGTCACATTTCCCAGGAAGAAATCAGCCAATAAAGTTACCCACCAGAGTCGCTTGGATACCTTGAATCATCGCAGCGAAGACTCAGGAGGGGTTGAGGCACCGTTTGCTCACCTCGCTCATTACAGCAATAAGGCACTATTTTCGCAGACTCAGCCACTTCAAATTTGTGGCCAGCTGGATTCTTGAGCCTTGTCACTTCTAAGAAATGTAAATATTTCGAAGACTTGCTTAGCAACGCCTCTGAAGAAATCTTATAACCATGCGATCGGCCCATATCCACCAACAACCATCAGTTTTCGAGCTCAGAGGGCTCTCTTACTATGTGAGAGATTGAGTATAGATAGGTTTATTGAGAGGATGGAAATAACTGGTGTTAGGTATCACTAAATTGAGTCGGTCTTTTCCCAGTGCGAACTTCCTGGTGCAGATCCTGAACCAGTTAGATACTTCAATTCACACCAGCAACGGTCATTCATTTGTACTGGAATCTCCTGGAATGTGAGTGACTTCCGTTGAATATGAATGACTCCTTGATCTATATTGGATAATGGCTGTTTAACGACAGGAGCGGTGGCAAACAAAAACTCTCCAATCTTTGTTGTATCGATGATTGGTGCACCACAGGCTGTTGTACCGAGTTTGCCTTTAGTTTCCTTTTTAACTGATATTATATTTTCATGCTTACAAAGCTGTAGTCAGACATCCGTATGGTTCCGTCATTGCTGGTCAGATGGAGTATGCTCCAATTGTCACTCTAATTCGACCCAGGGGTGTGTCTATCAATTGGAACTCACCCTACTAGAATATTTCTAAACAAACAGCATCACAGGTAGCGATTTAACACTACAAAATATCGCCGAGGAAACCTTGAAAATAGCATCATGGTAGGCCACCCTGTTGACTGGGCGATACACCCCGGAGAGAATACTCGTAACCCGAAATCGGCGGTTGCAGTCGAGCTGTGACTAGTGTCACAAACTACATTTGACCTCTGGCACGATTTAATGTACGTGGGTAGGGGAATCAGGGATCATTGCACGGGAGCTAAGTCGCAAAAGGTATGATGCGATGAATGACGTTCTCAGTGTAGCAACTGTGAACAATCTAGCGTGGAATGCGCCTTTTAAACTCTAGGCGGAACATTCTATAGCCCCATGGCCATCCCTCCCAATAATTCTTTTAATGGTTTGCTTTCTCCCACATGGAGGCTGCATATTTCACAGTCTGATGCATGGACATTGGATATGATATTACAAGAAGACTACGGGATAGAAGCAAAGAATTCAAGCTTTGCACTAGTCGATCAAAAACACAATCTAGTGTTTAACATTGTGGACAACTGATGTTCCAAAAGCGACATAGAGAGAAGCAAATCTACAAGCCATCTGCCCAGATGGGCAGCTGGGCATCAAAGCGGGGATACCTAAACATGTCACGAACGTGGCTGGGCAGCGAAATATCGAGCCCAAGTGCAAGTTCTTCGGAGAATCTGTGACAAGGTGCAGATGCTTTTATAACCCTGAATCATGAAGTCCTGAGAAGCCCCCTGAAGTCAAGTCTGATTTCATCGGCCCCACTCCTGCCAACTTCCTAAAGAGGAAGTTGAAAATCAAAGGCTTGGCACGGAGATTTAACATCCTCGAATCCACGCTAACCCGCAAATCATTTCGCTTCCTCGTGCACAAAGTTCCGGTAGTCTTCTAGAAACGGGTACTATACATCAGATACTACATTATTGGGTCTGTTGGTCATAGCTTAGAAATAGCCACCGATTCCCGAATTCACTATGGCTATATAAATATTTCTGACACTACGCATATGGTGCACTCATAATCTAACGCCAAGAAAACATAGACGCTCCTGATAAAATATCATGGGCGCGCCAGAAGCTCCTAACCCGAGCAATGAGGCTATGCCACATGATCTAGAGCAGGCCAGGATCAACCAAGAGACTGCTGATTTGGAAAGATTAGGAAGAGAACGCCCAAAATGCTTCAAAGGCGCTTGGTCAGAAATTTCTTTCTGTCTCTCAATTTTCATGTCCCAAATTCTTGCAGTAAGTCATCAACCAGAATTCTACGCCACGAGGCAAAATTCTAACCTTCTACTAGGAATACTATATCTCAGGCTCAAATGTTCTCCTTCCAACGCTGGTTAAAGAGCTTGACCTCCCCAAAGCCTCAGAGATATGGCCGTCTACCGCATTATCGCTAGTCGTGACCTCGACGCTGCTGATCTTCGGTAGATTAACCGACATGTTTGGCGGATATATAATTTACAGCGGAGGAGCTGTTTGGCTCACAATATCCTCTATCCTCTGCGGTGTCTCCCAGACATGGCTGATGTTGATTATTTGCCGAGCATTGCAGGGTTTTGCTCTGGCCGCTTTTCTGCCATCAGGAGTCATGATTCTTGGCAGCACCTACAGACCGGGGCCCAGAAAGAATATGGTCTTCAGTATCTATGGCGCATGTGCGGCGCTGGGCTTCTTTGTGGGAATTTTCTTCTCCGGACTCTGTGGTGAATATCTCACTTGGAGATGGTACTTCTTCATCGGAGCGATCCTCTCCGCCATCACAGCAGCTCTGTCACTATTCTCCATTCCGCGCGATTATTCTGAGAAGAGAAAAATGGGTATTCGGATGGACTGGCCTGGTGCCTGTCTTTCTGTCCCGGCGGCTGTGCTTTTTGTGTTTGCCATTGCGGATAGTTCGTATGCGACACAAGGGTGGAGAACGCCATATATTCCTCTTTTCTTCGTTCTTGGGCTTATTCTTATGGGAGTCATGGTTTATGTGGAAGGATGGGTTGTGAAGAACCCTCTGCTGCCTGGCGACGTTTTCCGAGTCAAGTATATGCTGCCTCTGGTCATCGCATTGCTATTTCTTTACGGCACGTTGGGTATATTCCTACTCTATGCCGTTCTCTAGTGAGTTCTATCGGTGTGATGCTTTCCAGATAGCCACTAACAACATCTATAGCATGTCTGAAATAATGGGTGCTTCGCCAATGCAAATCGTGGCATGGACTGCGCCTATGGGAGTTGGTGGTCTTATCCTTTCAATCGGAGGAGGAATGATCTTCCACAAAGTCCCAGGAACGTTGTTGATGTTGATATCATGTCTCGGCTACGTGGGTTCTGGTCTGTTTTTCGCCGTCCTCCCTATCGGCGGAAATTACTGGGCTTTCGTATTCCCGTCGATGATATGCGGCACAGTCGGCATTGATATCAGCTTCAACCTTGCCAATGTTTTCATCACGACAAACCTTCCAAAAGCAAGGCAAGGCTTAGCTGGTGCATTGATCAACTGCACTCTGCACATGGGAATCGCCGTGATGCTTGGTTTCGCGGATATTGTTCACACCAACACATCTGACCTAGGTACCCGGGATAGCTACAAGGCTGTCTTTTGGTACCAAACCGGACTAGCCATATTGGGACTTGTTATTGTCCTATTTTTTGTGCGGATCAGAGAGGCCAAGAGTGAACTTACACTTGATGAAAGAGCAGCAATGGCAGCAGAGGGAAATGAATGAGGTGGCGATTTCTGACGCGTTTGATACCCCTTCTGTTTGTAGTTTTTTAGAGATAATATTGGACTCTTATAAAATTGAATATAAGACTTTTCTCGCCCTTGGAATTTCCAAACTTCTACAGGTACAGCATGGATTCTACATCGTAACCAGTTGACATGCCTCGCCATGCTATTTCTAGACAGAATTCAAAGACTTCTGATTGGCTCATCTGATCCATAATCACATGTCTGCCCCTGGAAGGCCACGTGATGTGATTTGGATCAGGGCCTTGGCATGCAGATGCAATGGAGGCTGAGGTGTCCGGGGTACTTGATAATCTCTTAAGACTCAGATACTCCGCACTCCATTCGCCATTCCCGTGAGAGACAGAGAGCACAATGTGCCATTTGGATTCCGGATGACGAGTGAAACTTATGACAATGTCGGTCACAACAATTCCGCTCGAACCCCTCATATCGACCGCACGTGCGGAGTCTAGTCACGCCGGCGGAGCCATGCGAGACGTCCAATCCGACCGAACACAATCCGAGAACAAAGGAGCCATGGGGATGGAGGTCAGCGAAGGCAAGGCTATGTCTCCCATGGAATTCACTGGGACATCATCGTGTAGAGAAAAACGACCTTCGTCCGGCCTTCATTCCTTGACTGCAGAACACCCGCTTTTCCCACCCATGCCGTCGTATGGCCCCCCATCTGCATTGCGCAGAATCCAACACTATATGTTCATCGTCGCCTCGTTCTTTCTGTCGCTATGCTTTTTGGCGGCCGTATTTATCGGGGCCCTATTCCGCATAGCAGGAGTCGCAATCTCGGAAGCTCGTTCACGATGCAGCGGCCAGAATCCGGATACGAGGAGGTCGTTTTATACGGAGGAACTGGCACGCAGGAAGGCGAGGGCCAACGCCGATCGGAGGTGGGCTCTGCGCCAACAGAAGAGGGATATGGACGAGGAACAGGGGCCTGAAGAATGCCAAGAATGCCCGTCCCTGGAAGGAGGCAAGGATCTCTTGGTTAGTGACGTTGCATACTATGCCCGTCGAGTCGGTCTCGACGTGGAAACATTTCGGGTCCAGACGGAAGACGGTTTCATTATCACCCTGTGGCACGTCTTCAATCCCCAGGAGTATGAGGCATTATCACCAGAAGAGCGACGCGAGCGTGGGCCTGATGTTTTTACTAAGCCGAGAATGCCGAATACATCCCGTCCACAATCTAACCGTCGATATCCTGTTCTCCTGGTCCATGGATTGCTGCAAAATGCCGGTGCATTCTGTACCAACGACGAGGATAGTCTGGCGTTTTACCTCTGCAAATCTGGATATGACGTCTGGTTAGGGAATAACCGCTGTGGGTCACACCCAGAGCACATCACTTTGTCGCCCGACGACCCGCGTATGTGGTCTTGGGACATTCGACACCTCGGGACGCTGGACCTTGCCGCACTCACTTCACGGGTGCTCTACGAGACTGGGTTCGAGAAACTAGGTCTCGTCTGCCACTCCCAAGGAACCACGCAGACCTTCGTTGCTCTAGCCAAAGACCATCGTCCCGAGCTGGGCGAATACATCTCGGTTTTCTGCGCACTTGCACCGGCTGCATATGCCGGCCCGCTTGTGAGCAGACCGTATTTCCGATTCATGACCCTTCTCCCTCCCGCGATTTTTCGACTCATCTTCGGAATCCACTCTTTCATTCCTTCCATGATGACCGCTCAGCATCTGCTGCCGTCTAGAGTTTATGGAACCTTAGCATATTGGGTGTTTTCCTTTCTGTTCGACTGGTCAGACACGCGCTGGGAGCGTGATCTGCGCCATCGAATGTTCCAGTTCGCTCCAGTGTATGTCAGTGTTGAGTTGATGCGCTGGTGGCTAGGAAGTGAGAGCTTCGCAAAACATAAATGCATTTTGTCCACAGAAACTGAGCTCCTCCATGAGACAAACGTGAACCCGTATATGCGAGACGCTGTTTCTGAGCATGGCGATGATCCCCGAGACGCATGTTTGGGAAGTCCGGCCCCAATCCCCTGGTATGGCCCGAAAACACCCCCGTTCGCATTTTGGATTGGAGGCTCCGATGCTCTTGTCGATGGTCGCCGACTTTTGAATCGCTTCCAGAGCGGGCGTGAGCCTCATGTGAGTCTCGTTCATTCGAAGGTCATTGAAGAGTATGAGCATCTCGATGTCCTTTGGGCAATGGATGCGATCGAGCAGGTTGGCAGGGAGGTCAACCAGGTTATTTGGACAAGTATGCCTGATGACTCGCGTCAGATATGCCGTGCCCCTCGCGGTGTGAACCTAGACATGGTAGACATGGGTTAGTTTATACTTGTTCAGGTACTCCGTATTATTGTATATTACATCATATGTCCCCATGCATTGATAGGCTACCTTACCAAGAGATCATTTATAAATGCTAGACCTTACAATACAAAACCTTGACCAGCTGAAGTATGATCTACGGAAAAGACATTATAAATAGTGCCCATGGTGCTCATCTCAGTTTACGTTGGCTCTCGGTTCTCTTCCATTCTCCTTGATAACCACTAATCTTGGGAAAGAAAGCAATTGACCTCTACTCATTTTCTTTTCTACCACCGGTCTCAGATTTCTTCAATAAATTGTTTCTATGCGACTTGTTCATATTTGAGTATCATGGCATCTCCTACGTCGCCAACTTCATTGTCTCGTTCTCGTGAAATGTCACCATCAAATATTCCTGTCCGAATGAATTCCAAAAAAGTGGCCGTGTCAGAGCTGAAAGCTGCCCCAGAAAGGGCAGTAAGAGCGAGAGGAACTCATCATTCCAATATCATGGCGTTTGCTAGGTCCTGAGACGACGATGATACCCTCGCCAAGGGAGAAATTCAAATATTCTGCCATGATGCGTGACATGTTCGATGTTTCCTGCGAAACCTTTGATTTGCGTTTTATGTTTCTCAGTGAACTATCGGTAATAGCGATTCTGTTTCTTAGCTTAGGTATCTTCGTTTTTGGCGCATTTTATACATCTGGTAAAGTTACTATTCATAGTTTCTTTCTCATATGTATCATTGCAGATCTGTAGACTGCTCTTGCCCTAATACTCCTTTTGGTCAGGTACAGGTACCGGTCAGGTGATGATGTACCTAATATTTGCGTCAGGTTCAGGTTTTCCTGTCACCAAGAATTGGGGGATGAAAGGCAATCTTCCTTATGGTATCCTCACAAATTTCCACAGACTTTATCAATGTTTCTATGCCAATCTTAACTTGGAATGAGTACAGTGGTGTCATCCTTGAAGGACATGTCAATCTAAGCTCAGCCAGGTCCACTAACCCCGCAATCCCCCAGATTTGGGTGGGACCCGGCCCAATACCTCCGGACTCCACAACATTCCGCTTTTATCGGGTTATCATGACATCTACACACATAGAACAATGAAACTAGATATGAAATCATAGATGTACCTAGATTTTTAGCCTATGGTAAGTTCCAGGGGAACTCACCTATAGCAGGCCGATGATCTCACCTGGACAGCCCCCTATTTGTGTGTGTCACATTATACACGGTGACGAGTAGATGAGGGTACACAGGTACTTATATTGTCCTAGTATATACGTATTTGTGTACTTTTGGCCCATATGTGACGCCAAACCTAGCCAATAGCATGCAGTCAAGGCCAACCAAGACCACTTCAACACCAAAGAGAATGTGGGGGAAAGGGCTAATTTAGCTAATGGACCCCCAGTATGATCGACTGGCACTGCCCACTATCAATTGGCAGGGCGGTTATTATTGCTTTTAATAGCCCTATAGTGCCGTGTCTCTTCAATGTTTAGATTTCTGTGAATATAGTAAGTGTGTGCTTCAAATTAGGTATCACGATCCATGGAACAGACTGACCGATTTGAATCATCACCACGACATCAAGTCGAGACCACTGAAGCCACCAGGGGACACATGGATCCTGAAACTCACCCAACGACTCCAAGGTTATGTGACCCATTGCGACCATTGGCTTGCCACCGTACAGGGATACCTTAGATGTCACCTTTCAGTCAGTCCCAAGTCCTGACTGACTCCCAACCCCGCATCCAGTCAGATGATACCAGTGTATATATAAGTTCTTCTTCCAGTCCCCCTACCTGTATTGTGTACTTGTTTGCTTTTCAGAAATTCTCCCCTCCACTTCCATCCATCACCTTCCACCAGACTTGCAGCATCAACTTGGACTTTCCATCAACACACAATCCAACACACTACATTTAAGATGTCGGCAGCCATGGGACCTATTATGCAGCAACTACAGGCTCTCCCTGCCCGCTCAAGGCAGGGCCTGAATAACCTGCGCCAGCGTATCTTCCAGCAGGGTATGTTCTTTCCTCTCGTCTTCCGACCGTCTCATCCACCTTGCTCTTGACATTCAGATATCAGATATAACTAACACTACCCACAGGAGAGAGACAACCCAAGGAAACCAACCTCTTCCGCACTTCCCTCAGTGTTCACCGTCCTGTCTGGATCACTGCTGCCGGTGGTCTCTACACCAGTATGGCGGCTGTGTACCTCACGATGCGATATCTGAAGCGTGTTGCGCGATAGATGAGGCAGTCTAGTCACTTCTGCCCACTTGACTTGATTCGACTACATGATTCTACAGCTCTCACACATGTTTCCACTACTCTTCACACGCATACCCCTTTTATCCCTCGTCGCCATGTTTTTATCGACAACAGCTGTGTCTGGCCGGTAGTCGTGTGCGACTGGATTCTTTTTATCCCAGATGGGATGCTTCTTTCTTTTGTTCGGTCGGTCATTCGCATCTTCGCCAAAGAATGGCAAGATAGACCTGGCGTTTTTGTTTGAAGGGCTACTTTACCCTAACTCGATACTCTCACAATAAATATGTTACAATTACTCCGCCTCTGCATTATATCGTATTTATCTGGCTCGATTTTTCAACATGGTGTTGCTCGTTTTCTATGTAGAGTTATCGCTTGTTATGGTAAGGCCAAAGGTGCCAGCGTTGACAACGAAGGGTTAAAGAGCGCGTGGTAATAATAACTGAATAACAGACTGCCCAGATAAGCACAACTGAGAAGGTCAGGCTAGACCTAGCCCTCCCCAGCCATAGAGCGATACGCGCTCTCAAATCAGGGGGTGTGTAAACAGAACGAAAGCCTAGTGATTGTTTCAGGGTACACACACATCGAAAGTTGACTGTATACATACCCAACATGATTCACCCCTTACCGTTTGAGATTATGTACTAGTACAAGTGAAGAAGTCCCTCGAAGTAGAAACTGAGAAGTGACAGATCCACTCGGCTGAAGAACCCACCCCCAGAATCTGAGATGATCCACTTCGCCATCGCCCAAAGGAATCAGGAGTGCGCTCGGCCCCTCGCTTCCACCATACACGATACACAATACCTCAGGCAGACACTTTGCAAATAATCTGCTGCCCTATCATATCTCTTCTCTTACTCAGGGCGTCGTCAGTCTGCTGGGGTTGGCCCCGTACAATGATCTCATTGCTGATAGGTGCATGCGTTACTTTATGTTTAGAGGCTTGGCGACCCCGCGTTTGTTTGTGTGCGGAATTTCCTGATCGGGTTGTTTGAAATGGGTATCTGCTCATGTTTAGAGGTAGTGGTAATCATTCACAAATATAAACCAAGTTTTGGGTCATATTCTACATGAAAGCCCCGCAAGAACAATGTGCAGAGCGTTGCGACTCTGGTGCTCTTGAACTCGGCGAGTCTGTTTCATTAGGGAAAGAGCGAGAGATGATTGGCTCTGTTGTCCTTTCGGTAAATAAAACCAATACCCAGGCTATGGAGTAGGAGCAGTCTCATTAATGGGCCCCACATTCTACGTATGACTTGCCTGATTTGCTGAGAATCTAAGAAAACATGGGTCTTTCGGTTGCCCTAAGACTGAGCGAGAAACAACCATTACCTCGATCGGACTTTCTGTTCAAAATCTAAATAGTTCTAGAATATATAGTAAACAGGGAATATAGTTGACCCCCACCGGAGTCACGTTCCTTCCCTGGGATTGCCAAGCTTTCTTTAAACTCCTTGGAGCCAACCTTAACTATCGGACTATCGATGATGTGTTCCCCCTGCTTATGAATCTAATATTGCCGATTTTGAGCCAAAAAGTGCCTGATCCAAAGGGACCCCAGCCCCAGAAGAGAAGAACGGGGCCAGATAACCAACTTGCAAGTTCCGGTTTACCCACAGTCCTTAGACGGGAAATGATCGAAAAGTCTTCTCCTTCAAGTGTGTTTATAAGTATAGCTAGGTTTCGAACCTCTATGTGAGAAGACATCTACAGAAATTCTAGATGTGAGATGCTAGTAAAATGGAAGAGCTCTAGGAGAAAGCATGTAACGTGGTTGACTGCTTAAAAATGCCCGATAATGCCCATCAGCGCTTACTAGAGCTCGCAAAGCTTCCTACCATGAAATCATCCACTAGAACCATTTCTTATTCCTCGTATTTTCTCCTTGCCAACCACTACCCTCAGGTGAGCAACTGATTTCTTCTCATTTTCCTTGTGCCATCAGTCTTATATCGCGTCCAGCCACCACCGGATCGCTGTTCATCTCATCTCCGTGCACTTCATCTCTCCGTGAAAGTTATCTCTCAGTTCACTTTGACTCTCAGTCCTCGTCTATTCTTGCTTGCTGTTACAGGGCTTGTAATTGGGCTCCTTGGGATTGTCACGATTATCTGTATTCTTCTATTCAGGAATAAGATCGGGGTAGTATTTCGTCGAAGGAGCCGAGAAAAAGAGTCCACGCAGTATGTACCACCGCCCAGTGGAGACCTGGTCGATTCGAATCACTCCGAAGGAAATGGCAATGGTGATGAAGGGACCATGGTTGGCTCTAGCCCTGCAAAAAAACTGGATGTGGACAAGACAAAAGATGGCAGCTGGAAGTCTACACTCTACCTTGGATCCATTGCCAGCTTAGCAGTGCTTGTCTTTAATACTTTCGCAGCCTGGGCTGCTGCCAGCTATACTGGTAGCGATGGTACAGGAGTACTATTTCAAGGCGAATGCCGAAAAGCGCGAAATATCAACACAGGCTTCCACTTGGTTATCAACATCCTTGCAACACCTGTCCTTAGTGCGAGCAGTTACGGAATGGTAGGTATTTATTGTCTCTCTTGTATTTATTAAAGGCATAGTAAACTTAAACTAACTGACTGTTGAGCAATGTTTGAGTGTACCGACTAGACTGGACCTGGACCGCGGAGAGTCGTTGGACATTGGAATCCTTAATATGCGCAATCTGTCTCGCATACCACGGAAGAAGCTCGCCTTATGGGTCTGTCTGGCTACCTCGTCTCTTCCATTACACCTACTGCATGTGATCCTACCAATTTTTATATGACGAAAGTGTTGTTGTTAATAGCCGATATATAGGTATAACTCCACTGTTTTTATCACAACAGGTGCCTTCGAGTACGAAGTTATCGTTGGGAATCAAACATTCATCGAGCTCAGCCCTACAGCCTTGACACAGGAGGACAGGATCCATACGGGTACGGAGCTACGTCCCTCGTTCGAAGACCTACGCAACCAACCGGCCAATGGCAATTTTCACCAGTTGGACAACTTGGATTGCATCAACGCATATGGCGTCAGTTTCCAGTCCACTTACGGGACCCTGTTGCTGGTTTGTGACACTGCTCAGCCACATGAAGGCTACTTCGAAGTTGTCGCTGCAAGCTCTGTGGATATAGTTAAGGATTCGTGGCAGTGGATGTTCAGGTTCAATGACGTTTTGTACGGTTTCGATCTAGATAAATTTCGCGCGCACTCCGACAACCTAACCATGGAAGTTTACACCGGGGACTCATTTGTGGAATACAAAGTCGATTACTGTCTTGCACAGAAGGTCCCTGAAATATGCAAGGTCAAGTATAGTCTACCTTTGTTAATAGTGGTCATTGTCTTCAACATCATCACGGCCGGGATCCTCTGGGGCATTACAGTAACCATCAACTACGTGCCCCTCCTGACGACCGGGGATGCCATGGCTGAATTCCTAAAGAGGCCCGATTCCTCTACACTTGCACGAGATCAATGGAAATACAACCAGGAGCGTCAATATTGGTACACAGTATTGTCGAAGAGGCGAAGGGCTGGCTGTGCTTTTCTGTGAGTTATTTTCTAAGTGCTCCCTTGCGTTTTACCTCCTTTAATCCCAATTTCCTACAGGTTTCTTGGAAGCATTATCGCGAGTATCATTCTTCTTGTCTACACCGGTTACTCCGACCAAAATGGTGGATTTTCACTTGGCTGGGCTCTTGGTATTGGTGCCGCCGATACTCGGTATTTGATACAGGGAAAACATCACCCGTCAACAGTTTCCGCCAACACCATCATGGCCAATACGCCACAAGTCGTGTTTTCTATTCTGTATTTTGCCTTTAACGGTGCCTTGACGGCAATGGCCCAAGAAAACGAGTGGAGTCAATACGCTGTGGATCGCAAGAGTTTACGAGTTTCGACCGTCGCAAAGGGCGAACAGAGAAGCACTTATTTTCTATCGCTACCTTACCGATATTCTATCCTTCAATTAGTTTTCTCTATCGTCCTACATTGGCTGATCTCCCAGAGCCTCTTCTTCGTCAATGTGGAAGCATACTCTCCGACGTTGGTGCACATTGAGGATCACAGTTTTATAACTTGTGGATATTCACCTCTCGGTATTGTTTGTACGATCGTAGTGGGATCCCTGATGGGACTCTACTTGGCGGGCTTAGCGCGCTTTAAAACGTTCAAATCCGGCATGCCCATCGCTGCTAGCTCCAGTCTGGCTATCTCCGCTGCATGTCACCCCTATCCGTCTCTTGAAGAAAGCGGGGACACGCATACGAATTCGGGAACAGAGATGAAGCGACTGCAATGGGGAGTCGTGGCTGCTAGATATCAGGATTCGGAGCACTGTTCTTTTACCGATGAAGAGGTTAGCATGCCAGTTCACCGACGTACCTATACGTGAACCACGCATATCAATCCCTTAATATAACTTGTTCTTTATTCCCCTAGTACTAAACATCGTGAGACATGTTATATATGTATCTGCGACGGAAAAGCGTTATGGCAATGGAGCTAACGGCCAAGGTGTATATTCAATTTATCTTAGGAGACATCACAGGAACCGTAGAAGTCCCTAACGGCGGGCCTATATTCAAACCACCATACCTATGTTATGAGGTAGAAAGTCATATAATAAAAGAGAATTACGGTCGATGATTGGTCAGAAAAATCAAGATGTTAAATGACCTGTTCTGAATTTTACCTATAGGCGCCATAGTTCGAACCGTTTTTTTGTATAAGTAAACGGGTTCCAAGGACTCATGTTGATGTGGGGTCAGGTAGCAGTGTGTAGCCAGATTGAAAAAATGTAATACAACCTGCGACCTAAGGATAGGGGGAATGTATTCAAAATAAAAAGAATGTGATCCTAGATCAATATCAAGCAAAAGACGCCTAAATAGAAGACGTGTTAACCATTATACACTGATGCTAGCATACGGTCTGCTTTTATATCTAAGACTTTGACCTCGAGCCGCTTTGTATTAGTAGAAGGAAGCAACATCAAACGCATGGATTTCGCCGTTCCTTCTTACGCCCCTTTGTCATGACGTATTTTCTTGACAAGATGTAGTACTCCAACAAATGAGGGCAGCAATGCTATTAACGAGCTAACTGTCATAGTATAAGCGATCCTATGGGGCTAATCCCTTCTGGATATAGTCTGCGGTGGGCTGAGTGCATCAGTGAAGGTTGCTCACTTATTGGGCACTAAGCATCACTGAGTAATCAGAGAGCATCACCTGCCCGGGCAGTCCTTCTGCACATGACTGCACTGAGCATGATCGCTGATCTGAGTTCGTGCTGACATCTACTCAGTGAGCCTGAGCCCTCATAAAAGCGGCGACAGATCAAATAGAAAGCCCGCCTGCCAAGGAGAAACTGGGACATATAGATAAATATAGACGAGCTTATTTGATGACGAGTCCATCGTACCTTGCGTCTCCGATTATGGACTGGTTTACTTTGTACGTGATACATGTCTCACTTGATCGGTCTAGACTGAGCAGTGTCTGACGGTGCGGGTCCAAGTGCCGTAGGGCCGAGTTTGATTCAGAAGGCTGAATTTAACCGTAGCGGGTGTACTCTGTACCTAGAAATGGGGATGAACTGGCTCAGAGCTCTCAGGACGACCTCTCGCTGTGGAATTATGTTGTAGGGCTGCTGTGAGATGCTATATTACCCGTTGGTTTAGTCGCATTTGGGACCTAACCCGTAATCAATTATTCGAACTGCTTCCTCTTTGCAGAGATCGTCTTACTGCATGATATTTGTCTATATATTTTTTTTATCGCGCGGGGTCCCGAAAGAGGGCCCTGTCTAAATCAAGTGAGCACGCTCCTCCTTGCCTTAGGCAACCTCGATTCTCACATTCTCGGTGGTTTCTTTGCTAACTCCGCTTTACTCGAAGGACACAATGTGCACTCAGCTAAGCCGGTATAGGATGCGGAGATAATAACCAGCCAGCGGTCCGCCCTCCCCGGACATTTACAGACACGGGGCGATCATCTCCAATTTTTCTACACATTCAAGCCCATGGAGTCAACCCCCCCCCCCCGGCGCGGGGAGATATATTTAGCTGTGACCCTAAGTGGATAGCCTAGGGTCCGCCTGTTGGGGGGCGAAATTGCCTATCCACTCGCCGACGCCGCGCATCACGGGGATTTTCTTTTAGCTTTTCTCGGCATCCTTGGCTGAGAAGCTTAGCATATTTCCGATACTCCGTCTATTTCATCCCTGGGAAAGCTATCATCTTGATATTTGTTTGTGAAACATTTGAATTTCATGTCGCATCTTAAAGCGACGCTTAGATCCTATATACATTGTTCGAGAACATCTTGTAAGACTTGTCTACAGAGTGGACCTAATTCTGCTCTCAAGTCGTGGATTGACCCGGGGTAAGCCTGTGACGCCCCGAGCCGGAACCTTGTACTAGTCAGCAGACCCAGATTCAAGCCACCTGCAGCTGCCCGTTATTGCTTCTATAATCCCGCTTCCGGCTTTTGTATTGCGACATGCACCAAGCGGTGATCCGGGGACTCTACGGAGTACTCCGTACCTTTCCTGACTATTTTTAATTAATCCCCAAGGCCGACGGGAGCGCTGGGTTACATCAAAGACCTGTACTGATCGCTGCCGGTGAGGGGTGGTCTCACACGTGAGGCCTCCCTCCCTCCCCCAAATCCATCCCCTTCTCGGCACCCATACCCTTGTCTCCGCTTATGGCTATATCCTCTGGCAGATAATAATGACGTATCCCGGGTTCTCTAGAGCCGAGCTTCCACTACCTTGCGTCGTTGGGTGTCGCCATGAGGGGAACCCCAGTTCAATTCTGAAAAACATTGGAGAACCCCCGTCGGATTGGGGGGAAGCTATGATGCAATACGACAAACACGAGAGCATATCCATAAGCTTCTAATTGATAATAATGGATTTTCGTTTACCAATCTCAAATTTTGGGTAGAGATATAAGAGGCGCATAGTACGTGATAGTATAACACTTTTCCTTCTGGTTCAACCTACTTTCTTCTCAGGTTTCCCCAAGAAGATCAAAATGAAACTCCAACTTCTTGTTACTCTACTTCCTGCTGTGTTACCTTTGGTGCATGGTGCCCCTGCTCGCCGGGATACCCCCAATCCCGGCCTTCGAGGAAGCGACTCACTAGTTGGATATTCACCATCCAATACGGGTGGCAGCGACTCACCACCCGACATCAAATATACACTTCTTCCTGGGCAAAAGGAGGACCCCAAAATTGGGTCATACCTTGACTTCGAGAAAACTGACAATCCCCAGCCTATCCGTGGTACTACGGGTGCTGATGATCCTGGTCCAAGTACGAGCCCCCGTCAATACTATCTCGTAATTGACTGGATACTCAGTATACTGACATCTATTGTAGGAAACTATTACTATGACAGAATTAATAGTGATAAACTTGCACCTCCCGGAACCGATCATGGACAGACCATCAATGCGCAATGGCCGATGGGTAAGCTACTAGTTTCCATGGAGAAGTCTTCAATTTGCTTACTATATCTTAGGATTGAGTCACAACAGGTAATATCTCATTCCCAAACAAGGAAAATGGAGAGACTCATATTTTCTAAAAGATTCGGAATTGATGGAGCTGGTTGGGCTCGCCAAGAGAACACAAACGTCATGCCAGATGCGACGCTCATGGCCGGTGTGAATATGCGCCTGGCACCTGCCGGTTACCGTGAACTTCACTGGCATGTGGCTGCCGAATGGTCCTTGGTACTGAATGGTTCATGTCGAATTCAGGTACTTACTTATCTTGAACTGACTAAAATAAGCACTAACCAGGCTGCCAGGCTGTAAACGAGAATGGCGAGACATTTATCGACGACGTTGCTGCCGGCGATGTGTGGTACTTTCCACCGTGAGTACTGTGATACGCGCGTATAACGATTCGTGCTGATCATTTGACCATCAGTGGCATTCCTCATTCCATTCAAGCCCTCGACGATGGAGTTGAGTTCCTTTTAGTGTTCGATGATGGAGACTTTAGCGAGGATAACACATTCCTCGCGACAGAGGTCTTCCTCCACACTCCGGTAAAAAGAAGCAAATCTTGAATTGAAAAATCCAATTTGCTGATCTTCCACGCAGAGAGAGGTCCTCTCAAAGAACTTTGGAGTTGATGTATCAGCATTTGACAAGATCCCCGAAGACGAACTATACATTTTCAAGGGCACGCCCGCGCCAGCAGACATCCAGAAACAGAATGTGACAACCACTGCTGGTCTTGTACCTCGGGATCAGAGCTATTCATATCACTTTTCCGAGCAGCCAGCCCACGAAGTCGCCGGCGGTTCAGTCAAGATCGTCGATCCGCTCACTTTTCCCATCGCTGAAAATTTCTCCGCCGCTGTTGTTACCGTCCATCCGGGCGGTATGCGTGAAATCCACTGGCATCCAACTAGCGACGAATGGACTTTCTTTATTTCGGGCCAGGGCCGCGCGACCCTTTTCAGTGCCCCAAATGCTGCGACTACATTTGATTATGCCGGTGGTGATGTTGGTTACTTCCCAAAGTCTAACAGCCATTATATCGAGAATACCAGTGATGAAAACTTGGTCTTTTTGGAGGTGCTCCAGGCGCCTGAGTTTACAGGTATTTTCATCCTTGTGATAAGTCTTGGTGTCCATGTACTAACGGCTAGTAGATTTGGCTCTTGGTCAGTGGATCGCGTCCACACCGAAACAGATCGTTGCGGATACACTCAATCTCAGCGAGGATACTATTAACAATCTCAAGACTGAGAAGCAATTTGTTGTCGCTGGTCCTAGTAGCTAGATTGCCTCGCAAGCAGACCAACCTATGTTCATAATCCACAGGTCTCGATGATGTTCTTGGAAATTTAACAGAGTTTATTAGAAGATGTGCCACACAGTGTCATCCATTCTCACATGTAATGCCCCCGTGCATAAAGAGCCCACTATCGTATTTAGATTAGTAGTTCAAACCCACCGTTTCTGCCATATACATCAAAACTGCGACAGAGGTCGGTGTATCTAGAGGGCATTTACTTCGGGTTAGGGTATATCCTAAACGCGTTAGTTCCTCAACTGCGGCCACAAGCCCAAGCACCCATGCACTTATGCCCCTATTCGACTGGCTTGAGTGGAATTTTCAAAATCTTCCCAATGCGAGTACTTTATTGGATGCTCAGCAGTGAGCCCGTGATGAGTAAGATTTTAGCGGAAATTCGATGGCGTGCAGCCAACGCATTATTAGCCAAGACTAGTGAGGACCCTCTTTGACAATGGGTGATTGGCCCAAATGTTAAGTAATTGGTCTACTGCTGCGCCCTCGGCCTTTATCGTGACCGCCAGGGCTCTGCAGGGCTCTGCCTTTCATTCAATGCGAGGTCACGTTTCCGGGGCTCGAAGATTCTCATTATTGCTGACACTTGTTTGAGGGGGGATGGACAACGTCCACTGCATGGCCGATGCGGCCGAGCGGCGACGTACTCAAAACCGCCTAGCTCAGCGCAAATCCCGCGGTGAGTGGCCATGACGCAATATTTCGTGTCGATACTCCTGCTGATAGGAATTGTGGGGATAGAGAAGAAGCGGAGGATCGGAAACAATGCCATTTTACAGACGCCTCAAGAACCGAACGGAACCTTCAGGGCACCATCACAATCAACACCAACCGTCGACAATAATGGGGATTTTCTAATGGACTCCCTGCCTTCGTTCGAAGGTGCGCTCACCATACCGGGCGGAGCTTTTCCTCCAAACGAAATACCGATCGCTAGCACACAACCGGAGCCGGTAGAAGACTTCGATCTCGATGCGATCGACCAGTTCTTGTACCAAAGCAACACTAATTTCTGCTCCCTTTTATCCGATTCATTACCCGTCCAATCAAGCTTGGCAGGAACAAACTTCCCCCAAAGCAAATCCCCCGACACTGCTTCGCCCAAGATACCCTCCAATAGCGCAGAAAGCGATCATTCGAAGCTGTTCTGCCGGCACGGGGATAGTCGCAGGCTGCCATTATGTCGCAGAACTTCCGATTCTAATATTCGGCCGGAGAGTCCGGGCCCTGAACTAGAAATACCGCAATCACACAACGATGACACGGTGTTGGAGCTCATTACATCGGCCAGAAGTGACAAGGGATGGATTAGCACGCTTCACATCGCCGCTCAAAAGGGGAATGAGAGGATTGTTCGAGTTGTTTTGCTGCGTGGTAACATGGATGCAAACAAACAAGATAGTGACGGTCGGACACCCTTGATACATGCGATTATTGAAAACCACGACTCCGTAGTCCGCCTACTACTCTCCCACGGTGCTCGAATAGGCGTGTATGATTGTGATGGTCGCTCTGCGCTGCATTGGGCGGTGTTGCATCGGCGACTCGGGATACTGCAGCAATTGCTTGACCATCGTGCCAAGTACGAATCCAGTTTGGATCTTGATGTGTACGACAATTCTGGTTGGACCCCGTTGCACATGTCCGTAAATAGAGCTTTCGAGGCTGGAATCTTGCTGCTTCTCCAGGAAGGCGCGGATATCGACGCCAAAGCACACAAATGCCCGCATACAGGTAAGGTCGTGCCGCTGACGGATCGACAGCGATAATGTGCGATGGAGTCTAGCACAGGTAGTAAATATGCTCTCTTATAACATTTGAAGATGAGATGAAGTGGCTGCCGCGATTCAAAGCATTCAAACCGAATGACAAGCTTATGGATGCGTTATTAGCCCCCGAAATCAATTGAGAACCTAAAGGTATTCCAAAGGGGATTATTGAACCAATTATATTATTGCCGCTCCTTAGAGCCAGCAGTTGGAGTCGTTGACCGGTATCTACCAAGGCTCCTCATTTCCATAAAAGTTGAACAATTTCCCACTGTGGGTCTGCAGTGTAGACACGTCAATGACTTTAACTACACCGGCAGCACTGTCTTCCACGGTAACGGCGGCTTTCTCAAACCCAAAAGCGTCGGCACCTCGGTTACCGAGATCAGTCTGAACCCAGCTATATTCGGTGCCACGGTCAACCGACCACACAGGAACACTCGGGATTTGAACATGTGAAACTTACCCTGGGTCCACGGGGAAGGCATTCAACCAAGGATCTTCAACGGAGATTGCCTTGGTGTACCAGTGCTGAACAGCTTTGGTGGGAGCATATGCAGCATTTTGCATGGGGACAAAGTTCCTACGAATTGTTAGTACACTCGTTCAGGCCAGGGTCTAGGTGACATCTGCCATGGACAAGTGGACTGGTATCGACGAGATACTCACTATGGAATATATCAGCATCTGGTGATCTAGGCCAAAGAAAACAGATTGACAGGACTTACCGTCAGGAAAGCTGAGCTAGATCCGATTGTTACCCACATGGGAGCCTGAGCTTCCTTGAGGAGGGATCGGAAAGCCTGGTAGAGATGAATGAAACCATACACATTGACATCAATGTGCTTCTCAATATCCTCCACTTTGACGTCCGACACCTTTGGCCATGAAAGAGCGATACCGGCGTTGGCGACTAGGATGTCGATGTGAGTAACTCCCTTGGCAGCTAATGCCTTTGCTGCCGCAGCGGGGTCACTTGGGGAGAGAGCATCGATCTTGATAATCTCCAACGTAGTGTCTTCAGCCTTGGGAAGATCAGCCAAGGCATTCGAGGTTGGGTGGCTTGGGTCACGGTTCGCCGCGATTACGAAGTGGTTGGGCTTCTTCAAATACAGTTCCAAGATACCTTTGCCAATGCCGCGGTTGGCGCCGGTTATGAGGACAACAGTAGAGGCCATTGTGGGTGTCAGAACTTGTCGAAGAAAGAAATGGACTTGATTGCCAAAGGTGCGATGGAGTTGTGGCAGGAGCTAAGCTTCCCAACTAAGAGATGCATGAACCACATTAATCCTTTATATATTTCCCGCAGACTGGCAATTATGACCTTTGCAAATGGACTTCACGCTTGCCTGTCACCATGATTGCTTGCTAATAGATGCAAGGTCATCCCGAGGTCATTTTGTTGGTGGTCTTAGTACAACATTGAAGTATTTGACAGCACGCAATGAAAAGCCACGGGCTATAGATCCCTTGACCAATAAATGGTCAGGAATACTCCACATTAAATGTTTAATAATGTTCCTCATGCAAGGTCAGCTTACACCTCAGAGTAAGCAAAAATAAGCAGGGATCATCCACGGGGTGAGCTTCGGTTATTTGCCAGAATGCTCTTGATAGATTGAGCAAGGTGGAGATGATTGCTCAACAGGCAATCAAGACGTTAAATGGAAAGCTTTAGAACTGTTTTGATCGAGCTTACATTTATTGATCCGCGCCACGGATACGAAGGGGCATAGCGTTCAGGGTCGCATACACTCATTTTTGTCTAGCTTGAAATTTTAGGTCGTCGAATTCTTCAATAAGAAAGCCTGAGTCTAGGATTGCTGCTGTGGGTTGTATAGTGGAAGATGTTGCCTCACATGCTTTTGTTTGCTTGCTTTGTTCTTCAATCACTACTATTCCTATTCGGGTAGTGGTATACCTTTCCGCACCACAAAGAGTACAAGTGAAAATAATATACTCTTCCTCTGCCGATATGGAACGCTTATGGTAGATTGGGACTTCATGTGACAGGTTCTAGAAGATAGGGCGTGGCACACACAGTAGGGCGCAAAGAATGTGTTATCAGGACATTCATGAAGACATTGGATATGAATGGTAAAGGGAGATAAGAATGACAGTAATAATAGCAGTCACACGAAACTAGTATATAGAAAATATAGGAAAGCAGAGCATTACGTTCTCCCTTTTGCGGTATCAGAGGACATGGCGGTAAAGGAAGTAATTATTAAATTAATCAAGTACAGTTAACTAGATTATTTACCTCGTCCAATTGATTATTAAACTCTCTAAAAAGGAATCGAGTGCCATGGCTGTGATCGGTTCTGCGCAAAACCCGACAAAACCCGACAGAACCCGATCATCCCTGCACCATCAGAACTCCGATATAGTACTTCCGGAAATTGGTTTCACTACCTAAAACCACAAGCTGCTCGGAAGCGTCATGTCCTTTCATACCGTATAAATCGAGGGATGGAACATAACACTACCGATGCGAGAAGTGCTCTGTAGCATCAGCACGCTGAATCTCCTCGTACTTCGAGGAGCTCGCTCAAGCTACGGCTATTCAGGCGATATTGTGATATACAATAAATCTTGATTTGGGCTTCCTTGCTATATACCCTTAATTTATATCATCTTGGCCCCTTCTCGCATGATATCGGACAGACTCTAGCCTAAACCGATGGCTTTCTCTTTACCATAACCCGCTCAGAGTACATATCATTGATCTCCATATCACTAGTCTTAAGCTCAACATCGACAAACCCATTCCGGAAGTATAGCTTAAGAGCTGGGTAATTATTCTCCGCCACAGATAGTTGAAGAATGGTAGCACCAGTGCCGTAGGCCCATTCCTCAACATCAGCTATTAGTGCGTCCCCCACACCACGACCTCGTGCAGAGGGGGCTACCCACATGGATATAAGCTCTGCTACCCCAGGCTCGGGAAGTAGAACCCCCCCGGCCATGCCCACTATCGTGTCTTGGAGAGAAGCAACCACTTGGTAGCCGCCGTGGATGCTAAGCCGGTCGCGCCACCGTTGTTCAGACACATTCTCCCAGTCTGCGAGTTTTGATGAGAATGCATAGGGTGCTTTTGTAAGCGCAGCCAGTCTTTGATGTTTCCATATCTCCCATTCATCGGGACCAATCTTTCGAAGCTTGATCATTCGTATCGCTGAATATTAGACAGCGAGATTGAGGTATACCCAAGTATGAGCATATAGCGCAAATGTGGATAATGGCGGTAACAGAGCAGTTAAAAGCCTAGAGAGCGGCTTGGGGATTGAGTGGGTAGCATCTGAGGCCAGACGATAATAAAGAAAGGAAAGGGAATGAGCGTGGATCAAGCTATATCTACCCCACAATGGAGATTTACAGTATTTGATGATGACTCATTGGACGATGAGTCATTCAGCGATGACTCCAGGGCTCATTTAACGATGAGATCCAATCAATATGGTATGAATCTGGCGTTTGGTTGTTTTATGTCTTGCAGAAGGTAGAACCATCTTAATCTACTCCGTGGTGGATCTGAAATTGAGATCTAACTGGTATACGCCCCACATATATTCTCCATGGTCGGTGGAAATTGTCGGAGTAATCCGTATTGTGAAATGTAGTCCAATCAATGGTATTCAACTCTCTGTATTTCTGTATCTGGCAATATATACTATCCCAATTACATAAGAAATATTATTGTATAACTAACACTTAGGATTAATAAATCCTCCATATGCCGGCGTAACTGCGCCGACAGAAATAAAGTCTCCCATCTTAAATTCAACTCCCAGGCCCTGGGCCTGGAGCTCATGGCTGGAGATTGAGACAAGATTGACAAGGGCTACGAATAACTTCCTGAACCTGGGGGTTTACGTCAAAGGGTCCGCAGCATGTGTCATTCCTCTCGGGTTTAGGTCTTTATGCCGAGCCTGAAACTGCAATGAGGCGGCAGAAGGGGTCACTAGTTTCAGTAATTTCCAGAGTAATGGCCAATAGAGTAATGCGAAACATATAATCGAATATTTCAATATTTAGGGAACCATCGGGTTTAGTCGATCCTTACAAACCCCGTGTTAAGCACGGAGTAGAATATAGTGGGCCCCGATAATTTAACGTATCCAATCAGGGATTGCCATACAAATCCAACGCTGATCCCTAACTAGCGCGTTTAAATGTAATACCCAACACGGGCAATTATAGCCCCAACAGGCCACAAACGAAGCTGCAGGGACGTCAGATGCAAATATTACGTAGGGTCAGATGTTCTCAAGTTCATTTCTCCCAACTTCTTCCCTTTCTTTCCTCTTTCACTTTTCATTCACAATACAATAATGTCTGGAGTACGCCCATTTCCTCGAAAGACTGCTGCCGCAGTCGTTGTGGTCGGTGTAATTGGACTATGCGCTGCTCGAAGAGCCTCATTTCGCAATGAAGCATTTGCAGAATCCCCAAAGCCTTGTGGGGGTCCTGGTGGTCGCGGTGGTCCTGGTTTCGGCCCTGGAGGAAGAATGGGCTTTCACACCCTGCGCCTAGAAAGTTCCCAACAAGTGAACGACAACACCAAACGTCTGCGTTTCCAATTACCAGATCCAGCCTCAAACGCGGGTCTCTCCTTGACCTGTAAGCTTACCCGCGCTTTCACGAACGACAAGCGAAAACATAAGAAAAACAGCTAATATCAATGTTAGCGTTCATCCTCACGTTTCATAAGCCACAAGACGCCTGGTTTCCCGTAATTAGGCCATATACCCCAATCAACAATTTCGGTAAGCTTTGAACTGCATTTCCCGAGTGAAACCATCCTCTTTTGTTCTGACATGCATGTGCAGATGAGCCGGGGTACATTGAGCTCCTAGTCAAAAAATATCCCAATGGTAGAGCAAGCGGATATTTGCACTCTCTCCAGCCTGGCGATACACTGAAAATCCGAGGACCTATGCAGAGTTACAGGTGGAAAACCAATGAGTTCGAACATGTCAATCTCATCGCTGGCGGTGCCGGCATCACCCCTATGTATCAGCTGATCCAAGGGATGCTGAACAACCCCGACGACAAAAGCAAGATCAAGCTGATTTTCGGAGTCAACACCGACAAGGATCTCGTCATGAAGAAAGAACTCGACATATTTGAACGAAAGTTCCCCGATCGTCTTACGGTTGTATATACAGTCTCAGATCCGGTTGAGGGTTCACCGTTTATCAAGGGCAAGATCACCAAGGAGTTGCTGGAAAAGGAATTGCTAGGCCCAAAAGATAGCAAGACTACCAAGGTCTTCCTGTGTGGGCCTCCCGCTATGGAGGCGGCAATTTTTGGAAGTAAAGGTTGGACTTCCAGCAAGAAGGGAGTTCTAGAAGAACTTGGTTATGCCGCGGACCGGATTCACAAGTTCTAATTTTTCGTTTGCTATTTGTTCTTTTTTCGATCTATCTGAATGGGTGGCTCTGAAGTCTTCATATATTTCCTTCGTCTCGAATGAATCCATGGTTCTCTGTAAGACTGCAACTATCATTTTAACACTCGACTTAGATCTAGAAATAGAATCGAATATTGATTAATCAACCACCACCTAGTGCCCAGCCAGAAACATAGGGAAAAAAAGAACTAGGTATCTCACTAATAGAAAATGGCTTTGAGCTTAAGTTGAATAGAGTAAGATTCGGCTGGGACGCAGAAAAAGACAGCGCAGGGTATAATACTAGTCTTAATTAATAACAGTAACTCAAGGGAAATACAGATTATAGATTTGCTATGAAGAAACAGACTGTTGATTGCTATGGGTCGAAATGGACGGAGAGGAGAGGAGGCGATATAGATAACATCGCGACCAGGTGATACCTTTGTCTTCGCAGTAACTGGAGTGATCTCACGACTTGAAGAAATCTTAATCTGCCGGATAGGAGAAGCTGTTTCTTTTGGAATATCTTGCTGAATAGGGGTCTCTTGCTCTGGAGAAGAAGGGATGTCGATACCCGGCTCGCTCACTCTGAAGATGGTGATCTGACTGTCTTCCAATTTATCGAATTGTGTCAACTTGCTTTTGAATTTCTTCCGTACCTGCTTTGAATCCCGGTACTTCGGCTGACAGTTCTCGAAGTCTCCTTTCAAATCAGCCTTCCTTGCTGCTTGAAGCCCGACACAGATGCAAGGTTTAGTGCCCACTGCCTGCGGTTGAAGTCGGTGTTAGTCCAGTTGTCGTCCTCGGACTTCCATGCCCCAGGATTTGCGCAGGCATTCCTCTCTTTATTGAACAAGAATAACCAGAGGAGACATCGTGTCCGCTTGCACTACCAGGTCCACATGGCTTCATAGATGTGTGTTGCATAGTACAAGTTATTGAGGCTACAAGGCTCAGGAAGTCAGGAGGGAGAGAGTTGTATTGGGAAAAGCGCAGACTCCCGAACTATCGAACTATCTGAGGGGTCGATGCCAGAGGCACCAATGCACCATCACAACACACCCTCCCAGGTACAAACTCCGAGAGAATCACCTATCAAAGTGCAGAAATCATGCGTAGCATCAATATTAATTGAAGTTTTTTGATATGCATATTAAAACTTGCCTGTTTCTGTAATATTTCTCATGATTCTTTCCTTTGATTTGTCAAATATTATGCATTTGTCGTCTCCCTTATGCATATTCACAATTCAAATTTCAGTCTGCGGATTTCGCCATCATCCGGTCTCTGACGTGATATTGGGCGCTTTTGCCGGGAGCACTCATCAATCTGTTTTTCTTGTTGTCGGATCCTTGCTGAGGCTTTCACTGACAACTTTGCTGCTGGTTGCGGGCTGTCCCGCTGGCCCCGAGTCCGTCAATTATTTCCTGGCAGTACGTAAAGAAGTCGTTTATTGTCATCGTTGCCACCGGATCTTTGACGGACTTCAGCTCATTGTTCTTGATATCAATTGATCTCCGCAGATCTCGGATCTCCTGGAGCTGCCCAGGTGTCAAATCCTCTTTTTCTTTGAGGACGGGCTCAATTTTGTACAAGACAAAGCTGCCAACTTCTGGCAGCCCCTCCCCCTAGTCTCCTCCGGTAGTTGTCTGATCTGCGTCCTTAACAATCGTCTAATCATTTCCTCCTACTACGACTGGGCCCCATAGGGTTGCGCTAGATTGATCTGGTTCTTCGTATTATTATAGGGTTGTTGTAGGAATTGGTTGTCAGGTAAAGGTTGTCAAGTGAAGGAAGGTTCTTTTCGTGTTTGTGGGGTAATGCCCCCCAAAAAACTTGATTGTTAACTGTAGGGCAGGAGCCCTCGACAGTGACAATGAAATCGACAGCGAGGTTTGGGTCCCTCTGTAGTCCTAAATCCGAAATCTGATATCTGTAGATCCTTTTGTCGACGATGATTGGTTGTGAGAGAAGGGATTCGACTCTTTGCCCACAGTGGCTCGACTCTCGTCCAATCGGCTTCTCGTCAGGTTCCTCCGCCGTCACTCTCTCTGAACGGCCGGAATTCGAAAAGAAATGCCTCATATGTTGATGAAAGCAATGAAAGCAATGAAAGCAATGAAAGCAGGTAAATTGAGGTGCTCATAACCTATTGAGGCTACAAGCCTCATAAAGTCAGGAGAGAGAGAGAGAGAGAGAGAGTTGTATTGGGAAAAGAGCAAACTCCCGAACTGAGGGTCGATGCCTGGGGCAACAATGCACCACCACAAGACAAGTCAATGTAGACTAACAGCGCCGGAAGAAATACGCAGTGCGGAAGAGACCTTTCAGTCTCAAGGGAGAGCCCCCAAACCAAACTTTGTTAGCTTCCAAGTGAGCTTCTGTGGGCTGGCTGTGTCAGCTTCTTTCTGAATATCAGAAAGTCCGATCCATACCTGGTAGGATACGTCCCACCCAGATGCACCCTTCAATCTCCTTGAGCTCCCGCATGGTTCGTCCTTTCCCTCAGTGTTCTGCCTTTTCTTTGTATCCGGTCCGGGCAATTTGGCAAAGCCATCGGGTATGGTTAAATGGCACCGTAACTGGTAATGGCTCGGAACGCTTGGTATAAGGTGGTAATGACCGGTAAGTGTGGTTTAGAAGTGAGGTTTGGTTGTAAGAACGTCAACCCGTTAGCCGGTAGTTCACACCAGGCGGTTGAGTAGCAAAAGGAATGATCAATTGAAGAGAAGAAATGTGATAATCAAAGGTATTACTCAAGTTCTGGCGGACAATCGCTTGGTTTCCCAGCAAGCAATGGGGGATGGGATCATCCAACAATTTTGCTTGTATATTTGTAATGAAATATATTTTTAAACTATGAAGGAGAGGTGATGAAGGAGAATTCTCTGCTATTTAATCTATGAAGAAGCAGGGTATTTATACCCTGTGTGTGACAAACAATCGTCAAACAATCGTCAAACAACCTGCCCAGTCTGCAAGAAAACAATCAATCATGAGATAGTCCAATGTCCAACAGATATAATGGAAGGCCAGGAGAAGAGAGAAGCGCTTCTGTATTCATGATTGACTGCGATGAAGCTCTCTAAATAGCTTCACAAGAACACAGGACAAAGGGACAACAGCCTGCAAAGAATCTCAAATAAGTAAAGAAAGACCTGACAAACTTCATGTAAGCAAGCAAACCCTTAGTGCAACATGCAACATCTTTTTTAGGTGTCTTTTCAGATTCTTGTTGGCCTTTCATATGGCCTTTAAGCTACATATCTAGAGTGTGAATCTCTATTATTGAATATTTGATTGTCATACTTTCCCGATTTCTCCCCACCCCGGAAGACCCAAGCCCTACATTTTTCGGCCCATTTGTTGTCCAGCGCTGATCCTAGCATTTAGATGCCTTGCAAGTCATTCTCCTGCTTACAATCCACATGATATTCTTCGATTCAACTATTTTGCTAGAAAACACGCCACCAGGTCATGGGTATCAAAAGAACAGAAAGAAATGCCTGTAACTCATCAAGACAAGCCACTCCTCCACATTATGTTAAGGCTTGTAGGGCGGAGGTAAACCGCCGCAATCAACCCCACTATCCCCGCTAGTATACGAGTCATCATCGTAGCTAGGAGGAGGGTCACCCTGCCGAGCATGACTCCTGGGATCTAACCCAGGAATGGTAGATCCAACGGCCACAGATGCAGATTGCTGTTGAAGATAGTCAGCCGATACAGCTTCATGATAATCCACATGCGATTAACTTACCCCGGCCCGTGGGCCATGATTCCTAATAAAAATAGGATCATGATTCCCAATCTTCCCGATCAACTCATTACGCTTCCAAATGCCATATTTAAGAACCAGTCCTTGAAAGTCACACCGCTCGATAGTGCACTCTGTGATAACACAGTTCGCCAAGGTAGCTCTCTCGAGTTGACTGTTTGAGACTGTGGTTCCAGTCACGGTACTCCGCTTGACTGTACTTTTGTCCTGGATGACCGACTTTGCGATCGTGGATCGGCATACCGAACTTTGTGTTTGTATAGTGCTCTCTGTGATGTCGCTGCGCTCGACAATGGCCGTGTCGTGGAATTGGGACTTTTGCGCTGTGAGTCGGCTCACATCTTCCACCTTTGATAACACACACTCGTTTAGCGTGGATCGCTTCACGCAGGAATTATTGATAGTGCAGTCGGTTAGACAGCTTCGGGTTATGGTGTTGCCATCCCTGTTAGGAGTGCTTTGGGCGTTGTCATTGTCCATAATAACAGGATTCAAAACCTCGAATAAAGATATAATTTTCATCTGTATTAGACCAAATTAAATGTCGATAAATATTTTGGGGGAGTCCGGGATTGAGAGGAAAGCTGTTGCCTAATATTTACATGTGGGGTTGAAAACACAAGTATGAGCGTTTTATACTCACCACTCATCTTGTATCTACGAGGCTTGACGATCATAGATCCTGCATTTGCGGCCAGCATTCTCAGGCATGGTACATGGATCTTCAAACAATAGAAAATCCCCCAATTTTCGAAACTCTTCAATCCCGAATCCAAATTCGCCCTTCGGCCTAGAGCTGCCGATATGTATCCGTTGCCTATGTGCAATAACTCTAGAGAAGAATTTGAAAGTGAGAATATTGGACAGTGATGGATTCGAAGGCTCTTAAGGAGATAGTAGGAAGGAAAAATAAATGGGGAGTAAAGAAGAGGTTGGATTCTACAAATGGAAGCTAAGTTATCCCAAGCTGAGACCTGGCAAATCAGGCATCCCCTTTGAACATGCGGGGCAATAGACAAAAGACATGGGCATATCAAGTTGTCACATACTGAATAGTTCTGAGAAGACTCAAAGCAGTTTATCTCCGAGAACCTTTCCACTCCGATGCCCAGGTTGAATTCGAGAAATTGAAGAGCCAATCACTATCGCATTCAACACACTCATCTTTGACAAACCTGGTACCGATAGAAGTGTAATGAGATGCTCTGGATTCGACAATTTTGCGTGGGTACTCAGAGGGCCGTGTCACAGATGAACACCAACAATATGGTCTTGTTACCCCATGACGCCGATAGTAAGATTGAATGCGACACAGTATTGTATTAGTTGGCTGCACGGAATCAATGATAAAATTTAGCACTAACGGCAAACTCCTGAAATATCGAATCCGATGTTATACTCCATAGTGTATGCAACAGATTGACTAAATGTATAAGTGGATACTAAACTTTCGACATTGAAGCATCTGAATCTGACAGGTATAAACTCAATAGAATTTATTGCTATTATATATAAAGTAGAAGGGAGCATTCCCCAGGAAAGAATGTGCATCGGTGATTAAGCAGATGTATCAAGTCTGCTTTGAGACTCATATATACGGAGTATCTGCCAACAGTTTCAACGAATCGGACCTATTTCTTCAGATCCGCGCATCCGAGGGCAACGGTGCCACCCTAGAGATGAGTTAGTATGCACTCTCCACGGAAGGGTCTGCCTTGAAGAGGTATCACTTACCAGGATGTTGGCCTCGGTGCAGCACTGGGGCTCGGTATCACAGCTAGATTTCTCGTATGCGTGGCCTATGAGAGATGTTAACCGAATTCCCATGTAAATACCACAGTGTCCAAACATACAGAAGAGACCAACGGATCCAACGATGTTGGCAACATCAATGCCGAGAGCCAACAAGATCGGGTCGACAACGGGGTCGAGAGGAGTAGCGAGGGTTCCACAGCAGAGGAGAGGACCGACACACTCCGAGGTATCAGGCTTGCCGCTCTTGGTGGAATCCGAGCGCTTCAGGGAGAGATTGGACTCTTGGGGAAGGGCGGACACCATGCCGGCGCCAACGAAGGAGAGGACGGAGAGGATGGAGAGTCTCATTTTGAGGGTAGTTTTCGAGTTGTTCGTTTGAAGAAAGAGAGGTGATTGTTGCAATGAAGAAATGATTGCGATTGTGAATGATATCTAGGATCCGTGGAATGTCCCCGATCCTTATATAGCTCTCGCGACGAGACATCCAAGCTATCAATTGCTCCCAAGACGACTCCTATGTCCAAAATTGAGAGTACCCTTATCACCGGTGTCGGATTATGGAAACATCCATTTGTGAAGTGTAGAAATGACTGTCCGAGAAGTTACCATCTCGGTGGACAAGAAGATCTGCGAAACTCTAGATAGCAGTTGGCCCCAATGTAAGAGGCCAATGGAGAGGCTTTGGCCTCGAACCGAGGTACAGAGGCGCTGGAATGGTGGTTCCTGTGACGGAAATAGTTGAACCGGTTCCTGAGATCGAATCCAACATAGTTCATGATGTGCACATCCATGATCCAAATGAGTTCCAAGCGAGCTGTCTTGGCTGTCGATCACTCATGGTCCATGCTCAATATCATTGAAAGGCCTGCAGTCACTGGCTCCATGTCAATGCCAAGTCAATGTACAAAGGAAATATCCATTGGGGCCCCGGTTATTTCCTCTCCATGTCTCCGGATGGGGGGTTTCCTTATCAGTGGACCCAATTTCCGGGAGGATCTGCCCTGTGGCATCGAATCAGAATTGCCAAGATGTCGATCCACCGTAAGGAACTGGCAGAGTCCATTTCCTCCAATCGACACTATCAACCAGCCGCATAACTCAATTGATACATAAACAAAAAGTAATTATGTTCTCCATAGTGTGCTTGTGATTTGTCATTTTCCTCCCGTTCGAGCGCATACTGCGGTAGATCCGGATCCGATCCTACGAGCAAAGCGAGATATTGGAGATAAGACTCGCACCGTTGATTGCACAATGTCGAAGTAGCTCGCAGGCACCATCGAGATGGACATTGTGATGGTCCCAAGGTCTTGGTAACCTTCGATCTGGGCGCAGTCAATCTGGATGACCATTGCTCTTCGTTGGCTCGCTTGAATTTTTGTACATGTGGATTTCCCCTGATTGTCGACATGGGCCATGGCGATCTTGATAAGTGTGTTAGAATGAGTTACGTGAACGTATTCGATCAAACTTTGGAAGCAGATAGTTAGTTTATCGATTTTGTGCCTTAATTTAGTCTGTCACCTAAAATTGGATGTCAACATCTGACATCATCTGCTCGTAGCTTTCAGGAGATTCGATAATTCCCAATATTTATCAATTCGATGCTGTGCCGGGAAAGGAGAAAGGACAAGGCATTCTCATGGTGAGCTTTGGAGCCAGAATATGATGGATCACCGTTCGCCGTTCTCAATATCCTCATCGGCCTGCAATTTTTCTCAAAAATCTAGTTAAATTCAGATACATCCCAGTCATAACGAAGATGAAAAGTGACCAGGGCTGATATGGAAACATGTGGCGGTGTCTCTGTGGCGGAGCACCTTTTATCCACACCGCCACACTCTCGCGACACAAAAAACTTCCCGCCTCAATTAATCCACACCACATTCCCCGGGGTTATCAATCAACCACCCCTCTACCTTTTTGATTTTTGAGCAGTTGCCCAGCGCAGATTGCCCATAGATCATTATAAAAATGCCTTCCGTTTCTCTCGCCGACCTGGTGGCCTCCCTCCCCTCGGAGGACACCTGGGGCCCCTCCACCTCTGCCGATAATAACATGCTTTCCGGCGTGCCATACGCTCCTTTCTCCAAGGGCGACAAGCTGGGTCGCATGGCCGACTGGACTGCTGAGTCCAAGGAGCGTCAGAACCAGCGTCCTCAGTACAACCGTGGTTTCAGAGGTATGTTCCTTTTCACCTTTTCTCCCTCCCCACCAAACTGCTCTATCGGTCGAATAGCAATGGCTAACAGTCTCAATAGACCAGCAGGTGTACGGTGCCGGTACCTCCAACCTCTTCACTGTCGCTGCCGCCGAGGACGAGTCCTCCTTCTCCGTTGTTGACAACACTCGTGTCCAGAAGCGCGGTTTTGGCCGTGGCGGTGGCACCGTTTTCCGTGGCCGTGGTGGTCAGCGCGGTGCTGCCAACCAGCGCGGTGGCCGTGGTGGCTTCCAGCGTGCCGGTCCTAACGTTAGCCGCGGCCAGCAGAGTGGTTACCAATTCAGTGACCGTGGTGGTGCTCGTGGTGGCCGTGGTGGCCGCCGTTTCGGCTGGAGAGATTACGACAAGCCGCAGCGCATCCGCGAGGCCTCTGTCAACATCCGTCCTGACTGGACTATGCTCGAGGAGGTTGACTTCACTCGTCTTTCTAAGCTGAACCTCGATGCCCCCGAGGGCGAGGACCTCGAGACCTACGGTTTCCTCCACTACTACGACAAGTCCTACGACAAGCCCCCTGTCAAGAACGCCGAGCGCAGAATGCAGGCCCTCGACCGTGCTGCCTACAACGTCACCACCTCCCAGGATCCCGTCATCAACGAGCTCTCCGAGAAGAACGCCGCTACCGTCTTCGCCACCTCCGATATCCTGTCCATGCTGATGTGCGCCACCCGCAGTGTCTACTCCTGGGATATCGTCATCGTCCACCAGGGCGACAAGATCTACTTCGACAAGCGCGACGGTGCCTCCTTCGACATGGTCAGCGTCAACGAGAACGCCATCGATGCGCCCCTCGAGGCCGCCGAGGCCGCCGGCAAGCAGGAGCAGATTAACACCCCCAACGCCCTCGCCATGGAGGCCACCATCATCAACCACAACTTCGCCCTGCAGACTCTGATCGAGTCCGACAAGTCCAAGGTCAACTTCGCCAAGCCCAACCCCTTCTACGATGAGACCGAGGAGACCGAGCCCCTCGCCTCCAAGGGTTACAAGTACCGTCGCTTCGATATCTCTCTCGAGCGCGACGAGGAGCCCGTCTCCATGATCGTCCGCACAGAGGTCGACGCCGTCATGAAGGGTGGCCCCACCGGAACTGAGGACCAGCAGCTCATCATCAAGGCCCTCAACGAGTTCGACCCCAAGGCCCAGGGCTCCGGCGGTGCCCTCGACTGGCGCAGCAAGCTCAACTCCCAGCGTGGTGCCGTCCTCGCCACCGAGATGAAGAACAACAGCGCCAAGCTCGCCCGCTGGACCACCCAGGCTATCCTGGCCAAGGCCGACGGCATGAAGCTCGGCTTCGTCTCCCGTGTCAACCCCCGCTCTGCTGCCGCCCACGTCGTTCTCGGCGTTGCTGGCTACAAGCCCCGCGAGTTCGCTAGCCAGATGAACCTTAACCTCGGTAACGGTTGGGGTATTGTCCGTACTATCGTTGACCGTATCCGTGCTCTTGACTCCGACGAGCCCGCCGAGAAGCTCAAGAAGTACGTTCTCATCAAGGACCCTAACAAGTCTGTCCTGCGTCTGTACAGCGTCCCTGCTACTACTTTCGAGGAGGAGGATGAGGAGCTTGAGGAGGAGAAGTCGGATGAGAAGTCCGATGAGGCTGATGAGTAGACTTTTTGATGACTTATGTTCCTCCTTGAATGTGCATACGTACTCGACCCAAAATTTGACGCTTTTATACTCTCTATAGAGTCTGACCAATAATCTATTCAATAAATTGTGTTCACCGAACTTCACTCTTACTATAATAACTATCATAGCCTTGGTTATTTGACATGTCCCCCCATTACGAAGTCTGTTACGCGGTCTACAGATTCCGAGGATTTAGTTTGGTAATGAGCTTCCATTAACAAATGGGTTGCCTATAGATGCAAAGATCTCGAAAGGTGATGCCCATAGCATCAGTAACACAGCCAACTTTTGTACAACTTGCTCGGAGGAACACAAGGGACGTCTTGGGTGCCTTCTCGGTGACTTTCTGAGCTTTTGCAGTCATACGTGGGGAGCATTATGGCCATCGCTGAGTGTATGGCTTGTTTGTATAATCCCCCTTTGGAATATGAATACGAGGGATGTTGTTTGCTGACATTTGAGTCCCCAAGTGTCGTTATAGTAGAGTGGTGTATTCAGAGTGTGGGAAGCAAGATTAAAAGGCAATATAATTGGCTGCTCCTAGAGCTGTAAGCGACAGGAGAGAAATCAGAAAGAAAGGGAAGATATTGTCCAGGTACATCTGATCTGGACCCACGGTGATTTTCACTTATATACAACCCCCTCGGCGGGAGTCACAAAGACGAAAACGAAAGAAGGGGGATAATAAGAAAGAAAGAAAAGAATAGAGAATCGAAAAATGAAGTGCACAAGCACAATCAAACCCGAAAGGCAGACAGTAAGGCGCCGAGTCACTCCCCAGTAGCCAACACAAAGACAAAAGATAGGATTTTGCAGACATCAAATCATAATCATTTCCATTGCCTTTGACCCTCAACCATACATCGAGTCATCGGCTGTGCCGGACACGCCGAGTTCGACCTTGGTGCCGAGCACACTGCTCAGACAATCTATCAACTCAAAGTCTTCGACCACAGCGCCGAAGCCGTAGCAGCGGACCTTGGTGTTGAGCGTGTCCATGATGATCTTGATGTCGTCGCGACGTAGCGTCGGGTACAGCTCGTGGTTCTTGAGACACTGCAGCGCCATTATGGGCGTGATCTGTCCGTCCGTGACGAGCTGTCGACTGAGGTTAAGGAGTGTGCTTAAGTTTGCGTGCGGGAGGTCCGGGGCCTTGTGTGGGTATGGTTGTTCATGTGTAGTTTTCGCAATGTAGCTAGGCGGCGGACATGTTGCCATCAGAGCGTGTCCGGAGAACGGCATGTCTTCGTCGTCGGCTTCTGTAATTGATCGTCGGCAGAGGTAGTCTGTGTGTTCGCGGCAGGGGCCTTCGAGTCTTTAGGAATATATTCGTTAGCTTGTGCGTTTGGCTATCAGAGTAGAATGGGCCTCACGTTAGGATAAAGTCAACCTGCAATTGTGGGTCGGTTTCGAAGACACCTCCCGGCGTAATTGGCATGGGCTGCATGGTATCGATAGGCCCGCGGGATGAATGATCCATGCTCATGGAATGCTCGCCGGCACTCGCGTGGTACACTGGCTGCTGGGACGCATATCCAATCGTGGGCGAGATCTCGGAGTGATCCATGCCATTGGCGCGGGGGCTCATCCCGGATGATATCGTAGTTGCAGGGGTTGTGTTGTGGTTGCTGGCCGAGTGAGCGAGAGGAGCACTCTGCGACGCAGTGCTGCTGGGAGCGACAGTAACAGGGCTCGACTGGAACGGGCGTTCCACCCGGCGGCGCTCTACCTCAGCTTCGTATTGAATTCCGTTCGCTGCGAGGATTTCCTTCAGGATTTCATTCTCCACTCGTGTCCAATGCATCATCTCTTTGTGTTGGTGAATTGCTGTGTTGGCTTCCATAATCTCGGTGGTGTAGGCCTCTCGTAACCGCGATACCTCGACCTCGAGACCTCTCATGTATTTTTCCTTACGCTCGCGATGGGTCCTATATGGATTAGTCCAGCCCGATGTTTGTCAAATCGGGATATGTACCTTTGGGCCTGGCGGTTTAGTTCCTGTCGCCTGGTAAGTGCAGGCTTGCTATCCGGCTTGGGGCCGCGACGTTTGGGCTGCTGCCCATCTGGAAAGGCTCAGTTGGGGTCCGATCGAGTGACTAGGATCACTCACCTCGCGTAGTTTTCTTCAGCCCATTACTACCGATACTGCCGCCTCCGAAGAGCTTGAATATTTCCGCGCCGAAGCCTTTGTTCGATGGGGTATGTGGTTCTTCTACCATATTCCGCACCGTGCACTCCGGGGCCGTGGGCCGGGCCGGAGGAACATCGGTGCTGTAATGTCAGCCATCCGACGATAAACAGTGGATATTTGGTTCTTGGAGAGAGCCCAGATCAAAGCCCGCGGGAAAAAGCGGTCAGATCTGGATAGCTTCCTGGGCGATAACGGGAAACCCGCCATGTAATTCTAAGCTTCACCCGAAACTCATGGAGATTCGAACCCGTACGATAGAGTGTTTGCAAAATGGACCAGAGACTCACCAGAATATTCCATCGGATGATCCATGGGGTACACCCCACCACTGAGAGCCATGAGAGTTTTGGAGAGGTAAGGGAGAAGGTTAAGTAAAGTCGAGAAAGTCTAGTCGAGATAGTATGGAGCTTTGGAGAGTATAAGGAAGAAAGAAAGTGGATGTGATGGACCCAATTTTGTACGACTCCTTTTTTTTAACTCTTTTATTTTTACTTTTTTTCATTATCTTCGTATTAAACTCGATTTTCTAATATAAAAAAAGGCGTTCGATCTGTCTTAAGGGATCCACTGCACAAACGGCCGGCTGGAGTACACATTAATTGGCCTAGAAGGGATTGAAGTAGAAACTGGGTATAACCTACTTCTACACATTTGGTAAAATGAATACACACAAATAGGCCGAAATAGAAATCAACAGAAACAGAGAAAATCAACACTTTTACATCCTTCATGTGTTCTGGGGTTGGGGAGCCGCTACATGGGTGGTACCACCTTCAACGGCCATTCGAACACGATAATGCAAGTACCTTATAAGTACCAGGTACGTGCGAGATTTAGTGTGTGATCAGTCCAACGAGCTGACCAATCATTTCATCCATAGAGACCTCTAGGTTGCATCCAATAGTCTCCTTCTGCTCGACTTCTTTTGACAAATACGATCGGCGCCCTGATCCCACTAGTCCGCATCGAATCTCATAATGGTACGGAGAGTCCCCGACTCTGAGATTCTAGTACACATCGCCGCCGCAAGCACCGCACAAGATGATGCACGCTATAGGGCCCAAGTTGGCGCAATCCTGGAATTCCAGTGTGCCTCATGCCAGCCACTGATGAAGATCGAGTCTTCAGGTCCCACCAATCGAGACCCGCAGCTCTCCGAACATTCCTCGGTGCCCCCGACGACTCAACACGAGGCTTCGCCAATATTGCGGGAGGCGCTCCGGCCCGCATACACGACCCTATCCTCGGATCGTCACCTGGTCCCTGAAAGGGATGGCGCGACTCCAGGGGAGCACATCATCTCAAATCATTCCTCCCTCGAGAGTCTCATCAGCGTCATCCCAGACTCCCAGCCAGAGATCGCCCAACTAGTCTACGCCTCCCCATCTCATGCAGCACTATCGTCTCCATCTCAGACTACTCCACCTCCTCCTAAACGACGTCGCACAGCCCCGGCCTCGCCTGATCAGGCGAATCCGGGTTCGATTCACGAAAATCAACCTGCAGCGGACCAGCCCGCTGTATCTCACAGGGTGACCCCCTTCCAGAATCAGGATAATGGTCGCTTCCCCACTGGTTTCCCCCAAACCCCCATCGAAATATCCAGCTCAGGTCAAGGCAAAAGCCCAGACTACTCCATCAGCCACACTACGCCCTCACTTCCCATTCCTGCAATCCCCCCAGCCCTTAATCCCATCACCCTCTCCACTCTCCCTCTCGAAATCCACCCCCCAAGACCCCCAATCTCCACTTCCCCTTTCACTACACACATCACTCCAACCCTGTCCATGCTCACAGAGCGTCTGAACCCAGCACGCACCTACAAACCATCCACTCAATCCCGGCCCCTTGACCCCTTAGAACGGGGTTACTGGCTCGTGCGTCTCGCTATCGAGCCACAACAACACAGAGATCCAGCCGATCTTCCGGACCAAACCCCAAACCCCAAGCCAAGGCCAAAAAAATACCGAACCTGGCCTTCCCCGCTCTTCCACGCTTTCTGGTCCTTTCTCTCGGACTTTGTAGGCAGGGATGGCCGTGCGGGCTGGGGTGTCTGGTGTATTCTCGAAGCTGGCACGCCCACCCCATTAACGATCTCGTCTGACACACACCTCTCTCTAAAAGTCTATACATGGGGCGAGGTCGCCATGCACGTTTACCTTCTGCTCTTCTTGGCGAGTGAACGGCGAATTCGTGGGATGGGTGTTCAGTGGCGGGATTCGCGAGAAGAGGTTGTTATTCAGATGCCGTAGGACGTTGTCGTTGGTTAGGAAGAGGGCATCTTGATATTCGTTGGAAATTGTAAACTTATGTATAACACATCTATACCCCCATACGCGTTGCATTGCAATAATGTGACTTGATATTTTTGAATCTTCGATTCCTTATTTGATAAAAGAAGGGTTATTGTACATGCTGGAAAAGACAAAGAGAACAAGATTCCGTTGGGGATGATGATAAACAACAAGGAGATAAAAAGAAAAGGCAAGGTTTCGCAAGTAACGATCAGTGAAAATGATTGAATTCAATAAATAAATGAGCAAGTTGGAGTGAGCGAGTCTCCGATGGTCCCTCCGATGCGCCAGGTCGCCAATTGGGGGAAAAAAAAAAAAAGAGAAATAAAAGATTGATCAAATCAGGGGATGCAACTAGTACTGCAGTTCGCCACTGCCAGATGTGTCGACTGCATCCAAATCCTCATAGCTCTTCAGGCTACGGCCCTGGACAGCTTCGCGCGGCGCCATAGGACCTCCGTTGGAACTCATGGAGTCTGGGAACGGATTGCCGGCGGCCATGTTGGCCGCGGGGTGGCCAGCTGGGACGTTGACACCAGGAGGCGGGAGACGACCACCACCGTACATGCCCGACATGCCGCGGGGAGGACTGAGTCTGCCGTTGCCATTGAATCGGCGACGGTCATACGGGCCGGGTCGGTTGTTGCGATTCTGGCCGCGGCGCATGGGTCCGGGCTGGTGCAGACCGCCGTCGTGTCCCATTGCGTTTCCATTCCAGCCGCCGGCGTGTGAGCCCATCATTCCGGGCATGCCTGGGGGGAAGGTGGGCACGTTTCCATTGGGGGCGTAAGGTAAACTGGCAAGGCTGAATCCACGAGGAGTGCCGGTGTGGCCTTGTCCACCAAGTGGGAAGTGGCCGTTGCTGTTAGCATCGGATCGGGATGGGGCAATGCGTGCAGGGTCCAAGACATAGGCATTCACCAATGCGAGCTATGATAATTGTTAATACTGAAAATCATTGTTGAATGGGTGCAAACTTACGTCTTTCTTGATGCCTTCAAACCACTCTGTATGGCGCTTCTCGACATGCTTGCGCCAGAAGGCTTCGGCCTTGAAAAGCTTGGTACATTCAGGCGCCTTGCACCGGTACTTGGAGTCGTCCTCCTGCTTCATGTACTTCAGGAGCTCATCCTCAAGCGCCTGATCAACGGGCTTGCCGCCGAGCTTGCTGAGATCGACGTTCTCTGGCTCCAGGATCTGCAGCAACTTGTCTTCAAAGGTTTTCACCCAGTTAAAGGCACGCTGCAGTTGCTGTTCAGACTTGGAACCATGGCGCTGTCCACGCTTCTCTTGGACAGGCGAAGAGAGGTCCTCACCTTCCTCACTAGGTTCCTTCTTCTTGGCCGGGAACGGTTGGCCAAGGGCGCTGGCTCGGGCTACTTCCTTGGCCTGAGTGGAAAGTCCGGTACGTGGACGGCGAAGGTGTCCGCCAGGGCACTTGCGGCCAAGCTCATGGACCGAATCACTTTCAAAGACACAGAAGAAGCAGAAGTTGTAGACCCGGCGCAAGTATTCAACAACCAAGTCTAGCTTCTTCTTCTTGACTGCAAGTTCCTCATCGTCCACTTCTTCCTCGTCTGGGACTTCCTTCTCTTCGCCTTCCTCAATCTCCCCTTCATCTCCTTCGTCTCCTTCATCGCTATATCCGTTTCTCTGCTTCTTGGCACTGACTGGTCCCGTAGGAGGGGGCTGGAGTTCACCCTTGCCGCGCAGATCGTCAACATACTCTTCGATTTTAGTGAAACCATCCACGCTGATATTCATCTCGGAGTCCAACTTAGCAGTTAGACGTTTGGCCAGTTCGAGATCACGATCAATTCGCTCAGGCGAGGAGAACAGATCCCAGAGAGCCTTTTTGCGCGGTTGAGCAGGAGGAACATGGATTCCCACGTGGCAAACAAAGTCACCGTGGACGGAATCATGAATGGTCTTGTCATTCACAGCCTCGAGAGCTTTCTCAGCCGGGTTAGCTGTGACACCACCGTTGGCACCTCCATCGTGGTCCATGTTTTCAATTTCCTCCTCACGGCCATCTCCACGCTCCACCGTGCTGGTGTTTGCGCAGGGATGCAACATGATCCATCCCATGCGATGGAACTTCTTGGAGGGGTTGGGGTCACTGAGGCTGAGGCCCTTGAAACCTCCATCTTCCTCGCCGAGATGCTCCTTGCAAAACTCCTCGATCTTGTTGCGGCTGACGTTGGGTGCAAGGGTTTTAATAAGGAGCGCAGGCTGACCAAGAGCTTCGTCACGAAGGTCTCCGCCACGGACTGGAAGTAGGTCAAGCACACCCATGGTCTCAGCGGTAGCCGTGGTCTCGCCTTCCTCCTTTTCAACCACACCACCGGCACCGTCACTATCACTCTTGTATATGCCCTCAAGGGTAAAGTCTTTGAAAAGGTTATTTTCAATATCACGCTCCCACTGTTCATATGCGCCTTGTCGAGCCGTCATGAGGCGGGCGCGAAGAGGATCTCTGACTTCAGGAACATAGCGCTCTTTGAACCATTCCTCGTTCCGGTGTTGCTGGACAAACAACCTAGCTAGTCGAATTTGCAGATCGACCTTGTATGTATCATAAGCTGCCTGGATTTGCGCGCGTTCCTTTTCGCGATCTTCGCGCGCCTCACGCTCTCCCTTTACTCGACGTCCGCCGTTCTTGGCGCGCTCCTTCTCCTCATTCACGGATTCCTCCAATCTCCACCACTCGGCGAACCAATTGAACCCGACTTGGAAATCGAGTGTAAGAGGATTGGGCATCGGGTTGGTGTGGATAGGACGGCTGCTACCGCCACCGCTGTCTTGTCCGGGCACATAGCGGTCGATGTTTGCGACAGTTGGCGAGGGGGCACGTCGGCGGTCTTCGCGCTCTCGGGCAGCATGCTCCCGAGAATTATTGTAAAAGTCCTCGCGGTGAGAGCGACGCTCCGAAGGCTCGTACCGGTCAATCACGGGCGAGCGGGAACGCGGCCGTGCACGTCGTCGATCTTGAGAGGCTGGTCAAGAGTCAATTTCGCCCACCTCTCTGTAACAATATTCAATGATAGACTTACCGGGCGACCGACGTCTGTATGATTCCCCTGTGGCTCGTCCCCCAAAGGAATCTGATTCACGGTTCCTTCCGGGAGATCCATAACCATCGTAGGAATCCATTGTTTGAAACCTTCCGAGATAGGTATACTTTATCGCCTTCGCTGCGATCAATGTATCGATAAGTCCAAGGACTCAGCCCAGGTAGATAAAGCGCAAATGGGACCGTCTGCGTTAATCGATCAGGGAGTCGGGGACCGCAGGATGAGCTAAGATTCGGTATTCGTCAACATCAGACCAAGCAACTTCATAGAGCGAAATAGCGATGGTGGCGGCTGGAAAGTTCATGAGGAATAACAGAGGCAGGGGTTTAGGGAAAAGAGAGAGACAAGAACACACTGCTGCTGGCGACATGTCGGCCCTGGAACTTGGCAGGGGTTTGGAACATCTTTGCAGCAGGTGATTTCGGATAGCAAAGAGAGATTATAAAGAAGTCTGGCCAGAGCCAATGCTGTTATGCATTCAAGGAGTCATAGCCCACAAGATCCAGCAATGCGCGGCTGGCGCCACGGCTTAGGAAGAAAAGAAGATGAAGCAGGGGATTGGAAAAGCAGGGTCAGAGGAGCGGAGGATGATAGAAAGAGAAGGGGCAAGGGAGAAAGCCAAAGAATAAACAGAAACCGAATTGGAGAAAGAAGAGGGCCACCTACAAGAAGCCTCGAGCGACACACGACAGTTGGTGATGAAGGGAAGAAGCCGAGGAGGCGGACGAAGCTGGAGAGAGCTGGGGCGCTTGACCGAAAGTAGTATAGCGTCACGGGGATGAACGGCGGCCGCTGATTGGCGGATTGTCAGGAACAAGTCCAGATGACAATTGCCTGCCCTAACTTGGGCAACAGTTGAATCTGCAATTTCTAGCAGTGAAAGTCAAGAATAAAATAAGTAGGGGGGAGGGGAAGAAAAAAGACCATTAAAGTTGTAGAACGTGAGAGCCCGGGTTAGTCACTCTCATATCTCGGATATCAATGAAGTATAACTTCCCGTAACAGTTGGGAGATCCTGACAACTTCAATCTTGTTGATGATCTCCTTCATGGAAGTCTGCTTCGGTGTTGTGCTACTCCTTTTCACTCAACCGCCTATCGAAATTTTCGGTTTTTTTTGGTCCCCTGATCATTCATGTTGGTTACCATTCGCTTGACTAGCGCTGGCAAACAAATTGATGCATCCTGCATGGATCCCTGGAGTACGGAATCACCAAAAAAACGCACATTCTTTTTGGTTTGTTTTTTAGGGACACATACACATTGTATACTCCATACTTGGGCAGAACCCAATTGCACCATCAATATATCACACAGACACTACTTGTAAAGCACGTCTATAATATTCCCAGTAACCGCCAGTCTTCTAGTTATATATAGCCGAAAGGCTTGTATTTTTTTTTTTTTCTTTTTTATATATATTGAGGCTAAGGATACGAGGGGAAAGGTATAGATGACATTCAATCTTAAGAGAATATTTGTGTTAAGAGTCAGAGCCTAATCTAGTCATTATCAAACAAAGAAGATCAGTTTCACTAGGGTCCATTTCCCCTCGTCGTAAAATCTGTCATTTGATTATTTTGACAGAAATCGCAGTTGCATACCTAGCTAAGGTGTTTGGTCTGGCACTCACTCAATCGCAGACTGAACTACAGGCTACTCAAGACTCAACAAGGACAAGAAAAGGTGATAACAGGAGACATGATACAGTAATATATACCATGTATAGGTATACATTCCCCTCAATTTCGACAGACAACACCTACAAAGGTAAGAGAATTCAACTTACAATTTCCCCAGGTCTTTGACGAGCACTATATTTCATACGTCCATGCTGACCGCTGATTGGTTTAGCAGAACCACCACGCCCACCAAATCACATCAG